CATGTGCGTTGTATTGCCGAGGGGGATTGGTAACAGGGACAGGACCTGGTAGAAAAAGCCCTGCCATGTGAGCCAAATATGAGGATACAGTAAAACACCAGCAAGCTAACTACCTTAATAAACGGTTGAAAATAGTCCAATCGTATAGCAACTCTAGACCAGAATCGAAATACAATTGGCAGAATATACAAGGTACGATACTACAACAGCGGAATTGTGAGTACTTCGCTAACAACACAAGTAGACTACGAGATCAAAAATAGATATAAGTATACAGCAGGCCTTCTATGCCCACGGGGTATGCTCACTCGCAGGGCCTTTCCAACAAGTCCGTGAAAGAAAAGGTGTTTCTTTATTCTTTTAAAGTAACATGATATTTATATGTGTGATACATGGTGTGACAATTATTGTTAAGAGAGGGGTGTTGCTATGTTGCTATGAATGTATCCGGTCTTCAGTGTAGTTCAGTAGTCGTAGCATCGGATCGCATGGGTGCGTGGGGTCTGAGTTTTCTGTGGCCTTCATCGCCGCCCGCGACAGCGTGAAGAGCAATGTTTGTTATCAAAGCCATATTAAAAACAATGTCGAGGGCCGAAAACTTCAATCAAGACCAAAGAAATGGTGGTTCGTCGCGTTGTTCGTCATATTAGCGATGTTACGTATGCAGCCTGATTATTCGTCAACTGGTTCTGTCTGAGTCTTTTGAAAATTGGTGAAGTTGTTCTGAGACTTACGCACAAGCGTCTATATAACTTTGCTGCATTATTTCCTGGTCAAGGGAACATGGCAATGCTGAGATTCGTGAAGCTTTCATACAATTGAGTAGTTATGTGGGAGAGGCAGTTAATAGAGAACGACATATTCCCAACAATCAGTATACCACCATACACACGATAGTAATACGTATCTTTTAGACACTCATCGAGAATCATGTGTGGGCAAACTTTGATCCAAAAATGCAACGTTAACTCTTTACGAGGCTTTGGGACACTACTGAATTCCCAGACCTTCTTTTTCCAACAGGCGTGAAGCCTGACCTGGCTGAGCGAGTATATAATGCTATTTGTATTGGTCGAGAGATGATTTACCGTGATAATCATGAAGTTACCGACGCTCACAGAACCTCCGTCAACAATCTTAATACTGACTGCCGCCAAAAATTACATAGCTTGAACACGACCGTTGAAGATTACTATGCCAACGCTCACTGTATTTGCCGTAGCTTTCCCATGTTTTATAAAGAATGGAGCAGCACATCTCTATTCGTGAGCTAGTGCCTCAAACAAGAGCCACTGAGGGATTTGCACATAGTCAGTTAGAAGAAATTATTGATTTCAAAAGGCTACCAAGAAGCATTCTAGGAGTGTTATTAATATGGAACAACCTATTATCCAACAATTTGCTACTCATACGTTTCTTGAAAACACCCGAAAACGTAGTCCTGTTACTGACCGAATTTAAAAGCGAAGACACGATGAGTTATATCCGCAAGAGAAGACTGCACGATTTCGTAGCTGGGAGGCAATCAAGGGCTGCTATACAATCGGCTTGAAATAACTCAAATACCACGCCTACAGAACCAAGCAGAAGGCGCTGACTGAAATGTGCAAACGACTGTTTACAGGTAGCAGAAAATACCAAGAGGGAGACCCAGAGATACAGCAGCAAACCAACAAAAGTGGAAGCCATTAGCGCCCGGAGACAATGCTGTGAGGCTGCCAGGCATACCGTGGTGGCGTTTGGTGCTGCTCGTTATGGTGGACTTCGCGGGAACATATTCAGAACGGCTTTGTTGAACTACATTAAATCAACCAGACGCAACCAATCCCATCCAGCAAAGTATGTTGTTATGATCGAAGAGTATCTTACAAGTCAAATTTGTCCTAGATGCCATACAAGAAATACTTCTTACCAACGTGATAACTCCAATATGTCGATCTTATGACACTCGATGGAAGTTTCGGCGGGAAGTTGTTTGATATTATTACAAATTTTATTATTCTGATATAAACACTGATGTTATATAATGTGGAAAAAGTAGCCTCAACTACGATAGGATAAAACTATGTCTTGTATAACCGCAAAAACCCGAATTTACTGGATAAGTTACTTATATGTACTATACCACTCAAAAATGGTACTAAGTTTTCTTTCTCTCTTTCTGGTTCAACCTTGCTATATTGGCTTAAAATGTAAGTTTCTATTTCCTATTTTTTTTGGCCAAGGTTACCGCCAGGTTAAGTAAAGTCATGATATTTCTCTATTTACGTAGCACATGTCTTCGTTGTTTATAGAAAGGCTGCTGAAGTCGTCTACAAGATAAAACATACTTTCATACACAATTTCCAAATGGCTTTGCGAGAGAAGAGGCAGCAGCATGATTTAACCGGCAAACGCGCAAATAGGAGCGCCTTGATCTGAATATAGGCTCAGCTTTCAAGAAGCAAAATGCGAAAACGACAGACGGCTGATCTGTCATGCGTCAACCAAGCAGCACGAGAATCCTGAAGATGCACAGCGGCCCGTGTACACATCCTAATCACATCCACCAAAGACCATTACTTTCACCACCACCCCGGCAGTGATCTGTTGCTTGAGTTGCTGGGCACCAACACACATACACAAGCCCTATGTGTTTAACTTGGGGTAGTACCTACCGATCCAGTACACAGAATGAATGACAAAACAGGTGGGGTGCGACGATATACAATAGTGAACAATGGCATAATACTTCTCGCATGGTCTCGTGAACGAGCGGTGTATCGTTTACCAGTGGCAAGATAGCCGTCAATACTTTTGCGAGCTATTTACGACTGGTGAAAAAATATGCTGACTGCGTTGTGTCCTCCAATATAATGCGCCCTGGTCTCATCATTTGTTTTCGTGTACAGGAAATACAACGTTTTTTTCGATTTCTCGTAGCAACCAGTGGGACAGATGTCACTTACAAGGCTTTCGGCAAAGACCATAATGTGTGCTCCTCAGTGCTGTACTTTCCATCCATCTGTCAGCATGCGCTGGTCTTCCAACAAGCTGTCATTGGCAGTTTTACGACATGGTACTTTGAGCATGCTACGTTCTCAGGAGGGCAATTTCTTGGGTGCAGTCATGAAACTTTTTGCTGGCGCAGAAAGAACGGGCTCTCATCTGCGTACACAAAGTACACTGGTTGTTAAGGAGATCTAAAGTACCTGAAAGGCCGCTTATGCATTACATGCAGTCGATACAGTGGGTCAGTAGCTCCCACGCCGCTGTAACGCCTGAGCAATTGGAGCGGTTCATGGTACAGATACGCATATTGCGATCTACACATGCCGACGATGTTTTCAAGACTACGGCCAAAAATTCTTCCCTTCAAATATTTCTCAAATGATAAGTTAGTAGTACCTCCTCATAGGCTTTTCCACCGAGCATCTCAATTTTTGAACTCTTAGTGAAACTATCAATTATGCCGAGTAGCCATGGGAGCTGATCATTAAATACGTCTCTCCACCCCCACCCCAACAGTACAAACGAGCTGTAAAAAATTTTGTTGGAACGCATAGCATCATTGCACGACAAAGAATGGTGGAAACGGGCGTGTGTACTTGAATCTGGACGACAGTTTGCAGGGAGAAATACTACGACAAGACCAGTGTTGCAGCAGTCACTTAACTTGGCACCATTAGCACAACGTGATGCTTAATGAGAGTCCATATAGATCAGGCATCTGAACAATGTGGATACTTGAAGCAGCGTCGGTCTCAGAACACCTTGACCAAACTACGGATAAAAGCGACCTTGAGTTCCATGGTTGAGATGGCTCGATCAGACTTTAGGAGTGTACTCAAACACCCGCTATTTACATATGACGATCAAACGCAATCCTTTGTTTATCACCATTGACCGCTGATGGACGAGGAGGTTTGTAGCATGCAAACCTTATTACATGTGGGTTAAGATAGGTCTGATGACAGCATGGATACAGCTGCTTAGCCCACAATTACCACTTTTGGAGCCGAGAAAAAGTGGAAAGAAGGATCACATCGATCGTTTTTGTCTTAGGCTGGTATCAAATAGGATACTGTGCAGATCAAACATGCAATTTTGAATACTCCTTATGATAAAATTTCAATACAGCCTTGGCATTTTTCTGGTAACCACGCGCAACCAATACTTCTTGACATCAGAAGACAGTTGCTTGCTTCCATTGTTGTTCTATATTTTTAACCGGAGCTTCTCTCTTGGCTTTTTTTAGAAAAATCCAGAAATGGTTTAGCGTGACTTTTAAACTTATGGGAGGGAACGAACGTCTGCTGCTTGGATCTGCGCTTGCACTTTTTTTTTTCGCAGAACAATTAGGAAGTAATAATTGGGCTAACGGATCTGTGTTACGGCTCAATGGGTCTTTCTTCTTCATTGCCTAAAAGCAGACGGTAGCAGCGAGAGACAGCGTGTGGATAGAGTGGATCCATGACATCATGGCGCTACATCGTCCAGCAGCAGGTTAGAATGTATTCCCGGATCAACGGACCGCCTCTTGGCTGTACCACCAGGAAAAGAGGTTTAAAAATAAAAGCAAGAGAGCTGCCACAGTGGCGCATTACGCTGACGACTGGAATTACGGGCCTGTCCATTTCCTGTATGGAACCCGAACTCCGAATGCCAAGGTCCACTTTCAGGTGGCACAAGCACCAGCAGACCCAGCCGGCATGCAAAGCATATAAAAGAGACACGGGCTGGAAACAAAAACAAAAGTATTTTCTCTTCTTCTTCCTTTCTTTACATTTTCTATTGCTTTGCTACTGATGAAGAAGTTCTCCTTTGCCATTTTGCTACTTGGCCTGCTGGCCCACCTCGTCAACGCCTTGCCCCTGGTGGAACGCGACCCGCTGTCGGAACAAAACACCGTTACCTTTGACAGTAAGTACCCTTTTGTATATCCATGCGTTTACATACGCAGACGCACGACAACAGAAAAAGTGAAGCAACAACCGCAGTAAACTAAACGCTCACTGTTTACAGTAATGGGGCACTCTGTATCCGTTCACGCTGTCGTTTTGTCCATCATCCTCTTCGTTGCCGGCGCCTACTTGTGCTTTGTTGGCGGCGTGCACCAACACTTTACCATGTTCATCGTCGGCTTCTTGGTAGGCGCAAACGTCGCATACATCATCCTGAGCAACGCCAAACAGGACTACGGCGAGAACACGGAAACGATTTTGCTTGTTGTATCGGTGATTGTGGGTGTACTTGCAGGAGCTATTTTATCATGCTGCTTCTTCTTGGCTGTGTATTTGCTGGGTGCCCTGTTGGGCTACCTCGTTGCACTGTGGCTGTTGGCTTGGGACGACGGAGGCCTGATCACATCCAACTGGGGCCGCGCCATTCTTATCGTCTGCTTTGTCGTCGTCGGTATTGTGTTGGTCGCCTTCTTTGAACGTCCCATTATCGTCGTTGCCACTGCATTCGTCGGCTCGTTCTTGGTGTTCTTTGGCGTCGACTTGTACGTGCAAACCGGTTTTACCGACGCGGTCGCTTCGTTCTTGCATGCCCGCGATGCAGATGTCCTAATCCAATCAACGCCTGGTGTCCGTGGTATGCTGGGCGGTACTCTTGGCCTGACGATCTTGTCGGTTTTGATTCAATGGATGCTTGTACGCAGACGAAACCAACCCGTGGGTGTTTGGTCGCAACAGTACCCCATGCGTGGTGGCGGTGGCTACGGCTGGCGCCGCGTGAACTAAAAAAGTAAATAACAACTCGGCTTCTCCCATCCTATCCATTCCCTCCCATATATTATATTCTGTTGTATATCATCACTGCATCCAAACCTTATCCCTTCCAACAACCCTTTATCTGTAAATATCCTCCGGAAACCATATATACGTCTTTCTGTCCTTCGATAACTTTCATATTTATACGCCAAAAGAGATAAATAAATGAAAGAGTCTATATCGTTTATATACTTTAGCACGAAAAAAATAATCCTTGCTTTCGAGCAGTTGGGCTCAGCTCCGCTTAAACGGCCTCCTGTCCAGCATTCGAGGCTTTTGCTTATTTATGTATATAATAATGCAGCTAACAATCCATCGTTAGCCAGAGAACCGGAACCAGTCCATCAATGTCGCCACCGCAATATAATCATGGCAGAGCTAAGCTGAAGGATTGTGCTGACATGTGCTAATAGACGACAGTGGTAGCAACAACCAGTTTACAAAGTTTTCTCGGCTATTCTTTCCGTCGTTACGGCTGTAGAGTATTTCGGAAGAATTAGAAGGCGCCCGCCATGTATGACTTTACATATCGTGTAACATCAGGTTCCATTCCCAAAGTGCACAAATGTTTACATAAAATTGTACCTGTCAAACTCGTATGTGTGCTTCATAATCAACCAAATTAGAAACACTTGCCGAGTGTTAGACAGAGATTGCAAGAGTTATCCCATTGTTCCTATGGATATAAGCAATATGGAACATCAGGAACCATATCTTGCATCGTAATTTATTAATCAAACCCATAATAATTAACGATAAATTTACATCCTTATGAACTGATCGTTAGAAACCATCATTGCATCATTACAGCGAGAAAATGTATAGACATATTTGCATCAATCCATATTCATATATAAGCACAAAACAAGCATAGAGCGATGCACAAATAATTGTTTATTCTTTTGTATTCAATGGCGTAACCCATCCTCATATGTACACGGAAAAGATACTTCGAACGAAGCGTGAGTGCGAGAGGAAAAAGAATCGTTTTGCAGTATTGATTTTCCTGTAGAGTATGTATAAATAAAACGTCTCAACCAAAGCATTCGGTTATCTGCCTACGATGTACTTCCTACTGCAATCATGGAATTAACACTTTTCCTCTAACATCGGGCTCAGCTTTGCACCAGCTTTGCCTTTGGAATCTGCGCCAACGTCACACAATGGGCACACAATGAGCTTACAGCTTTTTTGATCATCTTTAACGTATACATTTATAGCCCAAGCTTGACTCGACATTTGGAAACGTAACTTTTCAATTCATTGAAAATCATTATATTTATTTTGGTACGCTATTTCACAAAGTACATTGCACTTTGTTTCATTACTACCACGTCGCTTGCGAGCGTCGAGTTCAAGGGGATGAAAACTTACTTCATGTCATGATATAAGACGCAAGAAATGCAAATTACGTACGAGATAGACAATGGAGACTAAAAAATCAAAAATGGGTGCTTAGATTCTGGAAATCTAATAGCAACGTACCGACATCATCTACAGCAACTGAAAAGCTGGAACCTCGACGGAAGATACATGCACTTGAGACCTGCACCGGTAATACCCGTCGCAAGCCAGCCATAGACGGCGAAGATCCGAGTACATGGATGATAAACGGTATATATACCATCTTTACCCGACAAACGCTCGTATAGATTCTACAACCTGGCGCTTTCCTGTTGAACTACCTGGGCATCATAAGCTCTAAACCCGTCGCAGTGTCGTCGTGAAGAAGGCCGTCCCTTCATGGACGTTGGTCATCCAAACGCACAACATTTATCATGACATTTTTTTACCGTTCGCAACAAAATCTATTCGGGGTGTCGATTCAGCACTGGCTTTACTGCACCTTCCTTCCCGAAGAGACATATTCGGTAAAATGCATGTATTTTTTTTGTTGTGTCCGTGATGTACATACAAATGAAAGAGGAAACAGCGTGCCATACAGCAAGGAATTACAACGATGTCTTGGCTTATTAGCATGGCCGTCGAAAAAAATTCAAAAATAATTGGTCTCGACTACAAGGCTGCTTCAACATATTAAGAATTGTGTTATAATGTCTCTCTATGCATATTCTGTTTTGCTATATTATAGTGTAGACAATCATAAGAGCAATGTCAGCTTCCATCAACCGCCGTATGCCATTCCATAAACCGTTTTCTTTCTAGTTTCTTGGTGCTAGTATAGAAAAAGTAAAAAATAATAAGGCTCTTCAAACAAACTACAGATGGCGATTTTGATGACGAGTATCATCGAAATATAACAGTAGTCATAGTGCTCTGCTTGTAAGTTCAGACATCTTGATCTGCAAGCCAACTGTGTATATAACATTATCCTCCTTCAAAAATGGAGAGGTTTGTACTGCGACTTTTTACAAGATAGCTACCATTTCTCTTTCAGTGAATTTGGCTGTATATGCCCCTAACAGACCTTCCACAGTACATAGTAGCTGGAATCACCGTTCATATTCCATTATACTTATATGACGTTATCTGCAAGAAAGATTGCATTGCACAAATTTGCATCAGCTTTTATATGCCATAGAGTCCTTCATGCCGCTGCTGGCTGAATTTCTCAACGGCTTTTTTGTACAGTTGACAGCTTGACAAGATTATATGAGATTAAAGCCTCCATGTAATAGCAGCAGCCAGGTGGAAACTTGCAAAGTGATTTGAAATTTTATAGTTGTGTTCCATTAAATTAGTGTAAGTATGTATGTATGTATTTGAGACCGTAGATCGTAAGGAGACCTTGCATTTTTAAATATATTTTAGTCTTGTGAGTTCGCACTAATAGTACTACACTGAGATGTGGCGTGCTTTAAACCCTTGGGTATCTTTCTTATTATATTATGGACGTTAAAAGAGCTAAGATATTTTCTCCTGACTATTATATGAAGAAATATGTATGTAATATACCGTAGTATACTAACCTTTTTGTTTTCCCCTTATAAAAAGCGCCCGATTGTCCATTTGTATGTATATACGAACAACAGTGGTGTTGGCGCATCAATTTTGTAGTCACTACAACTCAAAGCCTTCTAATTCGAGAAAGGAGGTGTACCTGACGACGCTGCTATATGTTTTCGACTCTAGAGTTCGTTAACATTTTCATTAGCACTCTTTTAAAGTCATCCTTGAGGTACGACTGGTATGGCGATTGTGGAAAAAGCATCGTATGTTGTTGCAAATTATTATTTCTGTTTCTGCAGTAACCCCGATAATTAAAAAGTGGGGCTACCTATTATATACTAGCGTTATTGCTCACAGTAGTTTGCTGCAGCCAGGTGCAGAAGAGATTGTGCAAATTCCGGGATTTCACAGGAATGTCTACAGAAAAATTACTTAATTAAGGACCGTTGCTTAGAAAGAAACCCAGGAAGACGACAGGAGTGGGCTACATATTAACGCCATTTTGGGACTTTGCATCCCTAGTTTCTGCGTATTTTGCGTCATGAAAAATACATATTTAAAATTAGTAGTAATGATGATGACGTGGCAACATCTTTCCTCTAGATGATATGTGTAGAGCAGGTACACTGTTTGGTTTAATCAACGCAGTTACCTAAAGCAACAAGTTCTCAAGGTGTGATACACGAGGTATTATTTGTTTGAGCTCTTTTTCACAGATGCTTTTCGCTATTTTTATAGATACATCAGTTTGCCACCATACAAAAAGATGGGCTCTCTTCTTTTTCACGTCATATATATATAAAGCATATATGACCAAATTATTGTTATTCATTTTGTATAACGTTTCCCGCTAAACTATGTACGACGTTGTACACAAAACAGAAATGACGACACAAGACCTTATTTGATAACATTTTTCATCACCCTGACGGCGCAGAAAATATGGTACATTATTTAGCGCTAGTAGTTTGTAAGGGCTGCTATGTTACGCTGCTAATTAGGAGCATTCACGCATGAACTTGCAATAATGCAACTACAGCAAGGCAAGACTAATTATGCATTGTTTTGTGTTACTGCTACTATTAGACTTTTATTATCAAGTATATGGATGCCACACAGTATGACGGAAAGGCTTAGCGTCGTACCTTGAGGAAATTGATGACACACACACAATCCTAAGAAAAGCAGGGCTAAACATAGCTTGCTGATTTGCTATATTCGGGTAAAACAAACTGAAAAGTCGACTTTTGATATATAAAAAATTCCTTTAAAGGGATTTTTATGTGCAAGTTGAAAAAGAAAAATACCATCAGGTGCAGATAAAAGTAACATCTAGAGCGGTAGGAAGACAACTACATATGTAACACGCGTGAGAGGTAGTATGGCATGGCTGATAGTGGCAAGGAAAATGAATGTGTTAGAGAAAAATTATACATTAAATGAGATGATGCGAGTAAAGTTGTTCGTTTTAGGAGTCGTGATGTTGGAACAATAGTGTGACATGGGGAGGGATGTGGATAAAAAGGGCATATGAGATATAGAGAGAAAGGTAAAGGTTGTGCTTTAACCCAAGCTCCACCAAGTGCTGAGAGTATCGAATGTGATGAATGCATGAGGGTTGGCACAGTTGACAGCGACTTGTTTGCGCGACAATTTAGGCATACCAATGGTCGTATGTGACGACTTGCTATGGAACGCCGAGAGCTTACCAAAGCCTTGACGACTGATCAAACGATAGTCTGTAAAGCTCAGCAGCCAGTTTTCGATCACTGCAGCATTCACGCCAGCCAACGTGTTCTGTTCGTCCTCCGTCAGGTCCGCTTTGGTAATGTTGTGCAGGAATTTCGGCTTGATGGTTTTTGATTCGACATGTTCAATGGGCAACCCTGTGACGACCATGGTGACATCTTGATGATTGTCGCCCAGGAACTGTTGGGCCTTGGTTTTGTCGTGGTTCAATGATACAAATTCGTCGCGCAAACGTACAGAGTCGGTGATCAGGAAATAAACGACTTGTTTGTGGTGAGGTTCGCGTTTGGCTTCACGGAGTTGGTTGGCGCAAATCATAAAGTAATCCCACATTTGCAAGGTGTTTAGGTCATCGCCTGGGTTCACGATGCCACTATCTCCTGTGCGAATCTAGAGGACGAGACGATGATGTTGATGAAAACTTGTGTTAGCGGAATCCATGGGCAGCCCTGGTGATCTATTGCCGTATCTTCCACCCCTCGGGCATCCTCCTTACCTGAAGACCAATGCTTAGGATGCTGTCCATTTCAAACATGTTTTTATACGCATTGATGAACTGACGAGCGCCAATGGTGGGACGGAACAAGTAATCCATGATACATCTGAACGAGTTCTCCTTGGTCAAACCGAGTTGGTTAAGCTTTTCGGGGTATATACTCGATTCTCGGAAGGTTCGAATGACAAAAGCGCGGTTTCCATGCCACTCCACGTACTACAAAATGAATGAAATCCCAAAAATAAAATCCGGGAAATGGGAGTTAAATATAGGTATTCCCTACCAAGCTTTTTGTGCAGCAAAGGTGGAAACAAATGAGATAATTACTCACCGAAGCGTTCCAAAGGTCTTTAAAGTCTTGGGTAGCACCGTGAGGAAACATGGTTCTGCCGATGGGTCCCCATTTCTGGTTAAGGGTATTGACTTTTTTGTAGCTTAGGTAGTCGTTGTTATCAGCGTCTTCTTTCTTATCAAACAGCTCGCGCATCTCTTTTGGATCAAAGCTCCAGTCAATCGATGGCTTTTCGAATAATGTTTCGAGTGGCAAAGGGTCTTCCCAATGAGCCAAGTACGCGCGATCTGTAAGCAAGCCATAAAAGAAGGTGGACACCATGCCTAAGAATAGTAATGAAATGTCAGCAATATGCGTATATTGTATGGGAATAAGGCGATACATGAAGTTCAAAAATAGCTTCTTTACCGTTCATTCGATCGGCCAGACCACCGCATCCATGACTTCCTCTATTTTGAGGATCACTTTCACACAGGTAGGAAACATACTCTGGCTTCGACTCGTGACCGAAACTTTCGAAATCACCTGCTTTCAATCGCTGCAGCTGTTCCAGACGCTGTTCGTGCAGAGCCAAGTATTTTTGCTGCCATACGCCACAGCCATCATCATCGAGCTCATTGTTGTCATTGTTATCAGCGAATCCGTTGACCTCGTCCCAGCTTTGACAATAGTTCTGATAGTCCTTGTTGGACGCAAGCTCGACGGCGCGTAGTAATGTTTCGTCGGGCGGTGGAGGAGTGTATGATCCGTCAGGACTCTGAGGAATAAGTGTGTCGAGTTTGAAGCTACAGTCTCTACTGCTGCTTGCTGCCGTATCCGCCTGCGGATAACTATTATCTTCGTCGTCATCTGCTGCTGTCCATCGTAACCGTCCTGTTTGTTTATACAAAGCTATTGTAAATAATCAAAATAGAGAGAATGCTCAAGGGGAGCGCTAGGACATTTACCAGGGTAAAGGAACGAACTTAGAGCCATGGTTATAACGGCGATCAAGCTCACGAATGTAAGGCATTTGGCGAGTTTATAGCGGAAATGTATATCATGGCCATTCTGAGCTCTCATAATATCTTTGTATTCGGATGGGATGGTGCTGATCTTTTTGTGTGTCTGTGTGGTACGAGGGGGAGGAAGAAGAAGAAGAAGAAGATGACGACGACGACGATATAAGGGAAACGGGAAAGAAAAGAGCAGATAAGTGCAAGAAATAAAGAAATAAAGAAAAAAGAGATCGTCGCTGAGTTATTTGAAGCGTAGGACAGAAAAAGAGGTTTCTGTTGTACAGAAAAAACCGGTCTTTAAACCAAGAAGATCCTCTGACGTCTGCAAATATTATGGAGCGCCCAGTGTGAAAGAAGGATAGCGCCTTTGGTAATCCCCGCACTAGTCTGGACAAGTCATCTGAAACCCAGAGACACAAAAAAATGTATGATGGTTTATTTGTTAGGTCGATCCCACACTTCATGTACGCTTACTTCCGAGCACACTTTTGTTTATTCCCTTTGCACGCCAACAAAACGCCCAGCAGCACGAGATACCATGTGCTGCCCGTATAAAAGCATCTTAGGGCTGGTTTTTTTACAGAAAATTACAGAAAATAAAAATCTCAGCAAAAGGAGAGGGGGGGGGAAACAAGGGTCGAGTTAAAAGATCATTTATTCTGGGGGGAGGCGATCTAATAAGCTTGGCTCGTTGATTATCAGACACAGGCCTATCATAGTACTGGGAGCCGGACAAGACGGATTGCGTGCGTTGCAATAAGCTGTATAATAGTGCGCTGTGTTCCCTGCACTAGTCCATTAACGGGATTTCATTTGGGTGGTGCTTCATACTTTATAGTGTACTGAATCTCATGTTTTCCTGCTCTTCGACACGCAGCATCAATCTTGGCAGATGTGTAAGAGCAATCAGCACATTTATTTGTCGCATTTGCTACGTTTTTATATGTTATTATTATTATTATCATCATTATTAAGCATTCTCCTCTAACTCTCGGATACATTCCCAGTCACCCTTGGCATTCTCTTTCCATAGCGTGACCTTGTTGTCGCCGCACGACACTGCCAGCACATTGCCAGATAGCGACCAGCTCACTCGCCACACTACATCGGGGAACTTTTGGCCAACTGTCTTTTTGGTCCATTTAGCATTAGGGGTATCTTGCGTCCAGATCAGCACAGACTTGTCCTGTAGAAATCATGGTTGTTTTAGAGACAAATTTGTCTGTGTTTCGGAGTTATTGGTGTAAGACCCGTACCTGAGAACAACTAGCCAGGTAGCTTTTGGGCAAGCCTACATTGGGTGCCCAGGCAACATCGCGCACCCAATCCGAATGGCCATCCAATGTTTCTTCTTCCTTCCACGACTTTGAGTCCTCGCTGGTTTATATAATCCTTTGCATTAGCTACACTGCCATCAAAAGTCCTCCCGAGAAAGACCTCCTTCTTCGCCTCAACTTACCGCCATGTCCAGATCTTGATCAAATTATCGCAGCCTGCAGAGACTATCTTCTTGACAGTGGTCACGTTAGGAGGTGCACCACCATTGGTCTGAACGAGTGATCCGGGCATAGCAGCAGGTGCCCAAGTAACAGCATTACAGCCAATACCATGCGCATCCATCACATAGTTCTCCCATGAGCCATCCTCTAACGAAAACATCAGTAGTTTTTTTTCCTATTAGCCACTCACCATCATCCTTGATCAGAATCCCGCTTTTCTCAAGTTTCTTTCTTTACCTCGATATTCCAGAACAGAGATCTTGCCATCCGAAGAAGCACAAGCCAGAATAGCGCCCAATTCATGCGGTGCCCATGCTACAGAGTTGACTATCAAATAAAATATATAAACTAAGTAACACTTTATTCTATTTGTTCCCCCCTCCAATCTAGTAGTAGCTTAATTTACCTGAAGCTGTGTGTACGTTATGTTCCTTGATTCGCGTCCATGTATTGTTTTGTTCTTTCCAGATAAACACTCGACCATCATACGAGCACGATGCCAAGATTGAGCCAAACTTGGGATGGGCCCACGATACTTGCCACACCGGAGCATCATGTCTAAATCAATTGTTTTCATCCGTTCCCCCATTCTTTCAGTTTAACCTTTTTTTTACTTCCTTTTCACCAACCCAATTGCGTACATACCCTGTTAAAGTTTCCACAAGACGCTGAGAATCGCCTTCGACATCGAAAATTTTAATACTTTGATCTGAAGATGCTGTTGCCAATCGACGGGAGTAGTAATCGAGTTGAGCATCGTGCTAGAATATTAGAAATGTTGTTGTTCGTTAGCGTATACATATACATATATCGCGTGTTGTGGTGGAGATAGAGTCCGCCTTCGATGTAACTTACAATCATGTCTTCATGATGCGTCTCTACCGTCTGTGTCGCGGTTTGTGACTAGTAGAAAGGTGCATAAGTATCTCAACCATAAGTTTGTATGTTAGACTGCTAATTTTACCATTGCTGTGAAAAGAGTTATATATTTGTGAAGAAAGTGAAAAGTCAAAAGAGACTGCAGATAAAGCACGCCTTTGGAACTTTGGTACGTGTCATCGCTCACGAGCTCGCTCACTGACCAGCAAAACCGAAAAACTCCGCCGTTATTGGTCGTTTTGTTCAGCTCGTGCTTCTTCTTTTAATATTCAGCGCCTATTATGTGGGTCGAAGTCAAGAGGAACGGGGAGGGTCTTGGTTTGCATAAATGTCGTTGAGTATCGATAAACAGCCAATGGGGCATAATGAGGGTCTACTTTTGCGTCTATAGATATTTCTATTTATATGTATGCAAGTCTATATAAACGATTATCACTTTTCATTAATGACCCAGCAGCAGCGCTAAGTATTTATCTTTTTCAGGCACAGCTTCATTTGCATTTATATTGAATGAAGGCAATAATAGTAAAAGAAGGGATAAGTATGTGTGGCCGACAGATGATTTAATTAAAGATCTCTGCTACTGCCTATAGTACTGCTTTGCTTTTTTTACTGATAGGGGTGGGGAAAGGAACAATAAGCAGGGGAGACGGGTACCACGACCTTAAACACAGACCACATGTAAAAAGTGGAAAAAGCGTTGCGCGACATGACACATTTTGTTCAGTACGCCCCGAATTCATAATAGAGGAGGCTTTACGTGCTGGTATCTGATCTCGGCAATACATGTGAGTGAAAGAGAGAGAGAAGGAAAAAGAAGAAGAAGAGAGGCTCATGCACAACCATGGCATCATAATATACTGATGGTGGCTTGATGATTTCAAAGAGTTCTTGGTGTCACAAAGAGTGCTTTAAATGATGTTCGTTCGTTCGGACTGGAGCTCCTTTACTAGTAAATTGGAACATAATAGTACGACACAAGCTACTTAAAAAAGAACTCTGACAAGGCAACAAAATCGAAGCTGTCGTAGCTACATCCGTCACGATCATTACTTTAAGTCTTGGAATTCGTCTCCTTGTTACCTTGGTGATAAAGAACGATCTGTTGCTATGGTTGAAAATAAATGAGGTTCTGCCCGTGCACGCGATTCGACTTTTTCAGGATAACCCCGCTTATTTTTTTGCTCGTGCTATTATTCCACAACGCAACAGCTGTGTGTTACCAAAACTCAATATTCCCTTTCATCTCTAGAATTGTAGATTCCTTCTTTCTTCTTCTCCTCCCTTTTTTTCGTTACTTTTCTTTCAACACACAAACACTCACAGGCTATCCGACAAAACGCACAATCAAAGAAAGAAAGAAAGGAAGGAAGGGGAGATAACGCGCAACCAATCCGAAACCTTGCTTGATATTTTCTCAGTTTAAATTTACTTTTCATCATTAATCGCAAACGTCCAAAAGCCGTAATGTCGTTGTTCTCAAAACTTACAAAGAACAATGACAAGTCTATATACCCATGGTCACAACGCAAAATAAGTAGCGCGAGCCAAGCTTTCCCGAGATCGGGTCATGCATCCGCTGTTTTACCATCCGATCAAATTCTTATTTTTGGAGGCGTTCATCGCAACACTGGCAAAAGAGAGCTAATTTCTATAGACAGTAAGAATATTAAAGAGTAAAACAATTAATTGTTTGAAATAGAGCTTCCAATGGTCGATTAATTATTGATTTACCTTTTTTAATCTTGCTGCAAAATTTAACTATGCAACAAAAAAAAAATCAACATCTTTTAGGTAACAGTCTATCCGTCAATTCACTTAGTACAGCAGGTGATTTACCATCTCCTCGGTGTTACGCGACATTTGTTTCTATTGGCAACTTTGCTTTGTGTAAGTCTGATTCTCTTTTTTCTGTATAGTGTAGGTGTTTTACTTACGGTCGACTGAATGTAACTGTTTAGTATATGGCGGTGAACCAACCATGCCCGATGAGAAATGGGATCCCCACGTGTATATTTATAATAGTAGTAAGTTTGACTAGCTTTTTTGTTAAGGAAAAGTGTATATATGTATGATGATTTCCTAAAAGCTTGTCTCTGTAATGAACTAGGCAATCGACACTGGACTCGGATTCGTATGGAGGGACATATTCCTGTGGAACGATCACGACACACAAGTGTAATGGTGGATGGTGCAATGTACATTTGGGGAGGACAACGTGCTGGAAGGTATCTGGATGACATGGTTGCATTCAATACGAATACATGTAAGCATTCTTCTTTTGAAGCTCATATATGATCATAATTCTATGACATATATACATACATGTGTGTTCGATATGAGAGAGAAGACATGGTTTCTAACACGCTTGCAAAAAAAATTCAGACCCGTCAAATCCACAATGGGAATACATTACACCCAATGGAGATGGACCGTCCGCACGGGCTGGCCATGCATCTGTCATTTTTGATAACAAGCTCTACATGTGAGTTTCTTTTTAGTTTGCTTGTTTGTTTATCTCTTTTATGTCTATTGCAATTGGATCGGAAGAAGAAGAAAAGATTAATGTTCAGTTGTGTTGCACAAAACTAAATGCAACGTTTTATAAAAAATTAGCTTTGGAGGTACAGACGGAGATCATCTTTACAACGATATATGGGCATTTGACTTGCAGGCACGGATTTGGATGCAGGTGCCTGCGGTGGGTTATATCCCAGTACCACGTACCGATTTCTCGTGTGCCATGGTGGATGGTGTCATGTACATCTTCGGCGGCCGTGGTCCTGACGGTCAAGATCTGGGTGACTTGTGTGCTTTCCGTATCAAAAGTAGGCTCACATCATACAAAAACATCCTAAAAGAGACATATATGAAAGCAGCAGCAAAACCAATTAAATGTGATAATTTTAGGTCAACGGTGGTACATGTTTCAGAATATGGGACCCACCCCATCTGCACGCCATGGGCTTTCGATCGCAACAGTAAAGGAGAAAATGATTGTGCTTGGTGGCGATAACAATGTTGGCCGATTAGACGATGTATCCAATGCATATATCCTTGATAGCTGTAAGTTACCATCTTACTTGAATGTGTATTAGATATAGTGTGCCTAATTTAACAAATGTTTAGCAAAAATTCGGTATCCACCCGAAGCAGCTGCACAGCAAGCTCCACCAATCACCCCTTCGCCGTCCTCAAATTCGTTTAATGAGCACGACAGTTCACTGCGAGGAAAAATCCCATCAAATATCCAAAACTCGCAAAGCACGCCTGTTCGATCACCGCCTCCTAATTCTAGCCAACCGTACCAGAGTCAGCATTATCCCTATCAGCAACAGCAACAGCAGCAATATAATGACCCTACTATCCCATTCCGGGAAAATGAACTCGAACCACAAGTGTCAGCATCTACACCTGTTCCTGGTAGCAGCAGCAGCAATCCGTCGCAACAACAACAGCAGCAGCAGCAGCAGCAGCATTCCAAGCAACATGAAGGAAAGCCACGGCATGCCTCGGTCGTACCAGAAGCTGCACGAAGACGTACACGAACAACGTCGCCGATGCCATTCAGCGATGTTGATACAACCGTTTCAGCAGATGGTTCCATAAGACAACAGCATGGGCCCTTATCTCCGTCATCGACGACTAGCGCAGCCGAAAGCCTCGAGGCAGCGACAGCAGCTGTAGCACCTATTCATCCACCCGCTCAACAACAGCCGCAACAGCAACAATCGCCACATCACCCTCGCAATACGATGAATGGCATTACTCCTCCACCTCGACCGTCTCGTGAAGGCGTCAAGCTCAATAACACATATCGACATACCATGACTGGTGGTGAGGACTACGATGATCGGCCAAAAACAAACGGCCATGCTACCCAGCATCCATCACCTCAACCGCAATCCCAGCAGCCCCAACCATCACCACCGCAGCAGCAACAGGATATTCTACCTTTAACACCACCCTCAAGTTCACAATCAACGACTCGCATTCAGGAAGAAAAGGCCGCGCTGGTTCGCGAACTGAGAGCCCGTGAAATGATTGTGAGCGAGATGCGTAAAAAGGAACAATGGTGGCGAACCGAAGTATCGATTGCACGCAAGATACGAGCGGAGCAGGGCCATGCATTGGACAACGACGACGACGACGAAGAATTGATGGACTTGACTGACTCGGAAAAATACAAGCTGTTTGATCAACTGGTGGCAATGAAGACAGAGCTGCGCCGGGTCAAGCAATCGATAGGACACCAGGCACAGCCCATGTCGCAAAAGGTCGAGCAGGCCGATCGGATGCGTCTGGCTGCATTGCAAGAGGCTGCCTATTTCAAGGCCAAATACCAAGCGCTCAAGGCCCGCCAGCCCTTTGATGAGACGGACCGCACTGCGGATCTGGAAAAGCGGTTGGCAACAGCGTTATCTGAACACGAATCGAATACCCGGTTATTACAGCAATTGCAACAACGTGCACACCATGACCATACATCACGCGTGTCAGCAGATGAACGGGCTAAAGAAGCCCACGAGCGTGCACAGGAGGCACAAGAAGCACACCAACGCGCACTGGAAGAATTGGCCAGCGTGCATGATCGTGCAGTGAAGGCGGAAGGACAAGCAAGAGAAGGTGCAGTGCAGATTGCAGAATTAACACGGCAGTTGGCACAGGCCCTGTCAACGCCAGAGGCTTCTTCACATGATCTGAGCGAGGCGCATATCACGATATCGAAATTGGAGGCGGCCAATCTCAAGGCACGGAATGAGGTCGCTTCGCTCAAGCAGAAGTTGGCAGAAAGCATGGATGATATTGCTCGGCTTCGGACGATGCTCAGTGAGCGTGAAGAGGCATTAAAAGAGACGACAAGAGAACTGGAAGATTCGGAAATTCAAATGGCTATGCTACGCGATGCCATGAATCGTATGGATCCTCCAACTGCTGCTGCTGGTGGTGCTACGGCAGCGACGGCTTCCGCCACGACTTATTAGTGACAACGATGAATCTCCCTACCCACCCAATCACCTCAGACCTCTTTCCCACGTATTTATTATCTTTCATTTACTTGTTCCTTCTCTCTCCTTTCGACCTCGCCTTCCCTTCTTTTTTTTTTGTAAAATTTCCAACAGCATCTAGAACAACAGCCAAAGGAGCTTTTGTTATGCTCTCCCTCCTTTCCACATCAATCGCAGACACACATATATCATACACACAACTTCAGCGACAAAGTAAAAAAGAAAATATATACATTTTTTTATTTTGGCAGAAAAAAAGGAAGATAACAACCTAACCTTCGCGCCATTGATGTTGACATTCGTCATTACAACATTTGTAAAAGATTGAAGATGGCTCATCGGCCGAACGGATCTGGATCTGCATAAAGAAGGCCCGTTCGTGCTCACATTTCGGACACGTTGCTATTAAAAGTGATTCAAAAGTGATTCAAAGAAAAAAGATTGTTTTAGTACGGCTTACTCGCTTTTGTAGTTCCCTCAATGCTTTATAAGATACACTTTTACCTTCTGTAGAGTCGACGTTTTTCCAAGCGTCAGCGCCACCGAGAACGTCGTCAACTTCTTTTCGTTGAAGTTCTTTGCGCGTTGTATGCTATTGAGGAAAATACATTTTATTAATTCCCAGGTATTATTTTTAAAAGTAAAGCCGTCGATGCTTTTCATATATAAATTTACCCGTTTTTGAATGCTATAAGTGTACGGACATGTTTGACAGAAGAAATCCTGACCGTCTTCGTTCTCAATCAGGAGAAGATTGGCACAGCTTGGACAGAATAGCATGTGGAGGACGGGTGGGGTATTGTTTGTTCAGCTAGAATGGAGAACCAAAGAACAAAAAAAAAAGTTAAAAAAACTCCGTGGTTTTTACCACACAGTCAGAAATTTTAGTGCTTCTCTTTCGCCTTTCTATTTCCTGCGATACACGATACAATGGACGTGCCAGACGCACTATACTATCTGGGTAAAATACAATATGAGATCATGCTTTTGTTATACAACCATGAACCTCTCCGAAAAACCTTCTCCTCTAAGTTGAACCTAACTTGGATACGTAATGATTTTATTCTTGTAATTGTTGTAGACGATCGGTTTCCTCCCCGTTCTTTACGACGGTATCAACTTAAAACCATTCTGCAGCAACACGACATTGCTGTTCCCACCTCCATGAAACGAGCAGAGTTGGTGGCTTTGTTTCAAGCGCATATATTGTCTAGGCGTGAAGAAATAATCAAGGAGTACAATGAAAAACATGCGAGTGCGAATGACCTAGAAATTCCTGCAAAAAGAACAACAGTACAAACAGAAAGAAAAGTGAGTCCACGCACCTTTTTTTTCTGCATAAATCTGCTATTGCATATGAGCACATCACGGATACATATATTATGGTAGGACAAGAACTTTATACCTACGCCTACTAGCTCTGATAAAAAGATAAAGGTAATTATCATTATATGTCAAAATAAAAACCCGGTTAATTATCTGGTACTTATTTAGCAACACTTACAACTTTTTAATACAATCACACCATAGTCTTCGACATTTACTACCAAAGACGCGTTTCCAGAAACTATGACTACCACCAAGACGGCAGCAACAAAAAAGAAATCGCTTCCGCAATCCGTTGTTATGGCCAACGTCACTGTCGACTATAATGATGACGAAGACGATGAGGAATACATAGCAAGTAGCAGTGACCTAGAATACAGTGACGAGGAGTATGTCGACGATGAGCCAGTGGATGAGGACGAAGTCTCTTGGTTGAAGAAAGGTAAAGGGTCACTTTTCCCCTGCCAACTATCATTTTTGTCGCTTAAAATTACTATATATTACTGGATTAGATACTGCCAAGGCCAACATGACCAAGAAGGAACGAGCGCTGGATGCCGTTCAGGAATATTGGAGCACTGCACAGACACTTTTACGAGGATTCTACATTTTGGCGGTCTTGTTCATTGTGGGTAGTGCTGCTATGATCGTCATTGCTCGCAACAAGAATGGTTACTGCAGCCCCAGTAATGAAGAAGGTATGGAAAAACATTCTAACGTTTTTGTTTTGTAACTCATCACTATTCTTTTGAAATCATGTAGGAGGGGAAGCACCAGTACTGTCGTCGTCGTCACCTGTATCAATGTCATCTTCACCCGTAGAAAAGTTTCTATCACTTTCTTCGTCATGTATTCCATGTCCGGACCACGGTGTCTGCACCGACGGTGAATTACATTGTGCTGGTCTTTACAAGCGTCGGCATGCATTGTACAATGCATTCGGTATTTTACCTGTCGCGGATGAATGTATTCAAGACTCTGCCATTGGTCGAGCGGTCGCTCGGGCCGAAAAACGAATCAAATCTGCTCTTGCTCGTCGTCAGGGTCAACATGTGTGTGATTATGTGTCACGATTCGGCACCGACGAAGGCTTGTCCATGGTTCACACTAAGGCTAGCGATATCAGACAAGTTGTTGAAGACAGATATATGTCAGAGGTACACTGGCATTGATTTTTAGTGTCAAAATGAGATCATTTGGATAAGAAGGTTCTCACTAAAGACCCCTTAATGTTCCTAGTCAAAGTGGTCTCGTGATAAGCTGAAGCAAGTACTGGACAGTGCATTTACGTCTTTGGCAGCTGATCCAAAAGTCCACCATTGGGAAATGTAAGCAGTTGAACAGCTTTTATTGGTTGTATATATGTGAGTCGACCACTTACACGATAAACTTTTTACTATCATTTCCAAGTGACGGTGAGCCCTATTTTGGCACTGAACAAGCAAAATTGTCAATGGTATGCTCGGTCCGTATGTTTTTTGCTGAAGCATCTCCCAGGGTCAAGCGCATCGCTGTAGGCAAGTGTCCCTAACTCTATTGAGAACGAATATAAACAAACACAGTTACTAATTATAAGTCAATAATGTTGTTTCCAGGCGTTTTGGCAGGTATTCCCATTCTATCATTTGGCTGGTATAACCACATGTGGCACACGCGTGTTCAGCGACACACAAAGGCAAAAGTTTTTGAAGCGATCAGTCTTCTCAAGGAACAAGTGAGTATTTGGCCACGAAAGGAGCAGATGGTGGAGGAATAACAAAGCGTATGTAATATATACTAACTAATTTCTGTTAACAATAGCTGGAAAAACACTTGACGGATCCCGATGGTATTGAACGAGGCTTGCCGGTATCTCAACTGCGTGTGAAATTGACAGATGTAAACAAACCAGGATCAGTGGACGAATGGGTCCGAATATCTCAGAATGTACAATCCCATCCACAAGTACGACGAGCATTTCGTGAAGTAGCAGGTGAACCCTGCGAATACTGGGAGCTTTCACATTAATAAAATCTTGAAAGTTAAAAATAAATGATATACCTATCAGCTTCGTTTTCTCCCTTTTTCTGTTCTTCTTTTACATGCACGTTTACATATACACAACAGCAACATATCTACTTATATTATTAGTAAATGCCTTACATCTACATAACGTTTCTTTTTTAATATAAGCCAAACAACATGTAAAACTACACCTAAGATATTGGCATAACTGACCCTTCTCTAAATGAGAAATGATAATATCAATAATAATACTAATAATGATAATGTACATCGTATTTTTTTCAAAATGATGCATACTATGCATTTTTGCCTCTAAGCTTCCAAGACGTTCATCCTTCCTTGGAATACAACCTACAAGTAATAAGTTATTCTTACTTTTAAGATCCGTAAAACTCCCTGTTAGTCTACATCGCATTCAGCGGTACATGTTCATAATTTTTTCTAATGTTGCATGTAGATCTAAGGCTAGGCAAGTGAGGCTTCTTTAGATATGAATACTGTATTGTGATAAAGCTTACTCACTGTTGGAGATAGAACCTTTTAGTGTAAATGCCATCATAATCAAATTATCCGTCCCAGAAAGTTGACAAGCGACATCTCATCGTACGTTTCTTGGATAATTGTACAGTAGGATACAGTTGAGCCTACTATGATAATAAGTAATCGGCTGCTAGTGTTTTATATTGCTGACTATTCCGTAGACGTTAGCAAGCTTTGAATTGTTTGAAAGCATGTGATTTTAAAGAAGAGTGCACCCTCCCAACAACCCTAGTTTTCTAATGATGTATTATATATAAGTTTTACTTCTCTCCTAGCTGTCTGTTTGATGGAAGATGGATGATAGCAAAGTAACAAAAAAGTCATTAGCGAGAAGTTTAGTTGCATAGTTCTTACTCACGGTAACAGCAGCAACACAGGTGGTCGTTATAATTGAAAAGACGATGTTACAGAAAATCCGGACAAACACAGTTTTGCTTTTTATGTCGTATTGTTAAATGTATATGGCGTATACTACGTGTAAACGTAAATATAACATACACTCCTCGTGACATCTTCTTGGATAACTTCTCTAAGCGGCCTCAGATAGGACATGTTTACCATCATCAAGCGCAACGCCTCGCTTTCAAACAGCTTAATTCATCACCGATTTACTGGCCAAGATCAAGTGTAGCATGGTTGTTCGCTTCAAATAAACACACTCGTATCTCTTGAGCAAGCACCGATTTCCATATCCCACCAAGTGCTCGCTCCCATTTTGATCGACGAAGAAAGGTCCTGTGATGGCTGCGCTGGTGGCAATAGTGTTACTATTGAGCCAGATTCAACTGGTATACACAGACATGCTTGCCCTTTCACGTACAAGAGCGACGGCGTCCAGGCAACAGAAAACAACCGTTAGTATTGGCCAGCATTATGGTAATATATAGTGTCCCGAGTCATATTGCTTTTTTTACGCATGGAATAGAACCAAGACCATTTGATTGCCCTGCAAACCTAAAGTATGTTCTGTGCGCCCCAATTGATCCAGTCATCCAGCCTACCGACTAATTGCAATGTCGTTGTTGACTTAAAAACGCAATAACCACAGAAACGCTGTCTATTTTACTTGTTTTGTCCCATAATATATGAGACATTGTATATACCTGGAAGGCTCTAGTGCCCGCATTCTCAACGCCTGTCGGATTGGCTTCAACCGCCGAGACTGTAAAGTAAATCAGCAGAAGACTTTTTGCTTTCATCTCGATTCATTCTGCGAGGTAACTTGACTTGAACGCCATTTATGTATGGTTGGTGAACTGGGAAACATCAGAGCAGCATCTGATGATAGCGTACAATAAGGAAGTGAAAGGCTGCGATATACGCAGCAAGCCAGGGATGAAGGACGTTTTCAAATCCTATACTTCCCCAAACTTTCGATCTTCAATGAACCCTTCAAACTCATAACACATATACTATCGCATACTTATTTCTTATGCAATTTCTATGCTTACTGTACGGTCAACAAAATCAGTAAATTAGTATTCCCGTTTAGGGCTTTTTTTTATATGAAATTGGAGTCGTCCGTGTATATTCCAATCGAAGACAGCGACAACCCTTTTTTTGGACTACGAAATACGCTTATAGTGGCCGTCCCGGTGAGCAATGAAATTTACCGTCTGGCGCAGCACACATAACGAAGCCGAGCCCAAAAGATATCGTTCTGAATATAAAAAGAGACCACGTCAAGTAGAGAGAGTGTATGTTCTTAGAAGCTACACACACGACCGGTATCCACGTTGTTGTTGTATATATGCATACTTGATTTATTTTTTGTTTTATGATAAAAAATGTTTTATGTTAAAAAAATATTTTGTAATAGACTGGCAGCTGAACATAAGGAATGACTCAAGCGCTACCAGTATGCCTACGAAGCATTTCTTGGTTTTGTGACATTTTATAAGCAAACCACAAAGGCACATAAATATTTTGCTCCTGACGCGTCTATTTATACAGCCATATTCATGCTGCTTTCGCATTGCACAAATAGTTTAAATGGAGGGCTAGGTGGCTTGCGCCATTGGGCCTACAGTCGCTTCCTTGCAGCACGGTAATTATGATAAGGAGAAGAGGAACAGATAGTGTGATGTTGCCAGAACAGAACCCCACCCCCACCCCCTTACTTGTGAGGAAAATGTTATGGATGGAAAGTAGACGGATGTAATTAGTCTAAGGCATTCTCTGGCGCCGGCATGTTAATGCACGAATAGACACTGCTTTGAGCTGAAAACAATCGAGAACTGAAGATAAACTGTTGTAGCTGCAGCAACCAATTGTGTTATTTCCTTTCTTCACCGATCTTTATATTCTTTTCATTTTTTTTCCATGTCAACGTTCCAACAGGTTACGCTGTTAACCAATTCAATGGGGCTGATTCGTTTGGCCAAGCCTGTACTGATTAGTAGCTAAAATAGCGATCGCTCGCAGTTTGGGCGATCCAGCTTCCTTCACGCGGCCAACGATGCTCAAGACCACAGAGTAGCATTAGCCACTATAACTAAGAATGTATTTTAAAGTACATTCGTTTTGCACCGAGGACATAATGTGCTGGTGCTATAGCAAAGTTGAATCCTTCCATAACCATTTTACTATATTAAACGCTAGTTGATAAGAAGATGGAATCAATAGAGGTAGAGCATCTATTAAAATCTACGTTTTTTAGTCGGCACAGCAAAATGAAGGCGGGGTACGGTTCAGGAGCACACAGCAAAGGTCTCGGTTGTTGTTATACAGGCTATTGTGAGGTACAAAGAATACTAACCTACAACGGGAGAGCATTCAGATTATTACTTAGCTAGAGTTCAATTATGTAATAAATAAGCCGATATAGCATCCCCGCCAACGCATATGGTTGCACCTCTTGAATTATTTTCTGTAAGAGAAATACTCTGATGGCGAGCTACGTAGATTTCGAAGAAAGAGCATCGTGTATGTGTTTCGGAACAAAAGAACAATAACGAATTGCAGTATTTATTACTCAGCAAAACGAAAAAAAATGCTTTTCTAAATGTGTCGATCGGCTCTTGTTGAGCGAATTTTCGATTTCAAGATCGATATGACGCTAATCTGCTGAGTAGCAGTATTTTAACTGGGTATGTAATGCGGGTGTCTCAAAGTTTGGTGATTGACTCGGCTAGTTCCGACAGCCACCAGTGTGGTAAGAAACTCCCATATCAAAGTTTATGGCTGATCATGATGTAAAATCTAAACATTTGCAGATACAGTGGGACATATAACAGGGAGCAAACTACCTTTCATCATCAACCGCTTGATGAAGTTTATTTTGAAAAGTACTTGGTGGTTGGGCGTATACTATTGAAAGGGTCTAAACGCTTACAGTGGTGTAGTATTACTTAATCGGATAGATGCAAAAGATGTTCGTTTTTAACCGAACAGCTATGGTGTACATAGTATACAGAACACAAAAGTTAATGCAAAAAAGCATACACTGGTGAGACGTAGTTCACACGCTAGCAACAGTTGTGAATGGCGATGAGATGACAACCGTGAGTATGTGGTACCACCATTGATTGATCGGGTAAATTGGGGCACGGAGAAATAGATACGTGCGCTGCTCAGTAATATTGATGATGATTAAGCGCTACTGCTTTAATGATGGTGATGGCAACGGTCGACATGTGTACAGTCGAGTCTGTGCATTCGTAGCATTTGTTTAAGAAACATCAAGCAGTCTGAGACAATAAGATGTCATGCATACATAAGTAATAACATTCGCATGCTGTTCCGATAAGTGAAAAAGCGCGCTAAGTTGGTATAGAGAATGAATCTCAAGAAAGCACTGAAGTCTAGGAAAGCTGGAATAAATAGCGCACATGGCTGCAGTGGATTGCAAATCAGCGCGGAGAGTAGAGTCCGGGCATATTCCGACAGAGCCAGCAAGGGAAGGTAGGAGGTGAAACAGCAGCTGCATCAGTCAAATACCCTTCCCTCATTTTTGTTGTCGAACAAGACTTTCCGCCAATTCTAGTTATTTTTCCGTTATCAGGGTCACTCCACCCTTTGTGTCTTTAAAAAAATTGCATTAGAAAATATACTTCATTGTGAGATGGTCGTCTGTTGTAAAGGAAAGGATGAGATTGTAGACTAGGTTTATAGAAGAGGATGGACAGAAAAAACCAACAGCTGATATCATTTCCATGGAGAACAAGCTGGAGTATGTTTTTTTACCCCACCCTTTTTCTCCACTTGATAACTCGCTATTAGACTGGGCACCCGCTTGACCTCTTTAGCACTCTCCTCTCTGGTCGCTTTTTTTTCACTTACCGTTCCGCGGTCAGCGGACGTTTGTCAGACAACTCAGATTCACTGACCGAAGATCCGCTGCTTACCTAACAACTGTGCTCTCCGTACGTGGTTGTGATGAAGACTAGCGTTAAGGTTCGGGCCAAGAGATACACAAGTGTTGGCCCGCGCTTTAAGTTCTCTCACAACATAGAGCACACACATATAGCACGTGCTAAGCCGAAATGTTGTGAGATATGGTATAACATGGATAGATTGAGTATATCAGCTAGAGCAGCATCATTCATCTTTCTTTCTCCGAGGTCTTGGAGTGTTACCACACGATACACATTTTTTGATGCTCAAAGCGGTTTAAAGGGCTGGTTGTAACAGCCAATCACGAAAAGCCCGAGGTAGCTTTTCCTTGTGCTACGTTTTACGTCAGGCCTCTCGAGGGGGCCATTGATCGATGATAGGCTGGGTAACCTGTCATGATCTCTTTCTGGTGTGTGTTTTGTGTCATGGACACACAAATAGCAGAATGTAGAATACAGAAATTCGGTTTCCTCTCACAGTTTCCACGGATACTTTTCTGCGGGCCTCTTTTTTGTACTGACTCAAAAGGGGTCAACCACCTATCATGCTATTTTTCCTCGAATGGGTCCTTAATTTCAGAACATGAACATGGAAAAAATATGGATTCGAAACCGGTGTGGGTGCTCCAATCGTTTTCCCCGACAGACCGACTATGTCAATACAAGAGCAAGATCAAACTCCGTACCAACATAGCCCAAGTCATACCGAACAGGCGCAGTTACACAAGGTGAGCCGACGACATACGTAATTGGCTGGGAGGGCGCGGGGTGATGTGGGGAAAAGAAGAACATGGAGTAAGCAGTTGAGCGACCGCTCTTCTCCCCGGGTTTATACCCCAGGTAAAGTGCAAACGAATTCTGTGCCTACCTTGGATCTATTGTTTTTGATGCGGAGCAACCCCGGGTAACTCCACTCACCAGCGTCGACCCCAAGGACAGGACGAATGAGGCTTTACTTGTCCACTTGTTTTAACTTTAGTGAAAATTCTCTCGTTTTCTGAAAGAAACATGACATGCTTCTCGATTCGTCCGGCAGCAGAAGGTACGGAACATAGCACTGAAACGGGACCTGGCTGGTTCTGGCGGTGATTGGTTTCATGTTCGGGAATTGGAGGAATCGAAGGAAAGAATTCAAGCTTTGTGGATTTCGGCCTCTCCTGGCCAACCATTCGAAATCGACCCTGAAATATAAAAGGTGCCCCTCAAATTCGACATTTTTGTAACTCTTGTCTACATTTTTTATCGTTCTCTTCTACAACACACACACACACACACAATGTCTGACAGTCTCAAACAAGAGTACGCAGACGATGCCGTCGTTCACAACCGTGGGCCTGCAAAGACCACCAACGCTTTGAAGGGTTTCATGGCCAACCCCTTCGTGTTCGGCACAGCACTCTTCGCATCGGTCGGTGGTATTACCTTTGGCTGTAAGTATCCATGATATATCCGCTGCGTGAGTTTGTCATAGCATACTTATGCTTCTCCTTTGATGATCTTTTACAGATGACCAGGGTGTTATTTCCGGTGTACAAGAAATGGAGACCTTCATTGAGCGTTTCCCTATGAACTCGACTGAACGTGGCTTTGTCGTTGCCATTCTCGAATTGGGTGCTTGGGCTGGTGCATGGCTCTCCGCTTACCCTGCCGATCGTTTTTCTCGTAAATATACCATTGTGATTGCATGTGTCGTCTTCTTGATTGGTTCTGCTTTCCAAGGTGGCGCCCAAAACCTCGATTATTTGATGGCCGGTCGCTTCATTTGTGGTATGTCCGTCGGTTCGCTCAGTATGGTTGTCCCCATGTATCAATCCGAAATTGCTCCTCCCGAAGTCCGTGGTTCGCTTGTCTCGCTCCAGCAGCTCGCTATTACCTTTGGCATTTTGGCTTCTTTCTGGATTAACTTTGGCTGTCAATACATCTCCGGTGAAGCCCAATGGCGTGTACCCCTTTGCTTGCAGCTTGTCTTGGGTCTGTTCCTTGGTATCGGTATTCTCTTCTTCCCCTTCTCACCCCGTTGGCTGATGAGCTCAGGCCGTGAAGAAGAGGCCTTGAAGATTCTTTCCAAGCTCCGTCGTCGCCCTATTGATCACCCTGACGTCCAAGAGGAATGGCGTGAAATCAAGATCTCTGTTGAATTCGACAACGAACTCGAGCGTCACCAATACCCTCAATACGTCGATAGCGGTAATAAGGGCCGTTTCATGATTGGTTTGATGGGCTACCGCGACTTGTTCCGTCCTGGCATGTTCCGTCGTCTTGCCATCGGTTCCGTTCTCATGTTCTTCCAGCAGTTCTGCGGTACCAATTCGCTTATTTACTACGCTCCCAAGATTTTCCAGTCGCTCGGTTTGAGCGGTCAGACGATCTCCTTGTTGGCTACTGGTGTCGTCGGTATCATCAACTTTGTTGCTACTTTCCCTACTGTCATGTTCCTTGACGTCATGGGTCGTAAGCCTACTTTGATGGTTGCCTCCGTCTTCATGACTCTTTGTATGGTCATTATTGCCGTCATCTCTTCCATTTACCAAGACGACTGGGTAGGTCACGAAGACAAGGGCTGGGCCTGTGTTGCCATGACCTACGTTTTCATTGCCAACTTTGCTTACGCCTGGGGTCCCATTGGTTGGGTCGTTCCTGCCGAAATCTTCCCTCTTCGTGCTCGTGCCAAGGCCATGTCCGTCACTACATCCAGCAACTGGATGAACAACTTCATCATTGCTCAAATTACACCCGTCATGTTGGATAACATTGGCTACGGTACCTACGTCTTCTTTGCCTGCTTCTGTTTCTTGTCCTTCTTCTTTGTCTGGTTCTTTGTCCCCGAAACCAAGGGCCGCTCCCTCGAAGAAATGGACGAATTGTTCGGCGGCGGTACTGCTCAGAAGGATAACGAAATCCTGCGTCGCGTCGAGCAACAATACAGCGGTTCTTACATCCCCACTGGTATGGAGAAGCCTGATACTGCTGCCTAAAATTCTACACACACACACACACCCTCCCCTTTATTCAAATCCTCATATTGTATTTCCCCTCCATCTACTTTTCGCCCGCAATAATAACTCTTGTATTGTAAATATCGTAACGTTTTGCTTTAATTCTTATTATCTTCTATTTGATCTCCATTATACAAGGGAGCATGGTTTCTTCCTTATCTTGTAGTACTACTTTTTTTCTCTGTAACAATAAATTGCAATGAAAGTTTTTTCTTCTAAAAAGAAACACTTTATACCGACTTGATTTTAATCAACCACAGCCATGTTTCATATACTTTATTCGTGCATTTTCATTACCTAAGTCCTACTCACATCCAGCTGTCGACCTCGATAGTCGATATTTTGCTGTGTTATCGAGAAACGGCTCGACAGAAAAACCGCAGGCAACCGCAACCGTGCGCGGCTGTACCAGTTATCGCTAAAAATACATCATTACCCCTTTGTTCTTATCAACAAAATATCTGAGCTTAGTGGAAAATACCACTTCGATGTCGTTTGCAGGCTTCGTCCTACTCTGCAGCTAATCTTCAATTCATAATTACCGTATTGAAAAGCTGTGTGGAAAATGCCAACTGTTCTTTTCTATAACCCAGGAAAACTCCTCGTTTACACAGCATCATGGATGTTGATATTGCTGTCTGCATTTTCCATATAACTGGGCATAATCCTGAATGCCGAGTTCGTTTCCACTCTCGTTTGAAGACGGGCTTTGGGTTACAAGACGGCGAACATTTAGAAAGATGTTGATCAATCCTCAACGGACTTGTACCATAACAGAGCACATGTCGTCTCTCAACAGACGATTCACATTGACCATTGTTCTTTTATTTTTACGCCCAGCAAAGAATGACAATTTAGATATATCAATCATACTAACACGGCGACTAGCAGCAGATCCACTAAATGATTGCTCTTGCATATCAGTACATCCGCCGCAAATATGTCCGCACGCTGAAGCTTGAAAAAACTCCCCGAAAGCTCTAACAGAGTCTGGCATTGATGTCAATGATGAAGCGATGGAAGCAATAGACATGCAGAGCCGTAGATAACTTGTGTGTTTCTATTGCAATCTATATTAATCAAGCTTCCAAATATCAAGGCAATGGTAATTTCTCTCACTAACTCGCTCCCTAGCTCGCTCCAGACAAACTCATTTGAAGCACTGTCTTTCAGAGAGTCTCGCTGGCCAGAGACAAGCAGCGCGTAATCAAATTGGAAAATGTCTCAGATCCTACGACATGAAGATTGATGCTAGACCGTATCATCTCAGCATATAGCATGACTGAGATACGCAAATAATCAACGTTATATTATTCAGGTTTCGAAGATTACGGTGACGGTGTTCATACGGAACTTCGAAAAGACAGTCATTTCCGTTTTCGTATGAACATCATTAGCGCCATTGTGGGTAACGCATCATACGACGCTTTCCACGGTTTGCAAAGAGCAAATGAAGAATCGGCTATTTTGAATGTGTGACAAAGTTCGTTAGCTTTTGCTGCCGGTATTACTACTGCACAGATTTGATTTCTTCTCATTAGAATGAAGCTTCCTCTGCGTTAGAATACGGACAAACTGCTATTGATAAGCTCGAGCAGGCCATCAGAGCAGCTGGGACGGTTCCATGTAATCTGGAGACATGCTATGTTCAAATTAGCCTGAAATGAATTCGGAAACGCTAGTTTTGACGTGCCAAGCCATGGCAAAATGAACAGGCCAAACAATTGGCGGTAATTGCTAACTCTCCCGAGGTTAACCTGGGATCATTGGCGCCGTTTTGTAGTGCTGCTGGCACGGGGGAAGAAGACTTGGAGGAGGAAGTCGAGGACACAAATGCGGAGATACTAGACCGTATAAAGATAGCCGATGAAGTAGAAGATGATATACCTCCGTTTGAAGGCGTAATGCCGGTTGAAGATGCACCAGCCTCACCTACTCAGTAAACACAACTCGTAACTTTTTCTCCCATTTGCTAATGATAAACAAAGATATGGATATGTACCGAAAGTGCTATAGCTATGCTCAGATGCAGTTTATGCTAACAGGCATTATATTTAGCTGGCTTTTTGTCATATCAACTATAATCGGGTAATCACGTCTAGCAATCGGCCATATCTGTACAGTGGAGGTAAAGTCTTACTTAGCTATCGCATATAGTATCCTACTGCATATAAGGAAGGCTATATAATTGGATTACAGGTATAGCTTGCATAAAATGTTGGTTATCTCGAACCTGGCTTTTTAAATGACCTTTTAACATAAAATAGCGGATGACTGGATTAGCCAGTTTTTGTCTGATATTTGTTACTCGGGTTATAAGCTCATGATGGGAAAAGCTAAGTACTTCTTAATGTTACATCATCTTATCTTTCAACTGACAGCAGATAAAATGTGAAGCCGAGAGACACCTTTGGATTCTCTAATGCTGATAAATACTAGGCATTAATATGTTAAGATTACCTTTCGATTGTTGATAGCCGCTAGATGGTTAATCGCTCTTGGGCAAATATTGATTATATTATTCATGCCTGATCATTGTAGCGCTCAACACATTGCTCTAAGTTTGTCTAATACCATGGTTAATGATATCTCTGCTACCGTTGCCATCATTAGAAATGTTCGCACGCTACTTCATTTTGATCATCTTCAGTAGCAATACTACGTCCACAGCCATCTTTTAGCTGCTTTGAGCAGTTTCCTCGCCTCTATCTTCTTTTAGTGATACCGGCGTCCACTGACATTTTTAGTACCGGAAGTCTCAATACGCAGCATTACTGCTGCCAAATTGTTTTCCAAAAGAACCTCCATTTGTTGGATCTTGGGCGCTTTTCTTATAGAGGTCCTTCTGTCCCATCAATGCTTTCATCGTTACGGCGGCTTTCAATCGAATGGAGGCTTTAAATCTAGGCCCATGGTCATTAAGAGGTTGAGTAACAGTAGCTCTGAAAGGGTCTCTGACAGCAGCATCCGCATCCACGATCTCGGACAAAGAGAGAGGAATATTTTTCTTCTCTGCTACTTGCGATCCGAACTTGCTTTCACACACTTGAATCGCGCAATGGAAATCAATACGTTCAACAGCAACTTCAACAGCTTTGAGCAATTCTCAATGAGCGCGTAATCGCTGGAATCTGGTCATTCTGAGGAGTTCCATAAACATCTTGGACGCAGCGGCGCCTCGTCGTTGTCCGATTTCTCCATTTGGTTGTTTTTATTGCCTCTTTGCTGACGCAGTTGGTGAAAGACTCGGACACTTTTTTTTTCAAACTTCATTCCATGGCACTTTTTCATGTGCTTTCAAGAGGCGTCTTCACTAAGCTAGCTAGCAGATTTGATGCGTCCACAGCCTAAACATACTTTTCTGTAGCCGCAATCTTAGAGACGTGTTAGACACAAGGTTATGAGTAAGCACATAGCGTTTGTTTCTAGGGCTCCAAGTTGTTCCCGATAGCACAGGATTCCATCCATACTGGGGACGTTTTGTTCCTAAGTATCAAAGTGGTATGTATTTTTCCATATGAGTTATTGCTGGTCTTAAAGAGCTCAGAAAAGTGAGCCATTGGCATTTGTTATAAGCTTGAGTTGTTCAAATTAAGGAAACAAATAAGAAAAAACGAAAGCATTACTTAGGTTGTCATGTATTATAATATATTTGGTACAGCCAAGTAAAGACCAAAATGTAAGCAGTCTGAGCTTCTCTAGTAAAGTGACCTATATGAGTACAGTGGTTCCCCGTTTGATTTCAACTTCAAAGGGGGTCTCAAAAGTGTTGAGACTACTGAGGTTTGACACAAAACGAGCGTGGTTCGAGCAGTGTTATGCTTGAAGGGGTGTAGAAAAAGTTGAATAACTGAGGGTTTATCTTATTTAGAGTTTTTATTTAGAGTGAAATTAAAGGGGGAACCACTGTACCGCCAGCATTGCTGAACCAGTTTTATCATTACAGTTGTGAGCCAGTCTTATCGGCATACTACGATATAGCCGTTAGTAAAACGGGAGGAACCACCGAGTCAGCGTTCAAAACAGATCCCGATCGGGAAAATGCCATCTATTGCTATTTTGCAACCGTGGATCGCCGTATCAGATATAGTGGATCGGATGTTGACGTGACTAGAGTGTTGATGCAAAGGTACACTGGTGTGTGTCTATTTTATAGATACTATTGTAAATTTAATGAAGTAATCTTTTCCAATTCTTTGAATATATGAGTCTTACCATATTAGCATCGTCTTGCATTTTACACAATTCTTGTGCTGGTTGAAAGTGTGCTCATAAGAAAGACAATACAGACAACAGCTGTTTATTAAGTATTTGTACAGTGCTAGGGAAAGTTACCATATGGAAAACACCATCGTTTTGCGCCAGCTTGGTTTGTTATGGTTGCCTGTCTCTTCTATCGGAGAGAATGGAACGACTCATGGGCATACTGCCATTGTGAGCACAATTTAATGCGAATTAGCAGGAAGTAGTATTGTTTCGTAAGCAGACATGTACTTTATCCCTTTGTATGATACAAATGCCGGTGATGATCATGACCGTTATGCATCAGTGCCTTCTGACGAATAGCTACCAAGCTCATGTTTGATTGCCGATATGGATAGGGAAGGTTGTCACACGGTCTATAATATGAAAAGAGCTTCTAACTTCACGAGAAAGTATCCTTACGTCAGCGATGTGGATTTTTTGACACCAGTAAAGCTTTTAGTAGCCCCCTTAAGGCTTCACAATGTAATACCACGAGTGTTTTGTTTCCATGGTTACATGAGTTAACATTTAACGACGGTAACTAAAGTTTTTACGAAAGCTTAATTGATAATTGCTGTATATTCAACTTGCAATGATATAAAAATGACCAGCCAGATGCACACATAATCGTGAGAACCTCTTCACTCGTATATGACGAACATGTCCCACGAAGAATTTTAGTATATAGTACTTAAAAAATATCCACCCAATATCACTTAAGGGTTAATCAGATCAACTGGCACGGTGAAGGATTTAGTGGTTATAAAATTGGGAAGCATTTATGGTAGCTAGGCGCCAAGATATATATTACCCTTCCTTTATTGTTTCTAACACTCGCGTGACGTTTACCCACAGTTTGTATCATCGCCCTCTTGGTGGCAAATATTTCACCACTTATCTGGACAAAGCAGCTTACTATAGTTGATAATCTTTCCTGTATACAAACATGACAAAGATCAAGCTGTATAACCACACATCATTGCAACTCGTTGAACACGTCTTTGAAAAGTTTCCTTTACTATACGTGGAAAAGAGCGATATTGAATAAAAGTAGCGAAGTGGATGATTTTTTACGTACTGCTACGGCGAAAAAAAAAAATTGGAAGAACCATATTTGGTTGCATTCCAAATAGGTCTACGGATGTATTAAAGCAATTCTCACTCGGATTTGAGCCCTTCTTTTTAAGACCATGTCGCCAGTTCCTTTCAGCTTTCACCTTTTCAAATTCGATGGTGTGTGTCAAACGGTCGCGCTGACGCTTTGTCCACTTATTGGAAAATCTGATGGTATCGAGCCACTATGCTATTCACGCAATGTAGAATTTGCCGGCATGCTTATTTTTCAGCCAGGTAAAGTATCTAAAGATGGGGGCGAGGATATATAAGCTACTTCTAGTGCCCTAAGCCATTGTCACGGTAACGATAATTAAAGCTATGTTTGACATCAAGGCACTTTGATTATGGATATCATATCGATATTCATGACGAGTATTATGATCTACCACATTAAAACAAAATATACCGCGATTGGTAAGTCAAGTAAGAAAAAGGGGGGGGGGGAATATATTCATGAGATACATATGTGAACGGCAATTACCAACGACGTGCGAAACCTTTGACAAATATATACACCAACCAACGATCGAAGGCCGGAAAGAGATCACTATGTTCTTTCAATTATACCTCATGACCATCCTTCTCGACATGTTACTGGTGACCAGCATTATTCCAAAAGCATCGATCCTTTACCCCGTACGTGAAAAGTTCGTTTTGTATCTCATTCGACGATTCACTGTCTTCCTGAGAAACATTGTACAATTATCGCTGTGTATTACTGATTTACCACAAACAAACAAACAACGATATAGTACTTTACAGCAGCACATTTGGGCCTCATTAGCGCAACTTTCTGGTGTCTTCTTTTGAATGGATTTGTCGGCTTTCAATTCGCCGAAGATGGTACGCCCATCAGTCTGTGGGTAAGAGATCGACAAGGCGCATACAACGCGCTCGCATCCTATAAATCCACACTTCCTTTAGCTTATGATCCTTGGATATGATGTAGTCGATCCGTGTCACCTGCTTCACGATTTGGCTCACGGTCGTATTGATTTCCATCCTCACATTCAACAACGTCGGGCCATTCAACTACGAAACGCCGATGGTGCTCTGGATTATCTATTTCTTGGTCAACAGTGCCGCGTTTGTGATATATGTAATCATGCAGGTCATTCTTGTCGTGTTCACGCTGGATGATCCATGGGCGCTCGGCGATATTGCTTTTGGCACGCTCTTTTTCATTGTTGGACAGGTCACAATGTATGTGTTTTCTGTGGCAATCTGTGAAGAGCTGAAGCACTATATGGACGGCCTATTCCTGGGAAGCGCGTTCAACCTGCTTGCAGTTATGATGGTGTACAAATATTGGGATTCCATTACAAAGGAAGATCTCGAATTCGCTTTGGATTCCAAACCGCAGCACTGGCAGATTTTGCAACAAGTCAGAGAGGAGGAAGAGGAGAAGGAGTCGGTCTATCAGTAGCGTTGTTGATAGAACAACAGTTATTCTAAAGCACTATGGGAAAAATAAAGGCGGTTGTGTTTCGTGACTCTGTCAAACGAGAAAAAAAAATCACAGAAACGCGTTTTCTGTTCTCCTTCCCATTCTCTCAGACTCAGACTTTTTTTTTTCCTTTCTTCGTTTGCGTGTGCGCCAACGTCCTTTTCTACTCCTGCAAAGAAGATAAAGACGGTTCCTGAGATCTACTTCTTGTTTTTAGTTATTTGAAAGGTATCCTATCCTGCTTCGCATAGTCAAACGAATTGTGCCTCTCTTTTTAAAAAAACGTAATGGCTCAATGAATCTTTGACACAGTCCCTTTGCGTTCGCGCTTTTACCACTTACAACAACAGCGACGAATAATGACGGCAACAAACGGATCCGTGTCGATTGAGCTACAATGGCCTACTATTCCCCCTCCTTTACACGACGTTACAAACAACACTGGACTGCAAGAAATTGAAGATAGCAAAAATGGGTCTCCTACTGTCGAAAAGCACGATCCAATGCTTCGTGCTACTGCAGTGGGCGAAGCTGTAACCGTGGATGAATCACTCTTATTCGAACAGCAGCAGCAGCAGCAAAAGGGGACGCAGAACGAAGAGTCACCTCAGAATTCTATGTCCCCTGAGACAAATACGCACAATGACTGTCAGCAATCCAATGTGATGGATATGACCACTACGCATCCATTGTCACTCAACAACAACGTTGAAAAGACACCAGATCCATCAATGCCATCTGTTTCAGAAAAGGCATCAACAACGACGCCCATTGTAGTTGTCGGTAGCATACCATGCAAACGCACGTGTGAAGATCCCTCATTCGACTACCCTGGTGATACCGATGTCAAGCGTGCGCGTGCCGGCGAACCAACTTCATCATTACTCTCCTCCTCTTCTACTGCTATCGCAGTCCCACAGCCAAAGGTTTGGTGTCGACGATGTGGTACCACTAAAACGCCTCGTTGGCGGGGCGGACCTCTTGGTTCACACACGTAAGGGCCAGAATTTTGAATCAGAAAGATCAAGGTATAATTGCGTGAATAACTAATCACAATTTTTTCAGATTATGTAATGCTTGTGGCCTTCGTTGGAAAAATGTGGGTAAACCGGTCGAAGGCTTCAACAATCCTACCTACCCTCCACCCGAACTCCCTGAGGCTTTAAAACCTAAGGTCTTAGTGCCAAAAGCAAGGGCACCCAAACCAAAGGAATTGCAAACACGAGAATCAAAAGCAAGGGGGGCTTCACAAACCGCCGTTGAGAAAAAGGGAGGAAGCAGCAACAGAAAAGGTAAGGTTAATGTAACGATTCGATTGAGAACTTCTTTCATTTAACGCATTAGCTTTAACTGTTGTCATAGATATCCGCAATGAAAAACCTCGCAATCAGACTACCGTCAAAAAAGAGGCAGCATCTACTACGAGATCGACACCAGATACTGAAACAGATACCAAGTATATCACCGATTCAGACAGCATGTAAGTAACGAAAATGGAAGAAGATGTGGCAAGCTTGTTTCAAAACCCGGAGTCTAGTATGATGAGCTCAATGATACTCCTTTAACCAATCCAGAATTCCCAACAACCAGCTGTTGAGACGGCGAAAGCAGTTTTTAATTGCTGGCATGTACTCCTCTACTTACAAAGAGCTTCAACCGGCCAAAGGCACATCGGCAAAGCGACCACCTCGAGTATCCTGGAAAAAGGGCTCTGCAAATTTCACGTCGAATGAAGGGGGATCTCACTTTCGATTACCACTGCCCATTCACCAGGGCGAATTTATCTTGGATACCGAGCAGGACTTTATCCTGCCTGCCGATGTCTTCCAAGAGCACAGCAGTGGCCGTCTTCGGCCGATATCCAGTTACACCAAAATCAAAACCAGTAAATATCACATCTCTGAAATCAATGTATGGATGGTGCGAAAAGCAAGTACATGTACTTAATGATATTTCGGCCTTGATTAGATATATATGTTGGACGGAGGGCTTGCAAAACAGATCACCAAGCCGTATGCCAATGTGAGACACCGTCAGATGGGTCCATGGGTTGTGGTGAAAATTGTCTCAACAGGTATGAAGGTCTATTCTGACGAATAAATGACGCCATTTGTCGATTCTTTACGCCTTAGAACTCTAAACGATCATTTTTCATACTCTCGTCTCTTTGTTCCGAACCTATAGGATGTTGTTCTACGAATGTGATCCAAAAACGTGTCCTTGTGCAGAAAAATGTGCAAACCGACGATTCCAACTGAAAAAGTACATCAGTGAACTTGAACCTGTCCTTGTAAGTCTACGATTCGTGTTGACCCTTAAGAGTTTTCTTTTTTTTTTTTCTGTTTATATAGAAATTTCTTTATAGCTGACAGAAACCGTGTATACTTGATCGCAATGCTAGACAACTTCTCGAGGCTGGGGTTTGCGCACTTTGGTGGATGTCAAAAAGGGTCAGCTGATAACTGAGTACCGTGGTGAGGTGATCACACACCAGGAGGTCAAGGAACGCATGAATACCATATACAAAAGCAATCGAAACTTTTACTTTCTGGACTATTGCAACGGTGAAGTCATTGATGCCGGACTCAAAGGAAGTGAAGCGCGATTTATCAACCACAGCTGTGATCCCAACTGCCACATTGAAAAATGGTAATTACCGATAGTTAACAGGAAAGCCGATGCAAACCTTGGTTAACATTAACCTTTCTTCTCTTTCATAGGGGTCTGAAAGGTGAACTGTTTGTTGGTGTGTTTGCATCCAGAGATATCAAAATAGGAGAGGAATTGTTCTATGACTATAACTTTTCAACGTTTGGTGGCAGCGGAGACGATCAACTATGTCATTGCGGCAGTATCAAATGCCGCGGTGCTATTGGCAAGAAGCCGCGACGCGAAAACTAAGCAATAGCGTCATTTTATTCAATCCGTCAAATGTATCAATCCTTAAACTTATATCGCACCCTCCCCTCAACATCAAGCACCCTTAAACCATCACTCTCTGCTTCATAACTCGCTCTTTACATGGTTACCCGCATGATTTCAGTAATTTCGCGCAAATATAACAAAGAACAGGAATCACTACGTATCATGTCTTAATGAACCATATTCGTCCGCTGCGCTTGTTGTTTCTTATCTACCTAATGCATATACGCCAGTACTATATATGAAGGCAAATAGGCCAAATTTTGCCTGTCAAAGTCAGTAGTGCCATTGCTGCCTCATAGGAAATCAACTGCCATGCAGATTTACTCCTAGCTTTCACATATTTGGATCCCAGTCGTTCCTTCGGCTCGTTTCTTTCTTTCTTTTAATCGCTTTTATCCCATACTTGAGATCTCTTGAACAATAACCGGCAACTTAAAGCATGAGCACAACAAACACGCCTTCAGAATATGTGAAACTCATTAGCGCTGACGGATTTGAGTTCGTCATTCACCGCGAGGCTGCAATGCGATCGGGAACAATTAAGAATATGCTTGTTGGTCCAGGTAGGCAGGAACACTCATATACTACACAGACTTGGAGTTTTTGAGGAGCTTTCCTTCATACTGACACAAATGTCGTTGACAGCTCAATTCAAGGAATCTTTTGAAAACGAGATCCCATTCCGTGACATAAAGTATGTAGTTTGCTTTGAGTATTGAAAAATATCTACGTGTGGTTATGAACAAACACCAACTGACTTTTTTACTTCCTGGTGCTGCTTAGAGCTGTGATTCTCGAAATTGTGTGCCGATATCTCTACTACAAGTGGCAATATGAAGGCTGCACAACAGAAATCCCAGAGTTCAAGGTCGATCCTGAGGTGGTGTTGGAAACGCTGATGACGGCTGATTTTTTGGAATGCTAGAGCTCTGTTATTTTCTCCCTATCATTATTATCTGCTCACATTTCCATAATATCGGTTGTGGATCAAACCGTTACAGATATGTTGTACATAATCGCCTTCTATTCTCTTGTTCCATTCTTCAAAGTAACTATTCTCATCGTCTTCCAACTTCGCTCCCAGAATCGACACATCCTACATTTTCCACTTTGTCACAATGACGAATAGAAACTTAACCTAAGTGGTGGAAGATACATCATTACATGCTCTGATTTTTGTGTGTGCTATGAACAAACAATAGATTTTGTTGTAAACTATCGTTAAGTGGAAGGCAAGACATACTTTATCAAGATAAATAATATCAATAAGGTTTTATATACGTGTGCGTTTTTTAACTGTTTTATAGGGTAACCGAATGAATGTACATGACAGGGGGTTGGAAAGGATTTCAGAAATCTGCTGTACGCTTGAGTCGAGTGAGCCTTCGCTCTCTCTCTTCTTCTTCGCCCGATGAGTATTCTTGTTCTTCTTCCTCCTCTTCATCTTCGTCGTCAACGAAATCATCGTACTCATAGTTATCAGTAACTCTGTGTGATGTTGTTGTGTATCGATCATCGGCCCTTTTTCGTTGGCTCTCCAATTTCTTTTGTGCTTTTTGACGCTCTTGTTCTTCCTTCTCTACACTATTTCTGACTGCTTCCGGATCCTTTTCAGTAAAGAACATTTTGGTCTTAATCTTTTTGGCTTGTTCTGAAACTGATCCACTTAGTTGTCGGTGCGTGTCGCTGTGGATATCGTAGGGCCGGAAAGTCATTTGATCGGTTACTTCAAGCTGGCTTTCCAAAACACCAGATGATGTTTGGTGAGCAAGTAAATATGTATGCTCTTCTTTACCGAGCGTTTTCCGTGTTGCATCGAATAATTGGTTTCCAACAAGAAGCGATGTTGTACCGTCCTCCCATTCGACAAAATGTGTGTTACTTTCTGTGATCTACGTTTTTTTTGTACGTAAAATGGAGTTTAATAGCCACGAATAACCCCAACCTCTGGATCCTACATGGGTGTCTATGTAAAGACATACCGTGTCACCATAATCGTCTACACCTAATCGCCATCGAAGCGTGTGTTCCATTTGCTGTAAAACGCGTTCATCTTGTCCTTGACCAAGGCTACCTTCATTTTGTGCTCGAATTTGTTCCAAATCGAATGGCTCTGTCTCAATATCAAGGAAGCGTGGAACCTTTGCTAGATAAAACTAGAATGACACATAAACACTATCAGCTTTATTCCTTCTCGGAAAGAAGATTCCTTTCAGAACTTATATACTGATTCAGAGATCGTTTTACCTTGCCATCCGATGTTACAGGAAGAGGTAATGATGGCATTCTGACTTCAACCTCAATGCGTTGTTTCTTTTGTGTGCCGTAATCCTGATCGCTTCCGTAGTCTTCTTCATCGTTATTATCGAAATCATCGTTACGTCCGCTTGTCTCGTCATTATCAGAATCCAGTTGTCTTTGCAGCGAAATAAGAAAATCATTAGATTGTTTTAAAATACTGAGAGACAGAGAGCCAATGCAAACGCTGAAACAGCAAATGACTATTTAACTATATAATTACCTTGCGGGTCTTTTGCTTGCCTTCCGTTCATTATCACTTTGTTCGTCACTGTCGTAAGCATTGGCTTCAGGACTCGGTGAACGCGCTTGAGGACCAGGTGAGGGTGATAATGATTGTTCACCTTCTAAATCTGAAGCTTCATCCCCGGAACCGAATAGATTGCCAAAGTCGTGTCCATCGTCGTCGGACATGTTTATTATGTTATGTGTTGTGGAGCAAAAGGTAAAGAGGAAAGGAAAAGGTTCTAATAAATTTTCTGCTGCTACTCAAAAAGAAAGTCAACGATTATTGATACGCAACACACGACAGTCCATCGTTTCCATAGAGTTTTGTAAGCGACAAACGTTCCTTGATTGCTAGCGAAAGTTTGATGACAAGCTAATAAAGCCTCTCTTTTAATCTCTAATGCTTCTTCAGCTGTATTTTTGTTACTTCTGGCTTTAATGAAGGTCAAGACAGATCCTTTTTTTTTAGCTACTTCCAAAAAAAACTGATGATACAATTGTAACTAGGGCTCATTGAGTAGTGTTATACTGAAACTAACTAATCCTTAATCATTTATTACTAGGAAAATCTGTTGTAAAAGGTATCAGGCATCATCATCTGTAATCTTAGAGTCTGAGAATGAAAGTGTGTTTCTTATATATAAAAATCTCTTAAAGTTATTTAATTTTAAAAGCTTCAAAAATTATTATAAATCTCAACTTTTTAACTAATATGCTAATTTTTTACAATCTAAAAATCATAAATATTATACCCACCAATTCTATTACCTTCAAAAGCGATGAAACTGCCTACTAATGTGGTTGCATGTTGTGCCACGTAGTGCTGGAAATTGCATAAATTTATGTAGTTTATAATAAGATTAAACCTACCAGCGGTGGAGAGATGGCCGAGTTGGTCTAAGGCGTCAGGTTAAGGCCCTGATCTCTTCGGAGGCGTGGGTTCGAATCCCACTCTCTTCATAAAATACCACCCCTTGAGGTGGATCATCTTTTGTCTTTTTTGTGAGATATTTTTTTTCTTTTTCTATTTAACATCATTTAAATTGTTTTTGATTTTTGATTTTTTTTTGCCTCAATCGCTGCTCCTGCCAATGTTTTGTTTAGCTTTTTACAGCTTCAGTTACTGATTATAACGTTGCTGTATCGTCACCAACAATATCAAATTTCGGTGTAAAGTATACCGGTTTCTTCGCCTTAGCAAAGAATTCAATACGGCAGATAGATGGAGTCCGGAACCGGTCCCTTTTAGCTGTGACGACTGTGAGCGCGTTAATAATTACCATGTTCTATACCGAGCGACTCTGGGTCCAGCAGCTCGGAGATATCTATGCGTTCGTATATTTCGGATCTTATCGACCGATTCTAAAAATAAGAAGCAGCTTTACGACCTTCAACAACATTGAGTCCAACTTGACTTTAAATCCTTAGATTACGCAAACAAATCATATCGCTCTACGGTGGTGACAGGACTTCCACCTAGTATCCACAGCACAAGCCTCACTGGAACATATGTTAGTTCACCCTACCCCAAGGATAAACTATAGTGCACCTTTATCAGCGTATTCGACGCGTGATTTGACTGTGGGAGCTGGGGTATCAATCATTTTGACGAAGGAGCCATCGGCTCCCCGTATTCTCTGATTTATATTGAGCTTTCCACTCCCTTCGTCCCTTTTACTACGTTGATATTCGCCATCACTTCTCTACTGTCCCGTTGTACCAGCCTAACCATGTCTGTATACTTCTGGAGTTGTTTGTTCGGATATGGCTCTTTTCCCTCCCTCATTCTATATACATCACCCACTAGGGTTAGAGTCGTCAGTCTCGTTGACGACGCAGCATTACTAACGATGTATTGACAGCAACCCGACGACATGATACAGTACACATAATCAATGTGAAAGTGCCGTGATCGTCTTGATCAGACGGTTATACCGGTGTCGTTTACTAGACTCGACACTATTTGTGTGACAGCTCACGGTCCGGCCATATTATGCACGACTCGTCTTCGAACACATCCGAGCATTCCAAACGCGATAAGAGTCGATTTTCGCAAACCTAATGACGCGCGTGTTTTTAAAATTTGACAACAAACATCCTTGGGCTGGCAGCGAATCAATGAACTCACGCACAGTAACTACGCCATAAGTGTTACATGGCCAATCATTTGCTGCTGCACCCTTCTTTCCGCATTGCTATCTTCAAAAACTGTGCTAGTAAGTTTCATCAAAATTCCACAGACGACTTCTTTAATTTCGTCTACATCCTTGACTGCAAAGCCTTCGCGAGCGACGGCCAGCATGATTTCCCGCCCCATCCTACAAACGGCACACAATGTGATAGTTAATCCGCACTTTCATCCCGGCTTCGACAAATACGCAAGCCTGCCCATTCAGTTGTGTCGCTTGTTCGACTCGACGTGTATGGTCACTTTTGCTACACTCGAGCTTGGGATGCTCACTGCGCTCCACACGGACCTTGGCCACGATGTTTATTTTCCCGGGATGTGGTGCTGCTTCCAAACGCCAAACACAGCAAGTAAGCCGGACCGCTTTATAACGATATATTATACATGCTTGTGGTCTACATAGACATGAAGAACACTCCTGTTTAAATCAAATCCCTGCTGCTGAAACATAGATCTACTTGGCTAATATGAAATGAAATCCACTGCACGTATAGGGAAGGTACATTACTCTGGCAGTAATTGTAGGTCATACAGAATTTGCAATAGATACATACCTGTATAGAGGTTGATAGCAAGTATAGTATGATAGCTGGCTCCCTAAATAACTCAGTAATCACAATTACAGAGCTTAATACTGGATAACGGATGGTATTACGGACAAACAAGTGGACTTTTGTCCTATCAGAAGAGTATGTATCAGCAGGAGATATTTTACTTCAGTTAGAGGTAATTCCTACATATCTAGCTAAATAAGCTTCAAACATAAGAAAAATGCATTTTTACGGCAGTGACAATCATAATACAATAATTATCATAAGTCTGCTGAGCCGCATAACGGGGTTACAGGTGTTCTGGCATTAGTCTGTAGAACAGTATCGCTAAACTTGTTAGAGACAAATATCTTTCTGCATCTTTCTATTTCTACCAGCAGCTCACAATATCTATGATATTTATTAAGTTTATTCAAAGAATATACTGAGTCCAAAGAAGGGAGGTATTGCGTCTATAGTTTATAAGTTTGTGGATTAGAAGGTTAAGTTGACCGCATAATCTACTCTCCTGTTCCCGCATGTTTGGATCGTAGTTAAAAGAAATCAAGAATCTTATTTGTGTTATCCCTTTTACCAGCAACAAAATATCAAGTGCAACGACCATCCATCACATGTTTTTTATGGTGGTAAAAGGTAAAGGAAATACACAAAGAGCCTTTTTTTTTACATAGGTTGGTGGTAGTGCAGGGAAGTATATGTCTGTTATTATTTTTTTACATTACAGGGATGCTATGATGCTATTTACATGAGTGGTGATGTGGCGAAGCTTGTTTGATAGACTGTAATCGCTGAAAAGAGAGTATTCATCGTCAAAAGTCATTGTAGGGTTCAATAACGATTCCCAGATCGGCAGATAATCGTTAAATAGGTATATAATGGATGCGTTGTAAGGCGGTGGAGGTGAGGAATTTGAAGAAGTTGCGTTGCCGTTGACTGTAGGTTGTTGTGAAGGCGACGGTGATATGTCGTAGCGTAATGTCGCATCGAGCTAAAAAAAAAAAAAGAATAGGGAAAACCCCAACGATCACAAAGAAAAAAATAATAATCAGCAAGGCAGGTTCGAAGTGAAAACACCAGCCCAGAACATATTTTTTGATCTTTTTCAACTTGCTATTGACAGGTAATCATCGTTACGCCAATGTGGGAGGAGTGATAGAGCAGATAACGTCATGATAAGTGCGACAACAGTGTTTCCGTTGAAAACATCGTGCCATTCCGAGGAGAATAGCCGGATAACTGATTGAACGTCGTTGTCACAAAAGCCTGTATAGTCTCTCCTGGGTTAATAGACATAAAGGGATAAATATTTAGAATTTGATTATTACCGTTTAGTATGAGGATCCATTCGCGCATTCGATCCAGACAGGATTCTAGGCGGTCGTCATCGGATGGACAAACCATCCAGCCCAAAGTGCGCCACGAAGAGTCAACCTACGTCAAGCAAATATCAGCTTGCCTAGCATTAGGATTTAAAGCAGCCACAGTAATAAAAGATTATTCTTACATAGCTATTCCATGGCTCTGATTCGTTGGAACACCATTCAAGGACAGTCAATGAGCAATTGTATATGAATCTCGGGTACATGAGCGGAAGGAGCCAAGCATGACACCGACGATTCTTCAGGCCTTCAACTGTTCCACCATAGATGTACGTACTAAGGGCTAGTTGTAGACGGTCATAACAATTATCATTCTGGGAATGAAATCCCAGAACTGTCGCTGCTAATGCTAGTTGAGACGGTAGACACTGTGAAGAGTTCCCACTCTTTATTCTTCGTTTTAGAGCTACATTTGCTTTATCACTAGAGACGTAACAAAACAGCATTTTATGGGTAGTTCACTAACCTTGAAATGATTATCTTCCACTGGTTCACTCGTTGTATGCAGAACCGAGTCAAATATATGCCATAAGAGACGAAATATCCTCCAATCACCTGTCGAAAGAAGGTGGTCTGAGATAACAGTGTACACCTTGCGAAAATGTCGAGCATTCATCAGCACCGCCTGAAAAAGCGAAGAGTCGTTGAGCAGTAATTGGATATCGTCAGAAGGGATGTATTTGGATTGAAGGGCGACAGTGTCGATTATATCAACGATTTCAGCCTCCAGAATTTCGTCATAGAAACGCCACAAGCTACTCGCATTATTTAAAGAAAACCAAAGAATAAGTATCAATACAAATTTATAAGTATTCATACAATACTTTGGTCAATTGCGTTACCTCGTTTTAAGATGCCAGGGCCACTGCTGATACAAATACCACAACTGACTTTTTTCCTTGCGTTGCAGCTGATGATGTTGCAACAATGTATCCAGAAATGACCGTGATATTGGCCGCTTAACAGTGCGGATTTGTTGGATAATATCTTCCTCGTCGTCGTCGTTATAATCGATCTCCAGTGTAGGCGGGGATCGCGTGCCCCAATAAATATAAATTAGTTCCTTCTCCAACAGGTCGACAGCACTCGATACCAATTTTTCAATGATCAATCTTGCTTTGTCTTGATGGATAAGCACAAGACTCATATCCAACAATTGGCCCAGTTTTTCGCTCTAAAATAACACATAAGAATCACCGCCTATAAAATACCAGCCTTTTTCTCATAAATGTAAAATTAGTTCCCTTCTTACGTGCAAAGTACCGGCTATAATGCGATCATCAAGCTCATATAGCAAACGGTCCAGTTGCTGTTGTATATGCTGATCGTTATTTCTTTTGTGATTACGGTTTGGTTGAAGTGAGTCAAGTGTTGACGCGTGAGTGAGTCGCCGTAAACGCGTTATGCACCACTGGATAGAGCTATATCGCATTTGTGAAAGTTTGTAAGTAAAGCCTCCTCTCCACACAGGAAACAACAAGAAAAACAGTTGACGAATTACGTCGGTTGTGCATGAAGTGGCTGGTCTCGACTCGATTGCTCAAATTTGGTGTACTCAAGTAAACATGCCACAAGTTGTCTTGCGATTGCGGGATGTGCGGCTATGAGGGGGTGTAGCTAAAACAATCAAATCAGATTATGTTGTCTTTTTGAAGAAACGCGTGTGTATATCTTTACATAAGTTTCAAAACAAAGTTGTAAAATGGCACATACTGAAGCAGTAGTAAGTGTTGATTCTGCGTCTGGATAGAGGGCTGAACATTGATCTGCTGTTTGACATCGGCAAAGAGCCTAAAGGAGGTAGAGGGGAAACCAGAGCAGGTTTCTGCGCGTTAGTGGAAAGGTTAAAAATAACCTGACTGATTCTCCTTCGTTTTGGTTTTACATTGTAGAAAAGAGACAGGAAATCAAGTATGAAGGACGATTCCTGAGTTAACAATCGTAATCTTTCGCGGTTATTATTAGCGTGAGGGCTGGCAAGTGCTTTTTTAAAGCGAGGCCAGTCCATGAGCACAGGCAAAAGGGTACGCTCATGTAAGCTTTTAAAAATAAGGTACGGAGCCTTAAACTGGACCGGCTAATTCATGTAATCAGCTGCTGCTATTAGAATCAATATTAAAAGCGTGACAGAATCAAAGTATACAAGGCAATCAAAAAGTATGCATATTAGATGAGCTATGGACAGTCTCATAGACATGTCCTTAGGCAGATATGGAAAGCGTGGAGAAAAACTCTTCTATATCTTTATTTTTAAATAAGAAAAGGGAGCCCTATCCACAGGCTTCATTATGTATGCTAGCTGCACAAAGGACATTTTGGGTTATAGCGTTCAACATAAACCCTTGGTGAGCGATCCATCGCTACGGATTGGCTATAATGATTTAGACATCTCAAAAGGGGATAGAAAAGCTGCACGGTTTTAAACGGTTTAATCATCATATAATAGGGTCGGTTCTCTTGGTGAAAACCTACTACTATCTCGGTCACGCGGAACTTCTGCTAGTTAAAGATCCAGAAAATTTGTTGCATCACAACGTCATTGTCCGTGCTGCATCTTTGTCACCTAATCACAAGCAAGTCTACATATGTTAATGTCACCATCACACATACCTCTTGATGACGCGATATGGTTGCATACCACAGATAAATTATGTGCACACTGCTCACTAGGGCTCTAGTCAGACAATAATTATTATTACTAGCAATGCAAGCAGCTGCTGTAGTGTCATTAATATTTCAATACAAACATAGTGTGTAATGTGGAGAATATTAATAGATCCTTCAAGGTCGCACACTTCTCATTACTATAGTGCGGAGTAGCACCATGTAGTTACGTTAAGAAAGACCCTGCATGTGCAACAATGGAGGTTTGTGTGTGTAAAGTGACACTTGGCCCGTGATATATGTGACCGACGCACAGATGCTTTCTCTCTTCTGAATTATCATTACACTAACTTATTTTTTTTGTGTGGAGAAAGAAAAACAATGGAATTCTTTTTGACATTTCTGTAGTACGGAAAGAAAAAAAACATGGTATCATAAAGAAAATTGCACACACAAGCAAATAAAAAGCAGGCAGCTGTGAATGGTGTGCACAAGAGAGATAGAGAAAAAAATACAAAGAAGGACTGGACGATATAGCAATACACTTTGGTGAGAGATCATTACAAGCAAAAAAGAAAGTACAAATGAGAGAGGTAAACAAAAAGAAAGAAGCATATCATAGCAGTATATAGTGTAGAAGGGGTAGTAATAGTTATAGTACTAGTAGTGTAAAGTTATACGGGGATGGGGTTTTTGATATATGGGCAAAATGGGGATGGCTTTTCTTTAGGCGAAGTATAGGAGACAAAGAGAGTAGTTGGAGAGAAGAGAGATAGAATAGAAAGAGCGGGGATTGTATAAATATTATTATCTGATCTATGATGTAGCTTGCTGATTACAAATGTTGGTCACCGCATTGTACTTGCGTGCACCCACATAGGGCGTGGTTGGCGTCGTGGGCGAGAATGCGCTTGTTTGGGATGCGTTGGAAGACAACGTGGGTGTGCCCTGAGCAGCAGCTGCTGCTGCGAAATACGACTGCTGCTGTTGATGATGGGGATGGGGCGATTGTTGCGGTACCGATCCAGTCGAGTTCAATCGCGAGCGAGTGCCCGACCAATCCACAGCGGCGGCTGCAGCCGCAGGATCCATTGTGGGCACATAGCCGTTATTAGGCGTGGGTGGATGAGCGAGCTTGTGCTCTTCATGCACAGGCGTCTGAGGATGGGGTGGCGGTGGAGCTGCAAACTCGCCACCGTTGTACATCTGTGGCGTCGGCGACTGTGGCGAGCCTGTGGACATCATGTATGGAGGTTGATGCGATGGAGGTGGCGGAGGTGGCGGAGGATGATGGTGGTGGTGATGCTGATGCGGAGGAGGAGGATGATGATGATGCTGATGATGATGATGTCCATTGCCGTGGTAGCTTGGCGTGGGAGGCGGTGGAGGCGCTGCCGATGAAGACGACGAAGGCGTGGGTGGATGGCTCATCATCATTGTAGGCGGTACAGGGCCGAAATGCGTAGGATAATACGGATACGATGGCGATCCGTAATCATTTGGCATCATGTTGGGTGGCGTGTACGGCGGTCTTGGGAATGCTGCTGCTGCTGCTGCTGCTGCTGCTGCACCGTGGTCAGGAGCTGCTGCCGAGGGAGGTGGATGATGGTGGTGAGGTGACTGTGTCGGGGTGGGCGGTGGCGGAGGAGCGGCAGCGTTTGGCCCCAACATGCCTGGGCGCTCCTGGCTGTCGGTGTAGTGGCCGGGACTACGACCACGCACGACGAGAGGCGCAGACTGGCAGGACGCGATTTTGATCGGCTCGCCTTGATCCGTTTCGGCAAAGAGATCAGTGACACAGACGTAGTACTGCTGTGCGGCACGTCGTTTGCCATTGTTGGCGGTGGCCGTCTTGAACTGGATGCGCTCAAAGGTAACAATGTTCTGGTTCGTTCCGACTGAGCTCATGCTGAGATTTCCGCCGGGCGTGATTGGCTTTGGCTGCGGGGTCATTTGAGGGCCCTTGTCACGCTTGGGCGTGTGCTGAACGAGTTCGATCCGCTTGTCGCTATTAGAGACACGTGCAGAGACGCCCAGCAAGAAGCGACGCACGGGATAAAACATGCCATCGTCCGCACGGACAAGGCACGGCGGTTCGTGTTCGGTGTAGTAGTGGTTGATCCCATGGATAGAAAATGCACTACTGACTTGGAAATAGTTGCGTCGATAGCACGTCCAGTCATTGTCCGCAAGGAAGAATCCTCGGTCCATCTTTGATTGGATTCGAAGCGTCAACCTGTAGTTTTTTTCATTAGAAACACACACATACACACATTCTCCTGGACGAGCAGTAGGAGGCAAATATGAAAAAGAAGCACTTACAGGGTGGTTCTATCAAGCGCAAACAGATTGTCGAATGGCTTTGTAGAGCTGAAGAATGGGCCTGTCTCGGGAGGAAAGAGTGAGTCGCTTCGGCCACGCTTTCTAGGGACAGCGGGAGGCATGTATGCGGCGCCATGGAACGGAGGGGAGGTAGCATAGGGACCGTTGGATGGAGGTCTTGTTGGCGACGTGGCATCGGCACTAATGGGGCTGAGGCGGGGAGGAGGAACACTATGGACGTGATTGGCGTTGTTGATGTTAGCTTCTTTCATTCTCCCTCGCTAAAATTAGTGATCATCCAACAAAGTCTCATTACCCAGGTAGTCGCGAGTCGGCGGTCGGCGTCTCTGGCTTTGCTGAATATCCACCGCCATTTGCTGAGGTATATGAAGAAGGATGCTGATGTCTAAAAAATACGCAAGGGCGACGATGAGTATATCCTTATTGGGAATGATCAACAACCCAACACTTCTATTGCCGCCGCCTCTTTTTTTTTCTCCTTCGTTTTTTTTTTCATATGACAGACACACACACACACACACACACACACTCCTTTGTCGTAATGTTCGATAGTCCCAATTAACAGTGACAGTGACAGCAAACTTACACGGGAGGATGCATTGGTGCACTTGCCGAGAAGGATGGCGGTGGGGGAGGAGGCGGATAGGCCGAGTGATCCATGGGTGGATAGTGTGATTCGGGTACAGACGGACTGGGAAGACTCTGCGGCATTTGCCATTCTTTCGAATCGTGCACCGAGTTCATGGTGGGGTACGCGTTGGTGGTGGTGGTGTTTCTGCTGTAAATGGTGCCTGTAGATGTCCTTTTTTCCCGTTTATTTCACTCCTTTCCTAGCGCTGATCGTGCGATGGAAAGAAACAAGACAGAAGAGAGAAGGGGGGAAGGAGGAAGAAGAAAGAGGAGAAGAAAAAAGTTGGGAAGAAGAAAAAAAAAGAAGCGCAAAATAAATATCTCTTATACACGCACGATGAAAGAGAGAGGGCCCACACAACTCGCACTCACACTCTCTCTTTTCCAGGTCGGGGAAAATACTCGGGCTGATTAAGGTTGAGGAGCAGACAGCGCAACGTTAAAGTCAACGAAACCCGCTCCTCCATTTTGGTGTGTCAACAATCTTTGATGATGATGATTCGCAGGTTGATTGCAGCAGCAACAGCGTTGCTATTAAAAAGCAAGCAAGTAGGTAAGTAAGTTAGCAGTAATGATAACAGGACACACTATGGGATCGGCGTGTGCAGTGGAACCTTGTGTGATCCTCTATTGCGTTCGTTTTCGCTCGTTCCGTCAGCTTATTTGTCAAATCCATTCTAATACATTGCGTTGTTTCACAAGGAGGAGAGGGGGGTTTGGGGGGGAAGGGCGCCCTTTTTCCACACTTTTGTATGTTTGCCTGGTTCACTTAGTAGTAGCAGACGCAAGAAGATTGCTTGACTAGCTCTGTCGTAAACTGTCATGCCGCTGTGCGGTGCTGATCCCTTTTGCACGCACGCGCACACTGTGCACAACTGTTGTACATGCATTACACTCAAAATGCCACTTGCATGGATAGGCGAGGGAGGACGAGCGATGCAACATGGCGCGTGCGTCTTGATGGAGACAAGATCTACTATCCTTGCTGCTACTGCTGCTACTGTTGTCTCTTCATCTTGCCTTTGCTCGCTTTCGCTTTCCTTCTCGGGGAAGATCAGTGATTGGGGGTGAGCTGTATTTTACTTTACGACTCTTATTGATGAGTTAATAATGTACGGGTGTGTCACCGAGTCAGCGGCCCAAAACTTTTGCTTTTCCGCGCCCCCACATGATGTTCGAAGCGCATGTGGCGGATGGACTTTTTTGGATGGTTACCCTGGCGACAGAAGAGCCGATCATTGTTTTCTCTCTTTGATAGCAAGGTTACCTCGTATAACCCTCAAGTGGCCTGTTCTGTGTGTGTGTGTGTGTGTGTGTGTGCTGTGTATTGTGTTGCTATGCGACGCGCACGGACAGTACATACATTGCTCTGAGTATGTGCACACACACTTCTTGCTATACTCTCCAAACAGCACTACTCCAAAATGTAAATTTTTTTGGGTGCTTGTGACTTGGGAATTGTTTTACAGAGCAAAAGCGTGTGTTTTGCTCTTGAATTAAAGTTTTCCCGTTTTCCTCTTTTCGTTCCAATCCGAAAAAAGAGGCCATTTTGTTCTTATTGCCCTCAAGCCGCGGGTCGTTATGGCATGTATTATCCTTGGTTTATAATATTTAGTCTTTTTAGTGCACATCAAGGCTACATACCTTTTTCGTTGGGTACACAAACGAAATTAGGCTTTTTTCTTCCTTGTGGAACCGCTCATCTAGCCCCTGGTTTTATTGCACTTGGCTCCCCCTTTGTTTTTTGTGCGTGCACAGGGCAACGGTCAGGTCCACAAGAATGCGTAACGAACAATACCATTCATCGTCGTACTACTTGACTACTACTTGCCTACCATATAACTTAGAAAATCCGAACTGAAACATAGGGAGCACAGACCAACCATACTATTTAAACCTGAAACAATAGTAACGCAGATACACGCCACCCTTTTCATTTCCGCTATTGACAGAAGCTATGCTTTACTGCAAACGAGGCTCTCTGCCAGGAACAGCACAAATACATACACACCTGGCTTCTCGTGATACATACACTGAAACATTGAATTTTGATTAGCGCCGCCATTCAGCGTACAATGGTTATCACGACTTGGTATATTCAATGTTGACGAATGCCATGCTTAAAGTTTTTGGCAGTCGCTATTGTCGTCTGCAAAACTCAAACTGTTCCCAAATGGCACTGGTTTAAGTAAGCTTTGGTACACAGCGGGATATACTACACACGTACAACCATCCTACCAACTGCCAAACTACTCGCAATGTTGATGGCTAGTTTAGCTAGCTCTACACTACTGCACTCAGGACAAATATCAATATCTCAAATCACTGGCGAATGGCGGGACCTTTTCTGAAGAAAAATAAGCTTTCTGCAGCGCTTTTCCGAATTTGCACGACACCTCGAAACCTCACAATATACAACTGTCAATCTATTCATCAGGCAAATGAGATTCAGACTGTTCTGCCATTGCAAGCCAAGGATGATTGACCGATTTGCTGCATCTGCCGTTCTGCATAATCACATGGTCTACATTATCTGTTTTCTCAGCTGAATCAAAAAGATGTTATTGAATGCTTGCGTATCTCCCGACATTGGTTGAATCGACGAGTTCATTGCTAAACCATTGACAATTCAAACAAATGGCAAAGAGTGGAATCAGAAGAACGTCTGTACATTTACGCTGTTCTCTTAATATTCGTGAGCAAAATCTACGCGTGATGGAGAGCGATCGATATTCAGTGTGCTGCAGGATTTCGTAGCTGACTAAACAAAGTAGATCGACAAGCTTAACATTTGTTGCTTTACAACGCTTTTTGTTCAATCAAGCTCAAACTCATCCATCATGAATGATATGGTGTTACTCTGCATGCAATGATGAAAATTTGTCCTCGATTAACGCATTTTACGATGCTTCTCGGGAACAAGAACCTGATACTTTGGGCGAGTGAAGTGGTGAAAGAGATGATACTTTACGCGCTTTTTTCGGTTTATCTTGAATTTAGAATGCCATTTTCCTGCGACGATGTCCTAAACACCTGAATATATATTTCTCAAGTTTTGCTATAAAGCATGTTCAAGCTTGAACGGATGGTGTACCTGAGGGGATGAAATGCTCGAGGCTTTCTAAAGAACCAAGCGCTTAGTAGGGCTGGCGCTGTGGGCTTGTCCTGCCACTACAAATACGAATAAAATAAAGCGATCATGGATCAGGTCTCCTCCTCTCAAATAACTGATGTACCGTCTTTACAAATGCTACGAAGTGCTATTTATCCAAAAATAGAACTCAACGCTGCACATGTAGTACACTGTAGCAGTGCCTGCGGTTAAACTTAAAAGAACTATGCGTTTTAAGCGACACTACATCATGATTTTAGTTTGGGAAGCTCACGCAAGTATATATGATTTTCAAATCTCCATCAGTAGTGATTACTGCTTCAAAGCTCCCAACGCTCTCACAGTGAGCTATACGCTACTAATCGTGTCATTTCTCTGCAAACGTAGTCAAATGTATTGTAAGAACACACACACAAAAAGCGTCGTCTATAACTATGTATATTCATAAGGGAAGAGCAGAGTATTGGTGTTTTTATTGGATGTGCAGTTGTATAGGGAGCGGTGCTGTTTTCTAATGTCTCACAAGCTACTCTATATATGATTGCTCCACTGGCGATGTAAGTAATCGATCGTTTGGCTCAGCACTGAGAATGATATAGCTCCATTAGCATAATTACTTAAGAATCCATGTATTGTTCCCAGTGCACGAATTGCAACGACAGGCACATCGGCACTGATTAGTTTTCTGGCATAAGCTTCTCCGTCGTCGCGCAAAACGTCAGCTTCTGCAGTAATAATTAATGCGGGGGCAGTATCCTTCAATTCCTCCACAGTAGCATGTAATGGCGATACAGTGCTAAGCAATCGAACTTGCTCATCATGGTCGTCCGGGAGGTACCAATTCCAATACAGTTGCATTGCCTTTTTCGTCAAGAAGTAACCATCGGAGAAAACCTGGTAAGAGTCAGTTTCAAAGTTGGTAGCGCAAAGAGCAGGATAGTACAGAACTAGGCTCTTGATCACTGTGGTTCCACGTCTTTGTTTATCTAGAACTGTACCACAAAATATGCGAAAATAGAGGTTAAATATCCAAAATGCACAAAATTGAAAATCCTTCTTCACGCGTCCAAATTAGGAAGTTAAGAGCTATACCAGATAAAGCAGCAGTAAGATTTCCACCTGAACTGTCACCGATAACCGCGATCTTAGTTGGATCCATTTGGTGCACCGAAGGATCGGTATCCACAATCCATGAGAGAACGTCGTAGCACTCTTCGAGGGGTATCGGGTATTTCACTTCTGGGCTGAGCGTATAATTGACGAAAACGACAGCAGCCTTAGCGTGCAATGTCAACTAGATAGTGATAAGTTTAGTATTTTTGAACGTTATACTACGCGACTTCCCCGCCACCGTACCCTGCCGTGCACAGCATGTGGGAGTGGACTTTGTCCCGCAATAGTTACTTACATATGCTCGGAGACCTTTATACATATTCTCGTCCCCAAGAACCCATCCACCACCGTGACTGCAATTGCAAAGAAAGCGTGTTTTGAGACATTATAAGCGAATTTGAAAAAAGCGCTATGTTTGCGAGATCATAGTACTAGTAGTCCTTACATAAAAAGAATCACAGGCAATGTTTTTCCTTGAGTATCCTTTGGTCGGGTGATACCCAGAGATATTCCACTCGGTGTTGTTGTATGCTCGGCATGGACTTGGGCAAATAGCTTCTCTCCTTCTGGGTCGCTTAAAGCTTCTGTAGCACCTACGCGTAGCTCTTCCAACGGAATGGCTGTCATATCCAAAGCTGCATATTGGTCCAGGTACTCTTGCTGAGGCTTGTGTAATTGTACTTTAAAAGAGGACATGGAGATGTGATGTTGATTCTAGCAGATAACAGTGCTGGTGTTGTGGCTGAAAAAAGTGTGGGTTGATAGAGAGTAGAACTTCTTGGCAGGTGAGGATCCAAAAAAAAATATGCGAAAGGCTTATATACAAAAACCCGGTTTGGACGACGTAGGCATTTAACAATCGGTGCTGCTGACAGACATGTACTTAATCAGCTTACCAAAAGATGGCGCAATGACGATGTCCGTGAATTAACGTACTTTAAGACAGCAATAACTTTTACAGTTAATGAGCAAGGCACAACAACAGGTACATGTTCCCGGTACACACATTATGCCATTATAGTTTTGTGAAACAAACACTATTTTTCCCATCAGGACACATATGCAGATTCCACAGTTCTACCAAAAATAGTACTTGTCATTCTTGATAACTGTCGGCATCTACAAAAAAAAAACGGAAAATCGACTCTAAACGGTTGTAGCTACGAATAGCCAAACGCCAACAAAGCAAACCTTCTGGAACAATTCTAGGGTTGTCTCATTCTACTCCTTCCTTAATAAAACTATAAATAGCTGGATTATTGTCGAATCTGAGGAAAAATGCGGACATCGGCACAGACAAATTTTTAGATGCATATCATTTTTCATACGTTGTATAAACTGTTTTGGATCGACGGAATCTCTTTGAGAGTTCTGGAGTGCTTGCGGTAAATGGCGGTGCGATGATCTGCCTCCAAGAAAAAAAATGTTCATAAAGTTTGGTAGGGGAATATGATCATAGTCGATATGTCAAGCGTTCTTTGTATCTTATGGTATAATAATCATAAGAGAAGTGCTGCAGGTACGAGTTTTTCTAAGCGGGGTGTCAAACGTGAAACCTGGTATAGTCAATCCGAGTGCCGTCTTGCACGTACGAGCTTTTTCCCAAAGGAACTGAGCAGCATACGCGTACGAGCTTTTGTCTACCCATGAGTCTTCCCTTCTTGGATGGCCTTGCCAAGATAACTAGCTATAATCATACCTTTTAACGTAGAGCTGATCATTAAACGGGTGCAATGGTTTCAAATACGCTGTTCTTTCCTAGACCTTACATGATTCATCTGTTCTGCCACTATTAATGACATATCTAAGTTTTGCATTTGCTTCTTATCTTTGAGTTCATGGCCCTTTCTCGATATTTAATGGCACACCAAGCTCAATCCCAGAATGTCAATAAATCAAGCTTTTATGTAGAGAATTTTTCTACCGAGTCCCCATAGAAGCAAATAACTTGTTTGATTGATTGGCATTCTGGGATTGAGCTTGGTGTGCCATTAAATATTGAAAAAGGGCCAAGAACTCAAAGAAGAGAAGCAAACGCAATCTTAGATATGTCATTATATTGGCAGAACAGATGAATCATGTAAGGTCTAAGAAAGAAGAGCGTATTTGAAACCATTGCACTCGTTTAATGAGAAGTTCTACGTTAAAAGGTATGATAATAACTAGTTATTTTGGCAAGGTCATCCAAGAAGGGAAGACTCATGGATAGACAAAAGCTCGTACGCGGCTGCTTTCTTGCCACATATTTTTTTGCATTGCTTCTTCAAGCATACTGCTTGCTGTAACCGATGGTGTATTCTCTTGCTCTCAATATACTCCAATCGTAGTCTCACAATCTCTGCTAGAGCTTCCTTTGTATCAGAGACATGCTTGTCAAAATGCTGATGGAAGAGAGGAAGTGACGCAACTTAGCTACGTTTGATGATTATACAGAATATTGATCTTAATCCTTACCACTAAATTACTTGTGTTATCCTTAGAAACTCTGTCTTAACTCGCCGATACTTCTCGGAGCTCAGTTCGTTCTCTCGTACTTATGGTTTCTGCTTGGAAGCATGGTCAAACAAAGAATTGGGTTTCTCATCCATATTAGCAACGAAATTTTAAGAGCGAGTAAATCTTTCAGCGATGGTGCAACAGTATCAATGCTACCGTAATATCTTGACTCGTGCCGAGCGTCTGTTACTTAAGCGTAATTTCTAAAGCATAATAGCAATAATATCATATATTGCAACGTAGGGTTGGCTGTTATGTAAGCCAAAAAGAGATAGGAAATAACGGGTTTATTCTTTATAGAGCTTTGATGGCTTTTCGAGGAAAATTTATAGCATCTACCTCTTTGGAGGGATAGAAGTGAGTCCCACTGTTTGGTAACAAATGTAGTAGCGATTTCAATCTGCTGTAAAATAACCTGGGTAAAACAAGCTGTTCAGCGGTATTGTATGAAAGAACAATTGGTTAAGCCGCACAATAGACAATTTATAACGCCTTACAATTACTAGCGGGAGTTTTGAAACCCCCAATGGATACATATATTCTTTCTAACGAATCGTCTTTCAAGATAGAAGACGGAGCAGGTTGTCAGCGTCATCTTTTCCTTAGCGCAACAGCTTGCCACTGTCCTTTAAATATATTTATGGTAGTCTTACATTACCTTCTCCACTATAGTTCTGGCAGGAGAACTGCATTGTGAGTTAGTGCCTCTTAGAAACAGTCATCCTTTAAAACGTCAAAGAAGCATACCGTTTTAACTGGGCGATATAGCTTTAAATTGCATCTATACACAGATTATATATCTGTTATTTATGTAGAAGTAGCTTTGTAAAAGATAAACGCCTGATATAAGAGTGCTCGTTCAAGAACTGTAGCAGCACTTGCTTTATTAAGACCACAATGGCTATAATTCTTGACTTAGCCGAGGATAACTAACCTACTTTCCTGCTGGCTTAGCGTTTAGCAGCACACAAGTGTAGGCCGGCAGGTCGGTATTATCATTACAGATGTCGATATACTAGAAGATTGCGGTAGAATTAGCAGTTTAGGCGCATTGTGTGTATCCCTGATATTGATACCTTCCTCAATCGCAGCATCAAAGGCCAAAGCAAATATATGCGGCACAAAACATCAGACATTGTACAGAAAGGAAAAAGAGATGAAGTGTGGTATAATATTTTTGCATTTGAATGTTTTTTACTCTACATACAGTTCCATACAAAGAAAAAGAAATGCGGGGAAAAAGATATTGGTATAATCATCATCTATTGGGCCTATGTACGAAAGATGAAATAAATGGAAGAAATTTGAGAAGAGTGGGTGTACAAAAAGAAAAGAAGAAGAAAGAAGGTGCGTTGACGACTTTTCTATTATCGCGAGCGACGAGGGGTAATGAATTTGGTATCTTTGCTCTTGGCTTTGGTCATCCGCACTTCAACTTGATTGCCTTCACCATCCACAGGGACCAAGAACTTGTTGCCTTCTTTGATACCATGCCCATAAGAAACAGGCGACATGCCACGCTGGAAAGGTGTGGAGCGTGATTCTCGCACAGGCGTAGGAGGACCTCGTCCAACGTTGCCACCACGACCACCACCACGGATAGTAACAACGCCTCCAGATGTTTGCAAAACGCCTTCGCGGATCCTGGAGCCATTGCTGTTATTACGAGAAGCACTGGCGCCAATCGTAGCAGCTGCTGATGGGCGTTGCTGCTGCTGTTGGCCTCTGGAAACAAAGTTGCCATCCTCCAACAGAGCGTGATCACGCAAGAACTGAGACAATTCGACCCATCCGCCGCCAACTCGAACCATCACCATGCGACTTCGCAGAATGCGGCAATATGCAAGCTTCGGATTTCTGGCACCGAACCAGTATCGACCGACTTCGCCAGGAACCATCTTGACACGAATCTTGTACGGTGAATCGTTAACAATATCACCGACAGCCATATCCAGATCGTTCTTGGGATCCGCAACGTAAGCTTCGGGCGTTTTGCTGGCAGCACGCGAGGGTGGACGTCCAGTAGTGGCCCGTGTTGCTGGTCGCGGTGTCCGTGTCGCTGCTGCTTTCGATGTTCGTACAGTAAGTGGAGGTGGTCTTCGTGGTGCCATGGCAGATTGTGGTCGCGTCTTGGTAACCGTCCGCATGGGCCGCGGCGTTGACTGCACAGGCTGTGGCTTTTCTCCAAACGATGGCATGGACTGGCGTTTGCTCAGAGTTGATTTGCGGCCAAGCAGGCTTTCCTTAATCATTCGGCTATTGAACGACTCGCTCAGAGGACCAATGCGGTTTAGCAGATCGGCGCGTTTGGATGCCGCTTGTGCTTGCAATTGGGCCCACTTGTCCTTCAAATCCGTTAGGCAGTCAGCAACACGTCTGTCTGTGATAACGTCTTTTGCAACATCCTTGGCTTCATCCATCAGATCGTTAATCTTTGGCTCGTAGTACCGGTGCCGCGTATCCAAATCAATCAACATGGCTTGCAAATCAGCGCGACTTGGCAACCCATCCACCACGCGGGCATATGATGGCGATGCACGCTCCACAACTTCGTACAATGCCGAAAGCATCACCTCAAGCTCTTCGACGACGGTCAAGAATGCTTCGAGCTTTTCAGCAGATGCAATTGCGTCGCGCTTCATCCGAATGATATCCGTCAGTCCACGAACGGCTGCGGCGATCTCAGTGCGTTGGCCGGAGAAAATATCTTCACTGTCCGAGTTGTTGTTGAGCATTGTGTCGAGCTCTGTCAGCTTGGTGAGCAAGTGCTGTTCAATATCACGGTCGGCGGCATCCAGTTCTGCCTTGGCAACAAACAGCTCGTGCTCCGTGGGCATCATCGAAAGCGGGCATGTGGTAATCATATCAAAGTCGTTGCCATCTGCTGCATTGACCATGTCCTCGGAAAAGCCGCCACTGACACGAATGCTGTTCGCTCGGTCCTTTAAATGACCCACCAGCGTCAAGATCTCCTTGACCTTGCGAGCAATTTCCACGTCGCGCCATGAATTTTGCACGGCCAGCTTGGCCATATCCAGCTGGTTTGCAAGCTGCTTCCATTCGCTCAAAATCATCTCTTCTCGTTCCTTGATGGCGTCCTTGACTGGCTCGGGGTCGACGCTGAGCTCGTGCAAGTTAACTGGCTTATGGTCCCGTCCATTGAGGATACGTGACGGCATGGCTTTGAACGCGCGCACAATTGGCTGGATCTGGGCAATTTTGCTTTCGAGTGCTTCCATGTCTGCACGTAGCTCGCTTTCGTCGGTGATGCACACATCACCTGTGATCTGTGATATAGCTTGACTACATTGGCTCATCCACGTTTGAAGGTCGCGCGCCGCCTTGGCATGTACTTGTGTCTTTTTCACAAACGCCGCCTGTCGCTTTTCGAGACCGACCGTATCCAGTAATTGTTCAAGTCCATCCTCAATGCGCCTGACAGGGCCTAGCACGGTTTCTTCGTCGTAACCTTGGCTTTGTAGCGCACGGGCCACATCCCACAACTGTTTCAGTTCCTGCTGCTGCAGATCACGCGCTTGAGCTTCAGACGCTGCTGCTTCCTTTTGAATACTGTGGGCCAGCCTTTCGATCTCGTGTGTCTCGCCTGCTGCAAATGGACTGCGTCCCACAATAGCCATCCGTCCACTTACGGTTTCCTTCAACGCTTGCACCTGTCCCGACAACGAATCAGCCCTGCCAAGAAACTCGCTCAGGGCAACGGCATTGTCGGCATTCTTCTTTAGCGCGTCAAGGCTGGCCTGCACCGTCTGCGCCTTGCTCAACAAGGCAGCATGTCGATCGCGTGCACGCGAGTAGTTTGCAGTTTGCAGTGGATCTTCCTTGACTTTGCTGCCTTCATCTGCAATCTCTGCACCAGTATCATTGAGTGTCTTGATTGCTTGGCCAACCTTTTGCTCAATGGCTCTCAAGTCGTCGTTGCTCCATCCTGACTTTGCCAGCTCAGAGATGCTTTCGTTCAAGCCCACCAACAAGCTGTTTTCAACCATGCTGAGACGTCGTTGTCGATCGTACCACTTGCCGACAGTTTCAGTGAACTCGAATAAGTCGCTCATGTCACCATCAAGTTCTTGCCAGTCATGTTCAAAGAAGGCCTTGACTGCATCCACATCCACCTCGTCGTTCTTCCCTGACCCTGCATGCTTCAGATCATCCCGCAGCGTATTGAGATTGTTGGACTGCTCACGAAAAGAATCGGACACTTTAGCCAGGGTGTCCCGTAACGTCTCATAGCGTTGCCGATCTTGCTCTTCGGATTGACCTGTGATGAAGCCGCACGTTTGCTTCAAACCAGGCAAGGAACCACGCATTTCATGGAGAAAATTTCGCAGTAGACTGAACTTTTCGGCATAAGTGTTCCCATCCTCCTTCTTTTTATGCAGCGCTTCCAAACTGGCACCGTGCTCGTCAAGCATTCCATGCAATCGATCGAATGCATCGGTAAGATATTGTGATACGTCTTCCAATGCCTCGCGGTCAACGGCTGTGTCCATTTTGGCAACAGTTTCCAGCAGTGAGTCGATTTTTGTGAGCACGTCAATAGTTTCATTCTCCTTGCCACCATCCAGCTTCTTTAGCAAGTTGTCGCGCTCACGCTGTAGCCGTCGCAGATCGTCCATGCTCAGCGTGTCTGATTCGACATCCACTCGTGCTTTGCGTAGCGTGTTCATCCGCTCGTCTGCCCACTCGCTTAAACGTTTCGCGTCGTTCAGCAGCTGCTTGCCACGCTTGTGTAGCTGTAATACATTGCGTAGGCCATTTAGCGAGCCGTCCAATTCGTCGACCAGACCGACAAGCTCTGTGCGCTTTTCGCTGACGACTTCCCGTGTAGCACCGTTAGATGCATCGCTCTCCTCTTTGTCCACCTCAAGCCCTGGGGTTGGGTACGGTATCCGACCAGCTGTAGCAGTGACAAGTTGAACGATGCGTTCATGTAGCTCTTGAACACGGCCCGTCATTTCGCGGTCGTTGTCATCCGGCAATGCCGTGCGCTGTGCCTCCTCGAGATCCTCCTTGAGTTGCTGTACGTCCTTTTTGATCTGGTAGTCTTGATACAAAAAGTCCATGACTTTCAGTCTTTGCTCGACAACTTGGCGTGCGAAATTAATCCTCTTGAACAGATCTTCAAACTCATGCTCGCATACCGACTGCCTTGCTTCCAAATGTTCGGGAACATCAATGGTCAAAGCGTCCTCCATGTCATGAAACGCATCAACGGTCTTGGTAAACTGGCCTTGGTCAAAGTCGTTGCGTTTGTTTTCGAGCATTAGCAGTCGCTGGATGACGAGTTCCTTCAGCCGTTCTTGAGCAATCGTCTGCTCGCGATGATGTGTCTCATCAGCATCACTGTGCAGGTCGTCCTCTGCCGCATGCCACCGTGCGCTGCCACGGATAAATTCCTCCACCTCATTGTCGGCTTTCTTCAGCCACACATGGCATTTCGCTAGCTCCTCTTCCCACGCTGTTCGTTGGGTCAGGACGTTCAGATCGTTGCTTTTTTGCCGCAACGAGTGCACTAGCTTTTCAAGCGATGTCAATGTCGTCAGCGTTATCTCGATGGTTGTTGTGTCGGCAGGACTCAAGTCCTTGCCTGCACGGCTTGCACCCGTCAGCGCCTTGACATGTGCACGCAGCCGAGCCATGTCCTCCTTATCGAAAGTTTCGATTTCCTTTTCAAGAACTTGGTGCGTCGCATTGAGTTGCTCAACCTGCTCGCGGGTCGCCGGTAAATCTTTGCTATTCAGGGGTTCAGGCACTCTAATCTCCTCAAGCCGCTCCATGCGTATGGCGATCCATTGTCGTATCCGTTGAGCCTCGGTGAACCACACTCGAACTTCTTCCACCCATGTTCGCACCAGCTCATTCTTTTTTACAAGCGCATCGAAATGCTCGCGGTACACCTTGTCGTCCTTGTTGTTCTGTCGGTCGCTGGCTTCTACCATGTCGTCATCATCCCGGATGGCAACAACGCCATTGCCGTCGACGCCCTCTTCGTTTTCGTCACCTTCACCATCATACTCTATGAGCGCCGGTGACTTGACAAGATCGGGAAATGTTTGCGATATATTCTCAATCATGGAGAAGGCCTTTTGTATGCGCAGCTCCATATGCTGGATGTCGCCGTCGGTCGATGTTGAAGTGGTCTTGACCATCTTCAGTTGGACGTAGTCCAGCTCGTTTCGCACGTCAAGACAATGTCTTGAAAACAGATAGCCATGCTGAAACGTAGCTAGCAGATGCCCACCTTTGTCTGAGTCCTCCATCAGCGCACGGAAAGCCAGGTCGACCTGATCGCACCGCTGCTGGATGGCATCGTCTGGTAGTAGTTGCTGCGCCAAGCTGTGAAACCCATCAAGCTCATCTTGTCGAAACGCCTGCAAAGTCACCTGAAACGTATTGTAATTTTGTTCATACGCCCTGAGATCTTCGTCTCCGGCTTGGAGGGGATGCAAGAGGCGAGGCCCTTCGGTGGTACATTCGCTAGCTTCGGACGAAGATTCGAGGAGATCAGGTGTTGCAGACGAGGTGCTGCCACGGACCGAGGCGTGGTAATTCCGCGTCGGAATAATTGCTACCAGCCGATTCTGGAGCTGGAGGATCTTTTCGAGAACCGCATTTGCACGCGCATGAAATTCGTCCCTGTCTGATTTCACCGTCGTCGTCGTGGTAGTTGTTTTGGTCAGTTTCACATGCTGGATAGAATAGGTGGCTGTTACTGTAGTCGCCGACTGCTTCTGCTGTTGGGTGGATGGTGCATTGGACGTGCTGTCGCTGGACGATGGTGAAACCGTCGTCGTAGTGAATCGTTCAATGTCCTCCCGTCGTTTCGTTCTCACCTCTTCGACCTGGTTTCGTGCCCGTACGCCCCGGATAAACTCGACCAAGTACGCCAAGACGGATTCCTCGTCAACATGCATGGCATCTGCTAATACGCTTGCATCCAGCAGCACGGGTACGTGGAATGTGTTGTGTATCCGTCGAAATGCAGTCTCTAATGTGTCCCGCCACCGGTTTCGATCTTGCCGTCGCTCTTGTGAGAGAAACTCAGAAAGATCCGGAACGCATTCCGGTTCATGGCAATGTAATAAGGTCATGAAGAACGAGCCATCCTGCCATGCGTCACTACAGTCGTCGACAGTTGGTAGCATTGACGCGTTGATATAGTCGGCCAGCGTATTTTGTGCCCATGTTAGCAGGACTTGCTGGATATCAGCTGGTGTGGCAGCGGTATGTTTGGGTATGCTAATGATGGGATGGATCTAAATATATGTTGCCATTATAGTCAGTTATCGCTGAGAGAAGTCGCGTGACCAAGTATTATTATGATTGCCATAAAGGAAACGCGCATCTATGTGTGTGTGTTTGTGTGTGTGTGTGTGAAATGCACGGTTGAAACAAAACACATACATGTGAGCTCATGAAAGCGAATGTATCGGTTTGCAGTGAATTGATGATGCGTGCTTGATATTGTGTAAGGACAAAAGAGAAAAATGAGATGCTGTTTTCTTGCTCATGAGGGTCGTGGTGGTGATGGTGGTCGTTGTGCCTGTCTGTTGTCTTCTTTAATGTGGGCAAATAGTCCAGTTCCAAAAAATTCTGCAGTGTCGTCAGTGCATTATGCCGTAGATCCCTTTCTTGTTGCGGTGCTACTGGAATATCTGTCAGGGCAGATACAAACTGCGCCAATAAAGTGTCGTCGTCCGCGAGTTGTGACAGGGTCGATATATTACAGTTTAGGTTGTGGATCCAATGGATCAGCATGCTATTCCGCAGATGGCGACATTCTGGCGGGATGGCAAGTGGCGGTGACGGCGGCGTGATGGGCGGTTCGGTCATGGTATAAGAACGATCGAAGGGCGTAGCTGTTGTGGATGGCGTATGTGAAATATCATTGAGTTTAGAGGACGTATTAATTGCTGGTTCGATGTCAAGATCCGTGGTCATGAGCTGAAGTTGGGGGTATATTGTAGATATTACAAGGGCAAAAAAATCTGTTGTTGTGGATATAAGAAGAAAAGAAGAACGGAAAGAAAAATGCTAGTGGTGGTGGTGGTGCTGCTGGCTGCTGCTGCTGCTGTAAGGAAACAAGGGAGGAGGTAGTACGCGGGGGTGTGTGTGTGTGCCAATCTGTTTTGCTTATTTTTTAACCAAAAGGCGTCGTCGTCGTCGTCGTCGTCGTCTTCTGTGTGCGTTGGAGGAGGCGGATTAAGGGGCGGAAAGTATACACCACACGACAGTGCGTTTCTGTGATGTTAGAGAAGGGAGGAAGGGGGTTTGTGTGTGTGTTTGTTGGAGAGAAGAGAAGAGAGAAAGAGAGTGGGCAAGAGGGCGAGCGAGGCCAAGCGTTAAACAGCACACACAACAAACACACATGCACTGGTCTCCGAACAGGCAAATGTGCCACAATGTCCTGAACTCTTTAAGGTAACCACGTTCCCTCTCAACTACGAATTGTGTCGGGATCCACGCCGCCACTTTGGAGGCAGAGGCCTTTCCGAACAAGAAGAGTGCGTTCGGGTGAGAGAAGAGCTGACTAGACTGAGTGTAATGCGTGCGTGTGTGAGTGAGCCGGGGCCCATCTCGATAGGTGCTTCTTTCTTTTTGGACACATTTCCGCCGTTCGTCCCCCACCCCTCTCTTTTTTCTTTCACAGCTCCATTTTATTCCCCTTTACTTTCTCTGCTAATGCTATACTAGACCCTCACGTAGTGCAATGGCCACCCGACTTAGGTGCGGCATGTGATCCTACTTTTTTTATACTCACTTCCTGGGTCCCCTTGTTGCATACTGAACAATAAGTGTATCATCTCTTCCTTCTCTTAGCAAGGACATGAAACGGCTGTGGAGACGAAGAGTGGGGTGAAGTGGAGTGTGAAAGACCTGTGTGATATGTAACACGTTCTGTGATAACTATAGAAGTCCCGCCTTTTGCACACTCACACACACGCCTTGTTGAGCTGAGTCCATTACACTTTAACGCTAAGTAGTAAATGTAGTTTTTATAATGGAATTTAATAAATAGTTAATAGATTATATATCCTAATTGTACACACCGGCATAAGCACATGCTGCCATCTATTTGTCAGGCCAGAATCTCTTTTCCTTCGGCAACAACATAAGGTTTAGTTTCTTGCCCCGGCTTATATGTGTTTTAGTCAGTTCTACTTGGATATAACCATTTTTATTTCTGCACTATTACAAAAGTACAAGCGTAAGCGATCGTGTAACGTCAAGATGATACACTATACAAACCTTTCATCTACCTACATGCATAAAAGTTTTGACAAACGTCTGTAAAATGAACAAGACGCTCATGCTGAAACGCGAAGCAAGGGCAACTACCGACTGCCACTTGATTGTCACGCTGCGAACCAGCAGTCTATAACAATGATATACTTGGATTAACAACTAAAAACAAAAATCCATCGAAATGATTTAGCCATCCTGCATCGGACACTGTGTTCCGTGGTCCAGGGCGTACAAGGAGTTAAAATAAATGGAGGATACTCTCTCTTCCGCACAAGGACTGTCAAACAAGAAACGGGGTTTAGCCTTTCTGAGAGCTTTAGACCTTGAAAGATTTGCTCATCGACACTTCTTTTCTTTTAACCTCAAATATGCTTAAGAAGAGTGCACTACTGCAAATCTTTACTATCATTAATGTCGACGTATGATGTATAAATGCGCAGCAAATATATACATAATTCGTCATGCACGAAAAAAAAGAGTGGAAAAGGGGAGAATTTCATTGCTATGTAGCTTGGCACTCAGCAACAGTAACCGTAGCACCAGTGGCACTATGTGCTACGTAATAACCAGTAACGTGTGCCGTTACAGAAAAAAATTCATACGTCTCTTTATACATTACATCTATACTCGCTTGAGTACATTAATGTGTGTTCTCGCACACAAAATAGAAGAATGGCTTAAAGAATATTACATCCCGTTCTTTGTTGTAATTTTTTTTTTTAAAATTCAACCCCTATTTCATGGTAAAGGATTTTTTGTGGCCACTCGTTAAGAATTATCAGTGATGATCGGCGGATATATCTCAAACAGGGAGTATACTAAACAGGATAATTAGAGAAGAAAGAAAGTGCCATTTGCGTTTGTCGTTGTCCAAACTTGATAAACTTCTTGAGCTTGTTCTTCCTTATCTCCTTTTAAAGTATGCTCAAGGAGAGTAAGAGAGACACACAATACACATGTTTTACTGATTTCTAATATGCTTTTTCATGCATATTCATCAGCATTATAGTCATGCATATATGCTGGCGATACTGCTGATGTTGTCCTTTGTCTCTGCAGACTTACATTACAGTAGCTAATACTGTTAATATATGCAATCTCGCTAGTGTACTACATCATCATACGCAAACAAGCAAACGTAACAATGAAGTTGCTAAACATGCTTGCCTACGCTCCTGCGTATGCCGTAGTGTAGGAGAAAAAGTCATAAATACAGTAATTCTGGTACTACACAACGCTTTTTTTATTATGTTGCAAGACTTATCATACATTGATAGTACATTATGTATGTCTGTAGCTAGATATCACAGACTTGCTTATACATATTGTAAGTCATGTTATGGATCATTTAAATGATCGCTTAGAAGTACTTGAAGAATATATGTACTTTATGCTGGGCGATCCAGGGGAGTGGACAAGTGCATGGATCGTCACCCCATAGCCTCCTTCGTATTATCATATTGCTCAACAAACAATCATTTTAGCAAAGAAAAAAGAGTATAGGCTTGTATATTACAGGAGGAGGAAAACCTACTAAAGCAGACATATTGACTTGAGATACTCAAATGAACAGACGTCACACTATTGTCAGTTTACAAATTAATCTTCAGATACAAATGTGTGGATTAAAGGTACCAATAGGAAAGTAATCGGCACATACCAGTAAAACACTGAACGGCGATACTAAAGAATATAATAGGCGATGAAACAATTCAAGTAGGGGAGAGAGGTTTGTGCGAAATCATAATATATCCATGATCCGTTAATATCCTTTACATCCCAAATATTCCATATTGATCCGTTGGACTTCTATCCGCTTCACGTACAAGAGTTATCCGTTTCTTGTGTTTTGAGCCAAAACCTTGGTCAACAGTAGCCAAAAAGAAAAGAAGGGCGATGAAGCCGTTGTATATTTTTATAGGATATCTTATGTATATACTAGTACTGCGAAGGGTTAAGAGGATGCGTAATCTCTTACGAGGATTCTTGTAAATGTTTAAGTCACACACATCGCTATTGCAATAGAGAGCAAAGTGCTGCTATAATTGGTTTCTATTGAAATACTGGTGCTGCTTTGTCAATAACAGTAGACTCAGTGCAGTGTAAGTATCATGTTTGTTTAATAAAACGGGCTTTTTTAACTTTCCTCACTTGTTGTACATTACTGTCGCAACGACTTGGTAGAAAAGAAAGTATCTCGTTTAAAGAAGAAGCGTTGATAACGATTACCACTATTTGGTATGCCGTAGGACAATCGCGTGCAGGAACTTGGGTGTATATGTAATTCCATATCCATTGTTATTGCTAATCAAGTCTTTTCTTGCGGTTTCTGCCTCCTTCTTCTTAGCATGATATCGCCCTTTAGTGAAGTGCTGTTATTAAAAATACATAATACGGGGGCTTGTCTTCTTTTTCCCTATTATTAGCAATGTTTTTGATATATTATAAAACATACTAAAGTAGTAGATGATGAATGAGTCAATATGCCGAAATCTATTTGACACCACCTTCCCGTGACAGTGAGGTTGAGTTAGCACAGGCTTTCTAAAAATCATTTTTCGCCATGGAACCTGCTTTTCCCCACTGAAAGCTTGCCTAGCAGTCTACTAGTCGAATTTTTATTTAGCGATACTGATAGCTTCCCAATGAGTACGCTAATTGATCCTCTATTTTGCTAAAGAACTAAAAACACGCCATTTAAGCAAATGGATACCAGAGTCGCTCAAACAAAACTCGAGTAGCGAGATTGCTAAGGCCACATGTCAATTTATGGCGTTTAATCATGCTATTTCGACTGCTTTAGAAAATAGCGAAACTGCTGGGGATGCTCTGATGATTTCAGGAATTACTGCGTTCCATGTACTCTGAAGCGCCTCGGTTTTTTTTTTTAAAAAGGCGGAATGCAGCCGATTGACCTTTCGATAAACGTTGTCGGAGGCACCACGTTTCCAAAAGTCATATGAACAGATTTAAACCATTATCGACATATAAACTTGCTAACCATCAAGGCATCGAAGGTCGTGCCCGCATCACACAATCCCAAGAAGACTTTGAGTACAGAATCAAAAGGTCACAAGAGATACCGGCACGGATTCTTGTCTTCAATGATAGGCCGTACGATAATGCTCTAGCACTCAAACGCAAACTTTTAAGTTTTCAAGACAAAGAACGTAACGGCATAGGTTGGCCCCCGGCTATTTACAATGCCCACAACCACTCGAACTCAAAATCTACTTATCACCTCTTGCGGCATCTTTTCCACTACACTCTCTAACAAAGCTCCTTTCAAAACGATCTTAATATCCAGTACGTTTCTCTCTGTCTGGAGTGTACACCCGAAGCATGTGTCATAAAATGAGCCTTTATGACCCAACGCTGTGGCTGCACAAGTCATCCAATCTGTTCAGAGGATCCACGCTGAACTTCGTCTACAGTCAGCTCCTATGTATCTCACTTACTCTTATATTTTGTCATTGCTAACTACTTCGTACTTTGATAAACTCTTCTCTTATCATACTAATAAGACAAAGAACGTAGCCGAATTAAGGAAGCTCAAGCTTCCTACCAATAGCCTTGGTATTCAGTATGGAGAGTAAACATAATAATTAAAAAATCGTATGAAGTGGGTGTCTCCTTCTTCAGATCCAGTATGTAAAGAAATGTATTCAGTGACTAAAATACAGATATCTGAATATCTGATCAAACTATGATTGGCCCACAGTTAGAACACACCGGTGTGTCGCTAGTCCTATCGTAATGTACACTAATGTTACTTGGTTCGATATTGGCAGTTTCATGTATATATACACTTTAATAAACTAGCCCCGACCTGGGGGCTCCCCCTACAAAAAAATAGCATGATCCCTTTCTACGGCTTTGACGAAAGCGTTTCCAGAGCAAACATCACTGCACTAAAGTTGTTAAAAGCTTCATTCTCGAATAAAAATGCTTTCTTCGCTGTTGCTGTCATTATTGGTAGAGGATATAGCATAGAACAGCGAGCGTCGTCCACCATCATTATTACTTTTCCCTTCGCCTACATGATTTCCCAATGCTTGGGTGTTGAAGTGCGGTCTGTTGTCAAGAAAGTACTGTACGTCGGTAAAAGTGGTTGACCCATGTATGTACATACAAGAGACATGGGCCTTGTGTTCCCTATCCAGACAACATGATCGCGAAAAACCAAAAGATATTTGAACGCATATACGTCGGCAGATGATGTTCTGTGATGACTGAAGCTAATTGTTCCTTTAAAGTCTTCATAAATACTTGGTAAAAGTGCTCTTTATATTTCAAGGCTGTTGTGTATAAAATAAAAAAGACAGAGCAGCGCACATCGTGATTGAGCCGCAAGGACGGCGACACTGAAGCTTCTATGTCACTTTTCTTATACGTATTTTTCGCATACTGTTTAAATCAATATACTCAGTTACGAACCAGATTATCCTCACTATCGATAGTTAGTAAAGGTTAAGGTAATGAAATGCGTATATGAAATGCTGTTCGCATCGCATCGTGTAGATGCAAGAAGCTCGTCACGTTGTGAATAGCTATTCATTTAACAGCTTCTAAAGGTGGTGATGTAGAAAGAGGAAACGATCTGCTGGTGGTCATCATCACTTTCTTCTTGTGTAAGTACTTTAGACACTCTTCTAAGCACCACAGAATTTATATCTTTGAGTCAACGCATACATGAAAGCAAGTATGATATGTTTCACGTTGATTTATAAAGTGACAAAAAGCTTGTGAGTTGACGTACACACTTGGTTATATCCTAGCCATTCCAGGTGGAAATGCATGCATAAAACGCTGTCTCTTATTTTCGGTCAATCGACTAACATCTCATTCCGTTGCCAGAAAGGAGCAGCAGCAACAGCCAGTTGGACAGAATGAAGGAATGAAGAGCAAGATAAAGCAGCAGGGCTGTGGATGAGCTGCACCAACTTTTAACAGCATAGAGTATAGAGCGGTAACCTCTGGTTGCGGCACAGGGTAGTGTGATACTATGTAGTGTTATACAATGCATCATTCTGCTGCTATCATATCAGCCTTACAGCAAAAAAGGCGAAGGGGAGCGCATGATACAGTAACACTACGCCACAATCGATTATGCTGCGATGTATAAATGACTGCTTTACGATGTCGTTGTGAAAAGGGGATCTCTGCTAGTTTTTCGTGCTGTGAGATTCTGTACGGGACAGCAAATTAGGTTTCTCCTTTTTGCCCTTGTCGGTTAAGTGAAACATCTCCTGTCGACAGCAAGCGGATGTTAATCCACGGCCAAAGTGCGTAATACGTATCGCACTTTATTATGACACTAACAGCCCCAAAGCCCATACTTTTGAATGCATCTAGCATCCAGTGTGCTTTGTGATTAGCCTTTTGTAGATCAAAAAATATAAACATAAAAACCCACGTTATAGTATGGATAACACGAGCAGCTTGAAAACAGAGCAGATGCATTTGGTTCTTGCTGGTGTTTTGGTGTGCATTATGGGAACAGTCTCTATTCAGAATGCGTCACATATGATAGCACGCAAATAATGCCGGCATACCCCTTGGTTGGACATGGTATCATCTTTGTCGGCCCCTGAAGAGTATGGAGATTTTACCCCACACATATTTTTGTGTGTGCGAGTGTGCAGTGTTTACATAGATAAAATGGTTTAGCCGGCACTCAAACGGTACCTGAGAGATCATGCTTTTGCTTGTACAAAAATGAAAGCGTGTGCTGTGATATGTATGCGAGGTGCACGTTACACCAATGCCATTAAGAACATTTTCAGGCAATTCAAAAAGGGAGAAAGGGTAAGACACAAGAAGGAAGGAGAGCCGAGTTGCTATGCACCCGTGAAACAAGTGTTCTTGTAAAGCAACAAGTACTGTTTGGAAAGGATTGACACTTGGCCTGGTGGAAATGCAGCTGATGATGTTGCTGGATGAATCCAGTGCAACAACCGGATTGCATGTTCTTGGCCATTCAAGAAGGCCGACCCGAAAAAGAAAAAAAAGGTTTCTGTTCCCCCAATTCATACAGCGCCCCAGGACACCTGGGGGTTTTTTACCCCAAAATGCGGGCTAACGGAGTACGACTTTTTTTATATATGTAGTTACCCTTCCCTCCTCTTGTCTTTTTTTTTTTCTTTTTTCTTTTCCACACTCTCGCTTCTCCACTTGCTACGAGCAGTGAAACCGATTGCCGTGGATAGAATACACACTCAGAAAAATGACAATGGATATGCAGCTTGTGCCTTACTTGCATCCTACGCTTCCATGGAACAATCTCGATGAATTATCCTCGCTCTGGGCAGGTAAGAGAACAAGCCCCTCAGTCCGTAATTATGTGCGTTCTGTGCTAACAGAATTCTCTTTTGAACCTAGTCTTCACCAAGTGCAAGCGACAACTTCGGAACGGGTTTCGGCTTGAGAATATGACGTGGCGTTTATGGTATCGCCAAGCAGTGATGCAAAAGCAAACAGCACCACCCGCCACGATCCTTTCACCCGGCCCATCGTCAACCTTGTCGCATGAAGAAGACATCCGAACACGACGCTCCTTATCACGCTCCCGGTCGTTACCTGATCTTCGCGTTCCTCGATTACAGTCCACACAACCACCTTTGATCCAACCATTACCACAACCACAACAACAACGATCCTCTCCTTCCTCTCCTACAACCAACCACAAGTTCTTCATCGATGATGATGACGATGATTTTGACAACGAGGACGAGGACGATTATTACCCTGACGATAGCAGCATGAACGAAAGCGACGACTACTGGTACAACCGTCCTTCTTCAACGACCACCACAAGCACGGTGTATTCTTCAACAGTATCGTCTGTCACATCGCTTCATGAGGATGGACAAACTGTAAAAGAGCAACTGTTTTCTAAGCACGCGCTGAGCAGCAGCAGCAGCAGCAATCGCGGCCCTTCCTCCGGTTGTACAGTTGCAGCAAAGCCAACATCATTGCTTTCCAGCATGCTACAGCAGCAGCAGCAGCAGCAGCAGCAACAGCAGCCAGTGCGAAAGCAGGAGAAAGCTCCGACGACATCCATGTTGCGCCGATGCAAGGGCTTTTCCCAACAGCTCGACTCTTGGTTTTCAAAAGCAGCTGCTTGAAATGGTTAAGATGACAAGCTGTCGTTCTCGCACACTCAACAAAAACGCGCACACGTACGCACCCTTTAGAATTCCCTGATTTGTATACCCCATTCCTTTTTTTCCTGTTTATGCCCAAGAGTTACATTTGTATAGTTTTTTTTTTTTTTACCTTTACTGTTCTTTGCTTCTCCTGATACACATATAATATTCACTGCATACCCCTCTACTTCTTTTTATGAGAATACATCTCACTAATGTTAATAAAGAGAGAAACCTTCCTATATTTTTATGCACCATCCGAGAGATATCCCGTGATATATCGATACATGTGCGGGGGGTGTTTGGAGAGCCGATCTCTGAATGTTCTCGATGAAGTGCATCTTTATTGTAGCGTGTTATGTCGTGTAAACCTTACACATCCCGCTAGGAGAATGGATGCATCTGAATGAAATGATACTTCTGAGCAGAAAGAGACAAATGAAAATGTGATAGTTCAGCAGCCACGTCTGGATCCACAAACTGATCTCTTACGACGAGAAAAAACAAGCTGAAGAACTGATCTGGTATATAATATCTGCACTGATCGAATAAACAATCCAAAACCGATTTAAGCGCTCCTTTGTCCGATGAAAACCACAAAAGTGCTTGGACTTGGAGGAAAACTTATGTCGGTTTTTTTTTGCTCTTGCTATGCTTTCGCGTTTCTTTCATTTTCTGTTTTGTTTTTATGATGTAAGTGCATGAGTGTGCGTTTTGTTTATACAATGGCAAAATAAAATTGTCTACAGGAAGCGGATTACCATCCTGCTATTGACCAAGTATATCGGGCATCGCCTTAATATCAAGTCGTACAGCCTTTAATTGTACATCATATCAGTTAATCGACTTGATGCATGTTCCGGCTGTATTCATAGCTTGCCATGGGTTTTTTCTATAATATGGTAGCAGTGTCTCGGAGAGCAATATCTACCAGCATTATGCAGTTGATTTGCTACGCGGATTTTAAAGCTATTACTAAAGGTTATTGTTACAGTCGTGAACATTAATGCTACTACCCGGCGGTTTGGGGTTCAGGGGCATTGCGGCGCGGTCCCGTTAAATCACACGAGCGAAGCGAGGCAGGGACTGCTAGTATCTGAATATAGGATCTCTTGGTCTCTTTCATCCCACCTTTACTCTTCTTCTTTCCTATTACTACTACTACTTCTCCTACGTTGTCCAACATGATATGGAGATGTAATATTTGATATCTATACCTTTAAATGATAATTCAATAAAACTGGCACCTCTTTTGTTCGCAGGACCCGCATCTCTCCTTCTTCACTCCTACCACCCTAGATTATCCAAGAAAATAATACTTGGCATCATTTGACGGAGGACGACAACGACGAAAAGACCTAATGAATATCTACCCCTACACACAGCGGCAGTAAAATGGTCGATATGAGGCTCATTCGATGTAAAAATAGATGTGGACTCAAACATGCAGATTTCTTCTTTTTCGTGCAACGATACAAAAGTCGGGTGATGCAACAAAAACTGCTTTTGTCTTGGAGATACAGTATATAATACATCAATCCTGAGCCATAATGTCTCCTCAAGTAATTAAAACAGACAGTCTAGTGTACAGTCTAGTCATTGCAAACTGCTTGTTGGCTCGGAGATGTTACTGCTCTCGTAGTACCTAATGCAATGGCTTGTGTGGCTCATCTTTCTTGGCATGGATTTGCGCGTGCACAACGAAGCAAGCCACAACCACAGATAGAACCCCACATCAATTTGATAAACACTAAAAATAGGACCCATTTATGATGTAGTAGCACAGCAGAAAATAAAAGCTCATCAATTGATCCTTATCTCTTACTGCCAATAAACATCCGGTCAAAACAGGCAATGCATGAAGGGATGGCCGGAACAATCGGTCCGTCGTTTTGATCGTGTAATCTACTACTTGTTATTTCATCCGCAGAAGCTTACTTGTGCCTACTTAATAGCGGAGGCGTAAGAATGACAGGCTGATGATGCTACAAATATTTTTTAGAATACCGTACACATATTTCACCCTCTCTTCTCTTCTATAACACACACACAGAGAGAGAGAGACGCGTACTTATGAAGCCTAGTACCGACCAATTGGGCTATGTAACCACCATACATTTCGATTGCATTTTTGTTTTACGTTTGTGCCCAATTTTTAGTAGGGGCGATATAACCAGCGGATAATCATCATAGAACCTAGCTGGATATACAAAGACACTTTCAGAAATGAGCCCTGGCCTTCCAAGTTCGTTGAGAAAAGCGCTTTCACTATCATTCAAGCAAAAAGACTAGCAGAGACTTTTGAAGTCTTCCAGAAGAAAGCGCCACAGTCTGTGCTACATCGCACACCAGAAGAAACATACGTATAACATAGAGGCCGCAAATCTACTCTCTTGAGAGTGTGGGTGTTCAAACAGCTGGTGCGACTTTTTCAAAGCCATCTGACGGGTGATTCATTTTCAGCATTGCCAAATTTTGTTATTGCCGTTTCTCCATGATTTTAGTTCATTTGCCCAGCCAGCATTTTTACGCATACACGCGTACACACGCACTCGCCGAAAAGTAAGAGAGGCAGTTCCGGAGTTTTTGCCAAGAAAATGGAGTAAGTATTTATTGCAAATCAATACATGAGGATATGAAAGATATCTTGTATTTTAAAAAAGAAAGTAGTAGTGGTATTCAGTAGAGAAAAAGAGAGATAGTTGGGGAGCATAATTTTTTTTTTTTCGGTACTTCTAACAGAGACAATCGCACAAGGCATCCAAAGCACAAAACGCTAGGCAGCCGATTAAGCATGCCATGCAGCAGCCATGGTCACCTCCACCTCGTTGTTCTGGTTGTTGGACATATACCGTGTTCGGGGGTGGTTGAGGTTGATAGTAGCCTGGATCATCATTTCGGCTTTTATCAGTAAAAGATCCCAATCAAACCCACACACAGGGCCTTCATCATCCTTTGTATGAAAGATCCCTATTTCTTCGTCTCATATGATATACATACCAGGGTCACCACCTTGTGGAGGAGGATAGTATTGTTGTCCTTGTTGCGGAGGAGGATAGTAAGGCTGATCGTTACCCATGATGGCTTATATTACTGTGGACCGGTGCGTACGAGCGGAAAAGAGTGGGTACTGTAGTAAGAAGAGACGACGGTAGAAATGAAGAAAGAGAAAAAGAAGAAGGCCAAAAAAGCAAATGGATGTGCCACACACCCAACTCCTTATTTTTATCACGCACTATTTTTTGTGGTCAGGAATGGCTTGAGAAAGGTCGCTTATGCTTTCTAAACTAAACCTTTCTTGACGTGTTTTGGACAAGGACGTGTAAACTTATATGCTGCGGTACATTATTATTATTATTAGCTCTTCTCTGAGATTCAAAAGGTCCTCTCATTCTCCCTCGGCATGAACTGCTTGGGCGTTTGTTCCTGGTTTACCGTGGCACAAGGGTACCCAGTTTCCATTCAAGTTGTCACGAGCCATTCCGTCCATCCCGTTTGCCAAGATGATCATTACGCTGTTGGCCTTGTTACTTGAGGCTTGATATCGAACGCGCATATTTCTGTCTACAGATATAACGTACAAGGTTCTGATGGTCAGCTGCACTGGCTTGTTTTGTGCAGTATACCTATAACGCAGCCCTATTGTTACTTTTTTTTTAACCATGTGTTTTTTTCCTTCTTCTGCAAATTGGCAACAATAACACTCCTCATGTCACCAACCTCATCGTATATCTTATAAAACCGCTCCAATTCATATAGACATGTACTGGAACTCAAAGTCGCGTCGATGAATCATTTACCCAAAGTGATGCGGTATCACGCCAGTTACAGAAGATATATATGCATAACGGGCTTCTTTGCTTGTACACAGCATATTGTTCACGATGACGTTCGGGCGCAAGTGCAAACAAAAAATGTTTCACACAGCAAAGGCACACAACCATCGCGCATCGTTTGTTTGTACTGGTTACTTACCTGATAACAGTCCTTCTACAGACATCTGTACAACCATGTACGTAGCCACTTTCACAACGCAATGTGCATTTCAAAAAATCCTATCCTCCCCACACACCAAACACATAAAGTTTAGTGGTGATGTCGCTGTACAAAACAAAAGCACCCTGCGCAAACAGGGATAGCGGAATTTGCATCTATTACGCGCATATGTTTAATTTGAGTTCTGCAGTTCGTATGCTGTTACTTATTCGCTGGCCACAATATCTTTTAATTGAGCCACGGCGACCTGCTTTCTGGATGATGGAACTCAAAAGCTTAGTGACTTTGTCGACCATCGAACCATGTACAACTTTCGTGCGAGAGAGACGGTAACAAGTTCTTGGCATTGTAATAGAATAGATACAGTTGGTCAGATGAGAAAGGGTATTCTAAAGGTCCCAGTAAACGCTTTGGCATAGTTTAGATTACTGTATCACCTCACCCAAGCCTTTCGAAGTGTTCCCGAAACGATTAATAAAATCAATCATACTTTTTTTTGGATAGATATTGAACATTAATGCTCTATCACTAATTACAAGAAGAGAAAAGAAAATACATATCGTCTTTTTTCAGACGGGAGGGATGAGGCGAGAGAAGAAATTGTCGAGTGTTTGTGCATGTATGATAAGTGAATGTGTGTGGCTGTTGCTGTCTAAATGGCTCTTGTCTCTCCCTTTATCTACCAGTTGTAGAAAGCCTTTGGGTTGTAGATTGGCTTATTCTCCTTCAAAGGTGTCCAAACCTTCTTTGTGTCCTTCCAACCACGAATGTTTCTTCGGGAAGCTGTGATTGCTTCCTGATCCGCTTGAGGTGCCTCTTCAAGCAAAAACTTGATATGTGATTCCTTGTGATGCATAATACCAAACTGACCACGACCGTGTGGTCGAATGCGTTTGATGTATCGTCCTTTGCCAACCCACGCTTGTGCTATCATTACCAAACCATACGTAAGTATACTCGAAAAAAAAACAGTCATTCCCTCCTTCTCCTTATCCTCCTCTTTCTCTTGCTCCACAGTAGTAATCGCCTATAGACTTACCGACAATGAGGTTTTGCATATCCTTCTGTTCTGCAGCGTTCTTTCGAGCAAATGCCAAATTGTGCATGATCTTGCGTGCTGTTCGTTTTGGTGAGAATTCCATCTGTTTGATAGCTTCGTCCACAGGCAAGTTTCGGATTTGTCGTGCAAGCATGTTTAATTTTCGCGGGCTGCCTTTCATGTTGGTAGACGACCATTGGTACTATTGTTCAAAGCAAGTGTCAGAACTCCCTTGTCTTTGACAACATCAAAAAACACACTATCGTCCTTTTCTCCAAAATAAAAAAAAGGTATATGACAATCAAAAAATACCTGTTTCTTCACTGCCTTTTCACCATGTTCCAATTGTTCCTTTCCAGATTCAACAGTGACATTTTCAAACAAGGACGAAGCACCAACATCGGGTCGAGATGTAGCAGGTTGTTCAGCTAAACGACGAGGTGCTGTAGAGAATCTAAAAAACGTCGCTGTGTTAACAAGCTGCACATGCATGTGCTACAGACATTCAGAAAGCATCTTTTTCTGTAGAGTGAGTTTGGAGATGGCTGGTAATCGTACCTTTGTAAGCGCGTTGGTTGTGACAATGGTCGACATACGGCACGGAAAGCCGAGGCTAAGGATCAAAAGAAGTGAATGAGTCAATATGCGTTAGTTTAGAGTGGGTGCGTGCATGCGGTCGCGATTCAAATACAAATATAAGAAGAGAACATACTTAATGAGAAGCTGGCCATGTTTCTTGTTGTTCTTGTTGTACGCTGGAAGGATTGTTTTTTTTTTCTTGAAGAGCCCTTCAACCTGTTTTCAAAATCCGCCACCATTTTTGGCAAGTGCCGTCAAAAAACCCGTCGTAGATTCATGACAATGTTATGCCCTCATGCCGCGCATTCATCAAGCCGGTTGAAATATACAGCGCTCCGAACTAAGTTTGTAAGAACCTGAACGCTATTAGCGTTTAGATCAATGTATCGGATGAATACATACGTAGCTTGTCATTCACATCATCGCTAGCATCTTTTCTTCCCTTACGTTGGTCCACCGTGATTTTGATCCATTAGAAGACAGCAGCTACTGATGAAGCACGCAGAATATGGTTGCTCGTCATACAACATTGGTAGCGTATTCCGTCTCCAGCATTTTGTCACTCGTCATTCCCTTTGCACTAGGCAGCAAGAAGTCCGTTGCAGTTAACAGCGAGAAAGAAACAGACGAGATTGGCATCTGGGTGATTGATCCAAGCGATCCCAGAGCATAAATATGACCATGAGGACAATGAAAGTTCTTATTTTTCATATGTTTGAGCTTAAATTAAATGATCACCTTTCACCAAGGCAAGGCAAGGAGCCATAACAACGGGGACCAAATATTAATTGAATAATGGCATTCTATAATAGCTCTGACCCGTCACGCCGTGATCTCGGCCATAACTCGTACGGTTCACGAATAGCTTGCTCATCCATCTTGTATGTGCTCATGATCTGTCTACAGTCATAGTCACTTAAAATCTGAGGATAATGCTCAGTTGAAGTCACTGGCCATGTTGATACTGACAACAACGACAAGTGGCAGGCTCTATAGAAACTTATACCCTTTCTGCAATTGTTTTTGTACATGCTTGATAAAATTGATATCTTTCACACTTTGTACACATCTACCACAAAACTTGGGTTAGCAGTACTGATGCTATATCTTTGCTGCATGTCATCTAATAAATCTCTTCCATTACAACAGCATCTATCATCTATACAGCTGCTATCATAGCGGAGGTTCAGTCCCAAGGTGCGAAGACGATCAATGCTCGTTTTCTTATAAAACAACGTGTTTGGATACATTAGGTGACTTACTCCGGTGGACGGAGTAAACGTGTAACCTTCTAGCTGCTGTCTGTACTGGACTACGTCGATACCTGAAGCATTCGTCATGGTTGCCACGTTACGCCTCTGACGGGCGCCCTTTCTTTGATGACAAGTAGTGAAAATTTGGCTGCACGAAAGAGAATGAAACAAGTTGCAAACTAAATGGCGTCTCGATCGTTGGCTATCATTCATCATCATGTATATTGTGATAGTAGTAGCAATAGCAGTAATACCGATGTAAGCAGTCGATTATATAATAAAAAGTGCTTGTTATAGGATCATTTCTTGTTTGTAGAGTAGTAGTGCTTGCTAATAAGGGCGAGTTGCAGACTTGATATGCACAGCTATCGTCGTATTAGCTAGTGTAGTATATTGACCCGGCCTTCAAGTGTTTGATGATTGCATATCATCATGGCAGCCACTCACTGCTGCTGGCCGAGCCAAAAAGGGAAACTAGATCCGATATGTCTACGCATGAAAAGTCTCCTCACCATATCAGGTAAAAGCTGTCTATCTCTTTCGAGCTGCTTTAAACGAACCATAGCAACTCTTTGACAACCAACGGGCTATGCATCACAGAGTTCAGGGACGGTTCTAGTTAGATACATAGTGTGAGAAATATCTGGAGATCAGATCTGTAAGCGTAAAACTATGGGTCCACAACTCCTCATGATCACACACACACACACACACACACACCACGCACAGCCATTGATGTGTGTTCTTTCCAACGAATCCATTTGCAACTCGATCTAGTCATGGTCATGTTTGTGGTGTGGTGGTCCGGTTGGACGGAAATCGACAAAGGTTTACCCGTGTTTGTAACACGATAGAATTGTTTCTGGTAAACCGAAGATCCGCGCTAGTGATCGGGAAAGCCACCTAAATTTTCTTTGCTCATCATGACCCACGAGAAGCTGCGCATCACACACACACACACGATCCATAATTTCTTTACCGGAACGACAAGTACAAAACCATCGGTCTGGTTTTTCTTGATGCTCCCCAAAAAGAAAAGAAAAAAGCGGGCCTTTATTGCACCGTTTCAAATGCTCTTCTTGCCAAAGGCAGCGACTTGAGCGGAGCTTTTAAGATATGGAGATTTCTTGTCGTTTTTTTTTCGTGCTTCTTGTTCTTTCCCTTTCACTTTTCCACAAATTCTTGATCCGATTGCGAATGGGGACGCCACCAACAACAGCAATGGAAGAACCAAGTCGTCGTCAAAGCGTTGATGCGGATCAAGACGAACGACCATCATCCAACGACACAGTAACTGTTCGATCTGTAACAACCACGACAAATGAAAAAACGCAGATCAGTGATAATTACGCCGCTGAGAAAAAAGCAGCTAGAAAACGTCGGATTGCAGTTGTTTTGACGTTCTTGAGTTTGCAGCTTTCACTGTTTTTGGCAGCCTTGGACAAGTAAGGAGGAAAAAAAGATGGCGATACGCGTTTTTCCAGCATGTATTGTATGACTCATTTTCATCGAACAAAAATCCAACAACAGCACCATCGTTGCCACATCGTTACCGAAGATTGGATCAGATTTCGAAGCCATGGCGATTTCATCCTGGGTTGTCAACAGGTACAGCAGTCGTGTACTTGTCTGAATCCGTCAAACAGATAGCATTGCATCTTATTTAATTGCTGTTTATCTTGTAGTTATGTACTGACGCTCGATGCATTTCGTAAGTTTTTGTTTTCTCGAAGAAAGAATGAGGGAGGGAGAGCTGAAAGTTTAATATGTCTATTCCCCACACCATCTGTTTGACTTTGCATAGAGCCGCTCTTTTCAAAATTTTCCGACATCTTTGGCCGTAAATACATACTCATGTTTGGTATTGTTGTGTTTTTGATCGGTTCTGTCTTGTGCGGTGCTTCGCAGGTAAGGAAGAAGTAGTGGCATGCTAGTGTGGGGGTGCAGCAATGTGTGTGACAAACAGGTTGGGCACTGTGTGACTAAAGAACAATGTTTTGTCAAACCCAGACGATGATTATGCTGATTGTTTGTCGTGCGATTCAAGGCATTGGTGCGGCCAGTGTAAGTGTTTCTACAGCATTCTGTACTCAACGCTAATGTTTGTTTGTTTGTTGCTGTTATTGGCTCATCTTTTTTTGGCTGTTGGCTCTGTTACAGATATTCTCTATGGTAAGCTATCAAGTTTTTTCATCTTTTTTCATCTTTTCGGCGCCGCCGTCCGGTTTCAGTAACACGTCGTACAGGTTTTCGTCATTATATCCGATCTGGTACCATTGGAAAAAAGAGGCAGTTACCAAGGGTAAGGAAGGGTGCTATGTACACACGGTGGTATATAGAGAAGGTGTTACTATTAGCGAAGCACCTAGAAGATGGGAAACTATAGCTGACGGGACACATGTGCTTAGAATTGTCAATGCCGTTTTTGCCCTGTCGAGTGTTTTCGGTCCCTTGATTGGTGTAAGTAGGTTTGTTTTATGCTTACCGGAATATGCAGACTACTCACAGATGCAATCATATGAACAAACCAATAGGGGAGTTTGACCGACAATGCATCATGGCGATGGAATTTTTACATCAAGTAAGCATAGCAATAGGATGAAAGGGGAAAGATCGGTGGTGAGAGACAGACAAGAACTGCTTCACTCAACGACAAACGCTTGCGTATTCATGTGATCTCCTCCAGTCTGCCCATCGGTGGTGTTGCTCTTGTTATTCTGTTCTTCTTTCTGCATCTGCCAATGGAAAAGCAAGACTTAAAGGCGAAATTGAAGCGCATTGATTATGCAGGCAACTTTCTGGTTTTGGCAGCTGCCACCTTATTCCTGCTTGCCATGAATTTTGGTGGTCAGACGTTCCCATGGGATTCCGCTGCTGTTATTGTGAGTAGTAGTAGCAGCAGTAGTAGTAATCGGATACCAAACCTACTACATGGATCGGTGCTCACCCTTCTTTCCACAATAGGCACCGTTTGTTTTGACAGGTGTTTTGATCGCCTTGTTGGTTGTGGTCGAAGTCAAGTATGCTGCTGAGCCCTTGATGCCACCGCGGTTGTTTAAGAACAGGTCCATCGTCGCTATTCTTTCCGTCAACCTGTTCTTTGGCCTTACTTTTTTTGCTGCTCTTTACTACTTGCCCATTTACTTCCAAGTCGTACGCGGCGATTCAGCCACGTGGTCCGGTATTCGCTTGATTCCCATGCAAATGGTGATTGCCGTCCTGTCAACCGGCGCCGGTCTTTTCATTTCCAAAATTGGCATGTATCGACCATTGTAAGTATACTTTTTGCTCTCACATATGGAAAACCCGTATTCACAGCAACCCTTAACTTTGCTTCACTCTGTCTGTCATATATATCATAGGATTACTATTGGCATGGGATTCTTGACACTCTGTATCGGTCTCTTCAGCTTGTACGACGTTGACACGTCTTGGTCAATGATCTATGGTTTCACTGTGATTGGTGGTGCTGGTAATGTATCTCTTCTTTATAACACAAGGGAAAGATATAGGAGACTTACTATTAGTTGTATGTGACATTATGTCATTAGGCATGGGCTTGCTCTTTTCCTCGACGATTATTGCTATTCAAGCTGCCGCTGAGCCGCGTGATATCGGTGAGTGCGAGGACTGATATTAGGGAGAGAAAATGGGGCTAACAGCACAATGTGTTGGGTCAAAATATAGCTGTCGTCACTGGTTTAAACAATTTTTCGCGTGTCTTGGGTGGTGCTCTCGGTGTCGCTATTGCATCAGCCATTCTTAACTCATCACTGAAGAAGGACTTGCCTAACGCGATTCCTATGCAGTATGTTGAGATGATCTTTCAATCGCCCGAATATATCCGGGACGGGCTACCACAGGAGTATTTCCAAACCACAGTAGAGATTTACGTTGAGTCATTACGGTTTGTTTGGCATATTCTGACGATCATGAGTGGTCTAGGTAATAAGCGTTTGCTGGAGGAACGCTCGAAAAAGGAGAGGAGGGCGTTTGCTAACCGTACAAACCATTGTCTTTTTAGGATTTTTGAGCTCATTGTTAGTGAAGCATTATCCATTGCGTAGACCTGGTGGACGACCCGCTCCAAAGAAGCAAGACGAGCAGGAAAAGCAGCAAGTAGAAGTTGGTGAAGTTAATGGACGCGGCGAGAAGCAAGTAGCTTTGAGAGATATCACATTTCAAGCAGGTGATGTAACGGTCGTTGGCGAGTCGAGCAGCAATGATCAAGTTGTTGTCAAAGTGGAGGATGAAGGAGATGCCAGCAATAGTCCTGCAGTTGCTGCTGCTGCAGCTACTAAGCGCGATCAGTAAATCTCTCCTGCTTCTCTCTCTTTCTCAGCCCCCCACCAGGTGAAAAGGCGTTTTATATACCAGCATAACCATCATTTGTCTCTTTTTCATTCTTTGCATTCAACAGCAACACTTATTTGTACTATTAGTAGCAATAATATTCAGCATCCAGTCAATAGTAATCATGCAATTCTCGCACTTTTTAGCACTTGTTCAACACCACCCCCAAATCAGCCACAGTATAAAATCACCAAATATTTCGTTTGCAATAATTATCTCAGAGTGGAAACAGTTGGTTTTCCTTTTTTAATTGTTAGATCCATCAATCAATCATGTACACATGATCTCTTATAGTTTGTAAGGGTTGGCTTAAATAACAAGATACTAAGGGGTGGTGGTGGTGGTGGTAGTGAGAAGAACGATTTTTAAGGGGGTCAGGATTTGTAAAAAGAACAAAAGAGTGTTTTCCTTCCTCTCTCGCTATGGTACATAAGGAAGAAGAAGATGATGAAAATGGTTTTGTGGTGTGTGATGCGCATATATGAATAGAGACGAGAAGATAAAGAAGTATAATCAGGGCAAGCCCTTTGTTTTTACTTCTGCAGATGGTTTGAATGTGTGTGCTTGTATGGAGTTGGTGTGTATGGCGTGTGGGGTATTTCTTTTAAGCTGTTATTGATGGATAGGGTAGGTAGTGATTTCTTGAGATCGCAGCACCTTTTCGACCAAGAAAGCAACGCGTTGGCCGTACTTGGATCCGCGCAGCGAAACCATATGGCGCTTGATCAATCGACACATCTTGACCTGGTGTTCCGTGCCGGCATGGTTGATGAGCCATTGGACGACGTAGTTTCCATACTGATCGGATGCCATGTCAATGAGCGGCTCGCGGCGTTGCTGCTGCTTGAGCATGATCTTCTCCATAAACTGTTCCAGGAACACCGGGCCTCCTGTGCGCAGGGCCTTTTCGACCACCTTGGACGCAAACTGGTCCATCGAGAGTCCCGCGGCGTGTTCCAGAACCACGCGGAACGCATGCTCGCGGTCGCGACTGTCTTGCGCCTGTTCCAGAATGTGTTGGACAACCCAGTTGCCCCACTGGCCCCTGGCAATCACCATGATATTGTCGAGCACCTCATCAAGGACTGGGCGTTTGTCTTGTTCGTTGATGTTCTCAAAGATATGCTGGATTACCAGACTGCCGGTTTCGTCGAGTGCAACTCGGGTCCATTTGCCTTGCAATGCCTGGTTGACACGGTCCATTACAGGGGGTACATGGTTCTCCTCCTCGCCCCATTGCATTTCAAACACCTTTTGCCAGATATGGCAGGCGTGCTTGTGCGTGATCGTCTCACTGATGTTTTCAAACAGTTCGTGGACCATCGCAGAGCGCGTCGCTTCGTCGGGGCAGCAGTCGAGCGCCTTTTGCAGGACGTGGCAGCCAAAGGGTTGACAGGTGAGTGACACGATACGGCCTTGCATCTTTGAAATCAACGCAGCGATTTGTTGACGTGAGCCCACTTCGAACAGACGCTGAACTAGAAAGTTGCCAAATCGACTGGTCATCAGTGGATACGCTTGGGGCAAGATGGCTTCAAAGATGGCCTCCTTTTGTTCATCGGTGGCAGCCTTGAGTTTTTGTTGCAGGAACAGTGACGCTTGTTGGTCGCCGCGTTGGACGATCTTGTCAATCATGGCCTCCCAGTCCACGGCCGTGTTCTTGTCCAGTTTGCGTCGGTACTCTGCATTTTGAGAAGATTGATGGGGCCGTCCACTTGCCTGCTTCTGCATAACAATCAAAATAGTAATAGAGGATGACAGTTATTAATTATTACTGTGCATTAATGTACTTTAGTACTATGTATGTGTATTGTTGTAACAATATGTACCTCTGCAGATGTGCGTCGCCGGCTAGAGCTTTTTTCAGTTACAGTGGTAGAAGTGTTAGACCCAGACAAGAGTTTTCCATCCTTGATGCTGTTGTTATCATGAAGGTTACGCGAAGATCTATAGCGTATGCACCCATAAGCTTAATAAGTTTTGTTGTTTTTCTATTTATTTTCTCGGACCAGGGCTAAGGCTTACTTTGTCTGCCGTAATGATGGCTGATCGGTTGACGTAACGGAGAACATCTTTTCACCATTGTTACTGTTGACGCCGTCCTGTTTCTTCTTGGGCTGTTGCTGTTGCTGTTGTTGTTGATGGCAAAGCTGAGCCGCTTGGGCGTCGCAGAGCTGTGTGACGACAACCAGTTGTTGCTTGATGTTCTGGACCTCGCGTTCTTTTGTTGAAAGGCACGATTGTAAGCTCCATACTTGGTGTCGATGCTGTAGCAGTAGTAAAAAAAATGAATAAAAAAAGAACGATGGATGGATAGGTTAATCGATAAGTGACACAACCGGAACCGGATTCCAAAAGTGGCCACATGTGTGTGCGCAAACACCAACCTTGTCTAATTCCGCTTGTGCGCTATCGAGTGACTTGACAAGATTGTGAATCGCGTCAATGGCACTAGAAAGGTGGTGTCGGAGACTGTCAGTGGACATTGTGTTCATGGTGGGCATTGGAATGGAGAGCAAAGCGGCGATCGTGCGCGTCATGTTGGAAGCAGGAGAAGGAATGGCCGGCCTTTCCTCTACTGCCGCGACAGCTTTGTCGAATACAGAAGCCATAAATTGTTGTTGACGAAAGTCGTTATTGTTGTTGTACAAGATATCATCGCGCCATAGTTTGTTGTTGACAGTAGTAGTATCCTAATCATCATTTCTTAGCAACAGCAACGGCAGAAAATTCAGGGGTAATATCAGAAGTAATAGAGTATACATTACCTTGCTAACGAGTGGCGAATAAAAGTGATCAAAATAGTCGAATGCACCGTGCTTCAAGTCGTGTCGTTCTTCCTTGGGAGATGGAGTGCCAGACGAGCCATGGTCCGCAACATTGCCAGGAAATGCGCTTGGTGGAGTAGGGAGCCGCGTAGTGAGACGTCCAAAGTAGTCGAGCTCGTCCAAGGAGCTCGAACCAAATGATTGTCTGGATTTCAACGAAGATGATGCAGGAGGTAGTGGAAACAGTGGCATGTCATTATCGTACTGCTGCTGCTGGTGCTGCCACTTGCCGTTCATTGTCAAAATGTTTTCTTCAGTAGTAGTAGTAGTAGTGACAGGTGTCAACATTATGTTATTATATTTGGAACGAGAGAGGAAGAGAGGGTGTGAGTACGTGTCTTTGTTGTAGAACGAGAAGAGAAAAGAAAAATATAAAGAGACAATATGTTCAGATTGAAAGAAGTAAAGAGTGAGTGGGAGAGAGAGAAAAGAAGGAAGAGATGCAAAACAAAAAAGAAGGTTGTTTAAATAATTGTTCGATCTGTGGTGCGTGCTGTGCGCGTGTGTATGCGTATATGCGCGGCGATGGATGGAGTATATAGAGAAAAGGAAATAACGAGACAAAGAGCGAGAGCGAGAGCGAGAGAGGCAAGCATGATAATTGGACTGTAATGTGACAAGAAACTAGCAGCTCATCAAGGAAAATAAAAGTGAGCTGTGCATCGGGGACGCCCACATATGGAGTATATACAGTAAGTCGGTTATTTACATCATAGACCTATCACATCAAGCAGCACGCTATGATCATTGCTTTCTCTCGTAACAAGTTGCATTGTTGTTGTTGTTGTTGTTGTTGTTGATGTTGTTGCTCCACTCAGCACAGATCAACAGACGTGTATAACAATAGAGTTGCTTTATTTGTAATGGGGTTGGCACACAGTTTAAACAAAATTTATATTAATAGGTCCTACGCTACTGCTAGTGCAACTCCCCGAAAGAAAACCTTGGGGGGGGGGGTGGATAGAGAGAACACAAAGCCCCTCTCCTGAGCAGCCTACACAACCCCCTTGGACACAGACGCAGCTTATTACATATTACACACACACACATACAGAGAGAGAAACAGCAGCAGCAGCACTTGGCAGCAGTAGCAGCAGTCAGCCAGCCAGCCAGCCAGCCCTATTTTACTCCCTATCCATGGGCCACATATAGAATAGCATACATGAGGACAAATGCTATATCAGCTAGCATGCATTTCCCAAGTAGGTAAGCTTCTTCATAATTGTCCCTGCCGATCACCGCCGCATTGTCACACACACAGACATGCTTCTATCCATCACACCAATTTCTATCATGATTCTGCTGATGCTGAAGCTGATGCTGATGATGTGTCTCAAAAAAAGAGTTATTTCAGCCCTGACCATCGATTGTCCTCATTATTCCATCACCAACACACATACCAATACACAGCCGCGTGCGTGTGACATGATATGTGCTGCGATGATCCTTCTCATCGTGTCTTGTTGTATGTTTTTACCATAATAATCGCTTAGCCGCTTTTTGCTCTTTTTTTTTCTTAGAATTTTAGTTGTTCTTGTGCACCAATGCTTGTCAATCACAATCGGTCAATCGGACAGAAAGTCGGTCGCCGGTTCGTGTAATATAACTCGTCATTTACAGAGTATTATCTACTTGCTTATTTATTACTTAGCCCGTTGCCCGTTCAGCGAGAAAAGAGAGAGAGGAAGAAGGAGGGCCAAGTTGATATGCATCGTACATGATATCGTGATACAACAGCAGCAGCAGCAGCAGCAGCAGCAGCAAGAGCGCCCGCTTGCGCACATACGCAACTTTTAAACTTTGTTCTTATCCGTTCTCTCCATTCTTTTTCTCTAAACAATGTACGGTTAGTCATTACTCTTACTTTCACTTTTTAAAATGACGGAGTTGCCTTTTTTTGTCACTTATACTTGGGCGCGTGTTCGTGCGTGCGTGCGTGCGTGCGTGCGTGCGTGTTTGCTTATTACTTGCCTTCTTTTCACTGCTGCAATAAGTGTATATAGTAGAGATGCTGCAGACGCTCCACTTATTTTTAGCATTATTATAATTACTATTTTGCGTGATAGTACTGCTGCGGTTCCTGCGTGCTATTAGCATGCGGTACGCGCTAAGCTCTCTTTTTCTATGTTGCCTTCTCGTGCCACTTGAAATCCTATATTAGGACATTGATGCGAGAGAGACAGAGTGGGAATGTGCTACCTACCTACATTTTTCAGGGCAGGAACCTATTTGACATGTACCCAAACAAAAACAAACAGGATGAAAGAATCTTTTGCTTGGCTCATCTAGTCACAGTGTGGTGGTAATTGTCAAGAAACACAAAACGTGGTTGTTTCCTCATGTTGCTGCTTATTAGGCAAAATGGAATCTGAAACGAATTTAATCCCGACCCCGAATCGTTTGTTGGGTTTCATCAAAAGAGGGGACCCTTTTCCTGACTGACTGACTGATAGGGACGGATAGACCGATCAAGAAAACGATGGCCGTCCGTTCGGAAGCACTCCTTTTCTTTGTTACTTTGTTGTTGTGTGGAAATCTGTCTTTTTCCAGATAAATAAGAGCGTGTATGACAGGAAATCCACGAGGCCAGGGCTGGACCTCGTACCAGTTTGGAAGGCGCTCTACGGATATACCACCAAACATAAATATCAACCCACCACCACCTGCTCACTATGACAACGACACCTACGACAATTCTCCCACACCAATGGAAAAAAGGGCCGGGTAATATACCATAGTTCAGTCACTAATGGAGTCTCCCAGTTGATTAACCCTATCATTTGGTTACAGGTACTTTGATCTGTCACTGAGTGATCCTGCATCGTCTCCTCCCGAACTGCGGCCAATGTCAAAGACACAGTTACCAACAGCACCTCAAATATTTACCACAGAACCCAGTATTTCGAGTGCGGACGATAACTTTAGTACAAAACCAACCGAACGCATTAGCAGCCGCGAATACGATCTTGACAGCCACAAGAACACTAACGTGCAGGAGGTGCCGCTGCAACACGATAGCGACGAACAAGGAGCACAAACACAAGCAAAGCCCCCACGTGGCGTATCTTTTCGGCCCAAACTCGAATATATTGGTCGTGCTTATTCTACCGCAGCCCAGTCCCTCAATACAGTCGATGAGCAGCCGCGATCGAGAAAGGAACGGGTCATTAGCTTTGTGCATCGCCGGTTTCCTAGCCGTGTTGTGCGTCGTGTACTAAAGTGCACGCTAGCGTACTTTATCTCGACGTTGTTCAGTCTGATCAGTCCCTTGGTACAGGCACTGGGTCCAGCTGCTTTCTTGACGACGGCTGGCGTCGTCTTTAATCATCCAGGCCGTAGCATGGGCGCCCAGTTCGATGCCACCATTACATCTGCCCTTGGTGTATGTTTTGGTATGGGTCTTGCTTACGCAGGTCTGGCTTGCTCAGTGGCCTACAATACCCGTCACCCGGATACCATCCAAATCGGCAGGGTGATCAACGCATTGTTTTTGTTTGTTGGCATTTTTGCAGCACAGATGATCCGTCAGTTCTACCCAAGGTTTTTTTTCTTTTCGCTCCAAGCCATGATCGTCTTTATCTTCTGCTTCAGCACTGCGGCTGGCATGTTGCAGACGACCATACCCACACAGCTGCCACTTTCTCTTGGTCTACCGCTGCTTTGTGGTGCTGCCATCTCACAAATCGTCAATATTTTTATATGGCCAGAAACTGCGGTTGAAGGTCTTGGTAAGCAGTAGTTAGTAGCACATCACTGCATTATCGTCAATAGTGACTAATGCACAATTTTTTCCATGGCGGAGAACATAGGTCGCGCATTGCGGGAAACTTCCAACAGCAGCAAAGAGATGCTTGATCTGATTACCAAGCAGTTCTTTCTTGATCCCGAATCCGAGATGGTGGCAGGCGAAGTTGTCGATGAAACTGCCGAAAAGATGCGTGCAGGCATGACCAAGGTCAAGTCTGCCTACCACGAAGCGAAATACGAGATATCATACACATACATCCGCCCATACCAGCTAGGCAACATTCAAAAATCACTCGATCGCTTGACCAAACACTTGAACATTCTTGGTGGCAGCTTAAAAACAGAGCGTGTCTTGTTTGAGAATGCCATTGCCGCACTTGCGGCCGAAAATGCCGGTGCTGGCTCGACCGACGAAACCGATGAAGACACCGACGACGATCATGATACGGAAGACGAACACCACAAAATGACGCATCCACACGACGAACCGCGCAAGTCGACGCTACGCTGGCTCAATACCGAAGATGAACTGAATTTACGCCGTGCTGCTATGCTTGCTGCTAGCCATAGTCCACAAAACTCACGACCAAATTCGCGTATGGGGTCTAGAGCGGGCTCACGCGCCGGATCACGACGTAACTCACTCGAAGACGAGGACCATGAGGATCAAAACCAGAAATCCGTCTCGTCGTTACGATCATTCCTGAATCTCGCTAGACTGAGTAACCCCATGCCAAAACCACCACGCAAAAGAAATCGGCAAATAATCGAGCATGGCGATGGTGAACTTCTAGTGACCTATTTGGAGAGTCTGCGTGATCCACTGATGCGATTGTCGATGGAATGTGCGCCCGTGCTGGACTGTGTCAGCCATAGCATTGTCGAGGAACTGGATATGGACGACGATGACGACAAGTCGGTGTGGAAGACGTGGAAGGCATACATTTTCCATTTGCTAAAGCTCAACAAAAAACGAAACAAGAACGAACAAGACGAGCCTCGCAAATCCTGCAAACTCAAACATGATCCGAAAAACTGCAATTGCGCTGGTACGATGCGCGAAGCGATACGGAAATTTGATGAAACCGAAGGCGAACGTATGCACACGTTGTACAAACTCAATTGCACCAAAGTGGGCAATGACGTGTTGGATCTGGGTATGCGTGAAGAGCTGTTCCTGGTCTTCTTCTTCATCTTCTCTTTACGTGAGGTAGCAACCGAACTTGAAAGCATGGCAAAGACAATGGATGAGTTGCGACACTCAAAACATAAACGACGAAGAAAGCATCTATACATGCCGCAGTTGACGCAAAAGTGGTGGAAGAAATGGGCTAGCACGAACAATCACCAGAGTATTCGTGATAAGGGTGGATATTCACTTGGTAAGACCCCTTTTTTCGAATTGGATTGGCGGTTCATACAGCTACTATATCTGTTGCTAACCATAATACTGTTGCTATGGTGTTGTTGCGTTTTCTTAGCAACGTTGCAGCCTGCCATGAAAGACGATCGAGTTCCGGATGCCGCTGACGAATACCGCTTACGACGGATCAAAACAACAGATACAACGAAGCAACAAAAAACGAGGCGCATGTCATCTGTCGCATCACAAACCAGCAGCACGATTATATCACCTGTTTTAGAGAAAGTATCGTCAAGATCGACCATCACACTGCGTAAACAACGTTCGAATGCGACCAAAGACTCCACTCACCTCGGTGTTATTGAGGATCTTGAAGCTGGGGGTGCTATCAAAGAAGAGAAAGAAGAAGAAGACAAGCAGCAGCAGCAGCTAGAAAAGATCAAACCACCGCTGTTCTTGCGCATCCGTTATGGTACTTGGAAGACGTTACAGTACCTGAAAAAGTACGAATTTAAGTTTGCGCTGAAAATGGCGTTGGCGGTGCTTCTTTTGAGTTTTCCGGCGTTTATACCTTCTTCGACTGCATGGTACGAAAGTGTGCGTGGTCAGTGGTCATGCATGACCATTATCGCCATCATGAATCCAACTAGGTAAACTCTTTTTTATTAATATATTTCATTCTCAGCATCAAATGTGGTAGTTTATGTGCGTTAAAATGCTTGTGCATAACCTAACATCTCGGTTTTTTCTTTTGTTCTTGTTACTATTTATAGCGGTGGCACATGGGAGGCAAGTTTCTGGAGAATCGTAGGGACTTTGGTGGGTGCCTTCACGGGCTGGGCTGCACTTGAGGCAGATGGTGGCAGCCCCTACTTGCTGGCGCTGTTTGCGGTGTTACTATGTAAGTATACATTAGTAGTGTATGGCAGCAATAAATCGATAGTTGCGTCGCTCTCGGACATCTTGTTGTTGTTATGATCAATTGGCAGCTAATATCTCTATCTTCATAATAATAGCTATACCTTTTTTCTATATTCACCTGGCAAGCACATATAACAAGGTTGGCATTGTGGTATTGATGACTTATATGGCCGTTGCACTGAGCAGACATGTCACGGAGTTGTCAGAACCAATTCATGAAACTGTCTGGTATGTAATTTCATTACCATCCATGCGGCCTGGTCAATTATCCTCATATATTTACACATACAAACAAAAACTTAAAATCCAAACGCAACCATTGTTTATGTTTCCAGGAAGCGCACGGCTACCGTTGTGGTGGGTATATTGGTTGCTGTTATTCTTAACTGGTAAGATGATCTTTCCGATTTATCCAAGATCTATTAATGCATGTGCAGGATGGGCGTTAAACGTGTCGCTGAGGGCTATTGACGAGCAATGTGGGGCGTTCTTACTATGGGCAGTAGCACTAATGGTCCAGAACTTTTGTCCATGATTAAAAAAAAATAGGATGATCTGGCCCTTTGTTGCAAGGCATGCGGTTCGGAAATCGGTTGCAGGCATTATCGGCGAACTGGGCGACTATTATACCTTTTTAATGGGAACATTTTTGTTCCATGATCATCAAAACCTACCCTCTGATGAGGATGAGAAAAAGGCGCAAAAGATGGAAGGCGGTATTCAAAAGTCAATCAATGCTTGCAGCGTCCTATTAGAGCTGACGGACCACGAACCGCGGCTCAAGGGGCCGTTTCCTAAAGATTTTTACAAGGAAATGATCGTCTCGACGCGGAACCTTTTGGATCGATTGCTAACCATCCGAACAGCACTCATATCCATGCCAGCATCTGTCAAGAAGGATATCTGTTTACAGGAGTACAATGTGCATCGACGTGATATGGTAAGTTTTTGTGGAACAAATAGGAGGCCCTTGACGGGATTGGATTAGAGGGAAAAGGAAATGATTGCTGATGCGCACATTTTTATTATATTCCACTATAGACGGCATCCATGCTACTCCATTTTTATACCCTCCAAACGTAAGTGTCCTCAAGTATATATGAAAACTGATTGATCAAAAAGAAAAACTGAGCGTGTACACATTTTTTCTGTGAACATTAGGTCACTGAGATCCAAGATTCCCTTGCCTGCTTACATGCCTTCTGCTAGAGCAGCTCGCACTCGTTTGATCCGTTACCGCCGAAAGGAAGCCAAGAATACAAAGCAATGGGTCCGCTATAGAAATTTATGCTGGTTTGCCATGGCCAGCTCGACAGAAGAAATTATTGAGGAACTCGAGCATCTAAATGATCTTATTCGATTCATCGTTGGTGAAAGCAAATTTGCTGATAGAGCAAGACGTATTGATTCATTGCTTTAAAGAATAACTGTATGACCAGCGTATCAGCTACGTAGGTTAGAAGAAAGACCCTTTGATATATTACTCACTTCCCTATAATATGTTTCGCTAAATCATTATTTCTTGTCTTTTTGCAAAAGCTCTTGTAATTTTTTAATAACTTATTCTTTACATCCTTGTTACACACTGTATTCGCTTTTTTAAAAAAAGGGTAATCCTTATCAATTTAACGATGTCTATGATGTTTTAGTTGTCATATGTCTTGTGGATTCCATTGACCTGGAATACACTAAGAGTAAAAGCAGAAAGAACGGACGTGGCGACCTTCACTGCTTAAAGGGTAATCATAAATATAAGTATACATACACCACACAATGCCATGAAACATCGATCAGTCGAAAAGCTCATGAACAAGGATTATCAGGTTTAGATGCGCAAATATATGGGTTATCTGGGCTTTCAGGTGAATACCATAACGAAGTATAAACTCCCACAACCTCGTTTCGCTGGTAGAATAAGAAGTTTTGTTGGTTCATGATGCTGGGGAGCAGAGCTAATTGATGGATATCTATAACGGACACTTTCGTGCGGTTTGCAGCGTTCTGTTTTTAAAAAAAAGACTCGAAAATATGGGGTTGCGCCACACGTCAAGTCGTAAAGTGTATCCTGGGAATTGTTTAGCTCATTGCCCCGTTCCCCTTTCCACTAATAACCACCAGCATATGCGTGATAAACACTCAGTCAATGAACAAAGTAACTTTGTTATTTGATCTTTATTGATATTACTTTCTTCAGCCTCTGATCGCTTCTCAATATTACTGATAGGAGCTCGTTAGAAACTAAGCTTGACCCTGATGCTACCGCAGAGCGATAAGTATCATCGTTTTTTACCATTTATTGAGTGGCTGACGTTTTTGATCACTGCACTCAACAATAGAAAGCAAGTTCGCATAGCACATACCCCACGATCTATTCCCTGTGTCACCCCGCGTCATTTTCAATGCATCATCTGCTTCCTCCATTTGTCATTAGCAAAAAAGTTACACCGCGAAGCAGTATTAATAGAGACATTAAATAGAGACACGTAAGCATAACATAGGGTGCGAAACTGGATCAAATTTGTGCAACAATAGTAAATCAGTGAGATGTCTATAGTGATGCCGGTTCTCATGGTCAACAAAGTAGCGTGGCTTAAGGTTATGAAATAATAATAAAAATAATAATCTATCATCATTCATAATAATATATAAAACAAGCTAGGCGGTCATTATGGTAATAGTAAAAAGAAACGAACGATTTTTAAAGGCAAGAAGTAGCAGGATCTTGACAGCAAATTATGCACGGAAGCCAGTAGATTTTTGACGGACCGTCATCTATTTCTCTCCTATCCCGAGGATAATTATACTAAAGCACTTCTCTCTTTTTTATTTCTTTCTTCCTTGATTTCCTCACTCATTCAACCATGTTTCGACTGGTTCCATTACGATCGTTCTCATTGTCGCGTCTGCCTTGTAAGCATCGCCAAAGATCGTCATGACAACAAGACTACTCACGTGAAGAGAGATTCCTTTATTTCTTCAACAGCTCGACGATTCAACAGCACGGTTGCCCCCAAGCCGCTGGACGGTATCCGAGTACTTGAACTGGGACAGGTATATGAGTGAAACTATGATGAAAAAAAAATAACTAGAAGTCAAGTTAATAGTTCGTCGTTGCCGTATTTATTAGTTGATAGCTGGCCCCTTTTGTGGATCGATTTTGGGGTATGGATATAGAAAAGTAGAGTCAAAAAGTAGAGTGGGAAGACATTACCATTGCAAAGCACTACGCGGAGAAACTTAACGATAGTTCCTTTCTATCTTCTTCTTAGATATTATGGCGCAGGTAAAGAAACTTTTTATATTCTTATTACCCGAGTTAACTAAAAAGCTCACCGCCTTCCTACTACTCATAGATGTGGTATGTTCTATGGTTATAATGGTGACAGTGTGTCTGTATCATGGAGTGAAGAATGCTTATGATGGAAAAAAAGGTCAAAGTAGAACCACCTAAAACTGGTGACCCACTTCGCAAGTGGAGACATGTGGATGAAGACGGCGAGAGCCCTTGGTTTCGTAGTCTGGGAAGAAACAAAAAGTCAATTTGCATCGACTTGAGAACAGACCAGGGTCGAAGGTAATACGTGCTTGTCAAAATAGAAGGGTACTCATGACGATCCGAAAATTAAACTTTTTTACATGAAAAGCTTGGTAAAGAAGTTGGCACAGGATGTCGATGTACTTATAGAAAACTTCAAGCCAGGCACAATGGAAAAATGGGGTCTTGGACCTGGTATGTTCGCGGAAAGAAGATTATTATTGCTAAGCTTTATGTAACTAATTACTGTAATCTTTATATATTAGAGGATCTCTATGCAACCAATCCTGGGTTGATTTACACTCGAATTTCAGGCTACGGACAGACAGGCCCATATTCTAAGCGTCCTGGATTTGCTGCTGTTTGTGAAGGCATGGGTGGGTTCCGCTACGTCAATGCCGTGCCAGGCGAGGCCCCTGTACGACCGAATATAAGCTTGGGCGACTCGCTTGCTGGCATACACGCAGCTTTGGGTGTCTTGCTCAGCTTGATTGGTCGAAACAAACTTGCTGGCACTGCAGAGAAAACGGGTCAAGTAGTTGATGTGGCCATCTATGAGAGCATGCTCAACATGATGGAAAGCATTATTCCGGAGTATGACAGATTTGGGCAGGTATGTAGTAGAGATGTTATTGGCTGACGAATGCATTGACTCATATTTAAATAGATCCGTCAACCGTCCGGATCTACTGTGACGGGAGTAGTGCCCACCAATACGTATCCCTGCAAGGAAGGTCAATATGTAATCATTGGCGGCAACGGCGATACTATCTACAAACGACTCATGAAAGCTATCGGCAGAGAGGACCTGGTATGTAATAATCCTGTGGATATGAAGGAGGGCTATAGTAACCGTGTTCGGTCTAGTTTTGAAATTTATGCATGTTCCACTTTTGAATTTTCGTGTAGGTTGGCGCTGAGTATGAGACCAACGCTCACCGCGTCAAAGCGCAAGAACTCATTGATGGAGCTATCAGTAAGATTTTCTGTTTTGTTTTTATTTTCTAAAGTAAACATAATCCAAAATCGAGTTGTTTGCCCTCTTTTTAGGTGAGTGGACGGCGACCAAGACTCCGGATGAAGTATTGGATGCGCTTGAACAAGCATCCGTTCCTGCCGGTAAAATTTACAATGCAAAAGATATCGTAGAGGATGAGCATATCAATGCTCGCGGCATGATCGAAACTGTTACTGTTGGTAAACCGGAAGAAGGAAGAGGATACGAACTCAAGGTAAATTACGCAAGAAAATGTCAGAGATTGGGTGATGGAAGTTGTGAAACTTAACCTTTTATTGTTCGCTCCCCTTAATAAGGTTCCCGGCATGTCTCCCATCCTTCAAACTACCCCTGGTGCCACAAAATGGGCCGGTCCTGATCTAGGTCAAGACACTGTTGAGGTTCTCGAAAAGTCCTTGGGTCTGTCTAAAGAGCAAATAAGTTCTTTGAAGGAGCAGGGCATTATCAACCAATAGGCTACGAATACCTCCCCAACCCAATTTGAAGATCATCCTCCTTGTTATATTATGATATCTCCTCTCATAAACTGGATTAGAGCATAAACTATGGACCTTATACTATCGTGGTTAACACTTCCAGAATACTTAAAACTTGATCCGCTTGATCAGGCTTTCACTGCGCAAAGAATCTTGCTTAATTTATGTTTTAAGCGATTTGCTCGACCTCGGTTTTTTTCAGAGAGCACAACCATCCCTATAACCACCGTCATCATTACTAGTCTAATCATTATAATCATCGCATTTCTACTTGCTTTACAGGATTTTGCATACGATACCGCTGTCGGCCTTCTATTTCTTCGTACCTGGGAGGATATTTTTTTGATATTAGGGAGGAGCATTTTTTGGTACATGGGTGGCAGGTTTTTCGTATGGGGGTGGGTGATTTTTAGCTTGTGGGGCAATTTCAATTTGTGGGACAACGGCTTTCGTAAACGGGCGAAACGTTTTTCCGTTTACGGGCTGGTTATTTTTCGTATCTGGGCGACAGCTTGTTCGTACCTAGATTACTAGAACTTCGCAAGTGGGAACATTTTTTTTCGTAGTGGGCAGCTCTAAGTCACGCCGTTTGACGCCCACGACGAGTGTATTCAAAGACGGGATATTATTGTGCGACATGTTTTTCAAACAAGTCGCGTTAAAATGCTAGTACGAGAATATTACAAATTTTCCTCTCGTTTCCTCTTTCTTTTTAAAAAATGCTACCTGATAAACGTACTCTGTCCCGCTCCTCTTCAACTTCTTCTATGGATGTTGACATTCATCAGCAAAAGCGTGCTCGAACTATCAACCGCACAGGCTCGGAAATAGCAGCTGCTACAGTCGACCCCCGTTAACGTCAACCCTCAGGGTACCAGCAAAAGTGTTGACCATATCGAGGGTTGACGATCACCGGGGGTAGAGAATAGGCAAGAACTTTAACTGCAAACTTTGAAAGGGTACCAGCGAATCTGTTGACGCCATCGGGGGTTGACGTTATCGGGGTTGACGTGTTAACGGGGGTTGACTGTAGTAGTCTTATGGGTAAGTATGCTGGTGGCCCGGTTGCAGCTCTTACGCGTTCTGTAAGTCAATTTTCTTTGCAAGACAATCCAGGTGACGGAGGTATGTAATACTTATACTTGCAACGTACAGTAAAAGCACTTTGTATCCATACATTACTTCTATATGACGTTATTTTAAAAGGCGAACAATCTGACGAAGCGAGCACTATATCTGGTGCGCGCGTAGAGGCCAATCAGGAGGAAGCTCTAAACGCATCGCATGTTGAGGGTAAGGCAAACAGGAAGAGTAATTGTCCTAGCTCTTAACATATAGTTCATTAATTTACACAGAGCGCCCCAGATATTACCGAGTAGATTAGGAGGGGGACCTTAATATGAGTGCCAGTGGTGAGGAGGGCCCTTCAACCACCCGACCTGAGCCTGAAGAGTCCGTTGATGCTAGTGGCAGTAGCAGCAGCTCTCGTAATTTCCCAGCTGCAAGGCACCAATGTTAATAAGAAAAGGGGGCCATACAACCCTCTCACAAAAGCCCAGATTGGGCAGCTTTGGGAGGCATGCTTGCTGGAAAATCAATGAAGCAAGCTGCTGCTGCCAACAACATCAATTTAAGTAAATTGAATGGCCGCTCAAATGCCGTCAATAACTTGGTGAAATGAATAGACATATTTGCATATATGTGGATGTGGACAGCTTTGCATTGCATGAACATGTGTATGAAAACTTCCAGGAGACCTTTAGCGAGCAAGTTCCTCGGCATGTGTTGAAAGAGCATTTGCAGAACAATTTCTGTATTACCTAGAGACGCCACCAAACGTGGCCAAAGCAGCAAGAGGATGCAAATCGTCTTCGAAGTCGATCTGAAAGCGTACACTCTCTTGCTGTAGCAGGCGTCGATCCGCTAAAGTGTGCTTTTGCTGATGAGGCAGCCTATGATGTCGACACAAATCGCAAGTACGGCGATGAAGCCAAAGCAAGAAGCAGAGCTGCCAAAAAGCAGGGTGCTATGATAATCAGCAGATCAAGCAGCGAGTAAAATCGGAACTGCCGATAGCAACACGGCTATCTTACCTGGCTGCCATGACGCGCAAACAAGCCGTCTACGCAGACTACCAGAAGTTTAGGAAGACGTAAGACGACGACGTAAAGAAGTTGTTCGCACCTTGCTGGCTAAAATGACGAATACAGAGCTTCAAGGATGGGACATCGTCTTTGATAACGCTTCACGCGAAACCAGGAAGATGATATCCCAGGTAGTCGAAGCAGGTGGCTCCAGGGCTATCTTCTTGCCACGATGCTCTGACATGGGCGAATCACTTAATCCTGTCGAGTGGTTCTTTTCAACGGTAGATCAACAGTGTAAACGGCACAAGACCAATAGGATGACCCCAATGACTACATCTTCCGCCGTTTATAGGGTGCCATTAGGGATACGCCAGAAATCGATCTTAACACCATCATCCACGGTAAGAGGTTGGTTTGCAATTGTAGCGTTAGCAGCCTCTAAAGTCGTCATTATCTACATTCCTTTTCTCCATTCATTTTGTCTATTAAGTTGATAGGAGTAAAGAAGTAGCAATAGTACAATGAGAATATACAATAGAGGGTGGCAGTAAGAGACGCGATTTGACAAAAGACAGAAAAGGAATTGAGAGAAGAAAGAAGTGAAAAGAAAAGGGAAAAGGGAAAAGGTTTAGGGGCATATAGGGAAGTCGATTTTCAACCACACTTTAAATATTATGCTTTCTTTAAAGCATGTGAGCCCAAGCGATTTCTTTTGTGATGGCACAAACCCCTTTACCTTTAAGAATAATCACTCAAAACGTAGATGTTACTGGCACTGCTAGGAATTTGAGTGCCATCATCTTGGAGAGCTATATATATATATATATATGGATTTTTGCACTTCCAGCGCTCAAGTTCAGGTTGATTGACACTTCCTTCATCACTACACCGAAATCAGTCTTGACCCGTCAACCCGAGTTTTGACCCGTCGGGTTGAACGGGCCGGGTCGGGTCAGTGTTTTCTTGACCCGTGGGTCAACGGGTCAGACCCTTGACCCGACCCGACCCGTCCAATTGGGACCCCTATAGAAGCTATACTGATAGTTTGATGAATGTGGGTTTGCTATTTTAGATCGTATCAATGGTATGATTCCAACAACATATATATGCTGACTTCTTCGATCGCGCCTGGCATAGTTTTTACGTTTAATATGAATATATTACGGCTGACTGACTTTTTAACAGGTTTATGTGAAAAGATCAGATTTGGTGCCTCTAGACAAAAGAGAGCCAGCTGCCAAGGGTAACATCAAGTTATCATTGCAATCTACATTGAAAGAATGCAACTTACAAGTCATCTCACATTTATAGACTTTTAAGCGCTGTGTTTGTTCTGGCAAGTGTATGCGGTCCTTTGATCAGGAGTAAGTACCTCAAATTACAATTTATGAATATGGCTATGTATGAGATTTTACGCAAAAGCCAGATGATTTGTTTAATATTGTTATTGTATCGCTGCTGTTTGGGACACAGGATGTATTCACTGAATACGTAACATGGCGCTGGAACTTTTACATCAAGTAAGTCGTTAAAAGAGATTAATGCGCAAAAAATTATTATACCCACAACACATAATTAATACTGTATGATAGCTAAATGGTTGGCTGGATGATATATACTTCTTCAACTATTATAGTATTTGAATTGGCGGTATCGCTTTGATGGCTCTAATTTGTTTTCTTACAATTGTCAATGGACAAACAAACTTTGATGAAAAAGCTGAAGCGTGTTGATTGTGCCGGTAACATATTATTACTGGTAGCTGCCACGCTGTTTTTGCTAGCCATGAACTCCGGTGGCCTTTTCCATGGAAATCAGCTGCAGTCATTGTAAGTTCGCTCTTATTTCCTACTTAATTTGATACATGGTTTTGTTTTCTTTTAATTTGAACATGTAGGTGCCATTTGTTTTGACGGGATATTCATTATTTCTACTGTTGTTGTGGAAACAAACTATGCCCAAAACCCGCTACTACCACCGAAACTATCCACGAACAGAACCATCATCAATCTTTTTGTTACCAACATTTCTTTAGGTATTACATTTTTCGCCATCCTCTTTTACCTTCCTGTGTATTTCCAAGTTGTGCGCAATGACATCGCCATGTGGTCCGGTATCCATCTGATACCCTTGCAAGCTGTCATTTGCGTAGTGTCAGCTGTTACTGGAGTGCTGATAATCAAACTTGCTTTTTATCGATCCTTGTACGTGGTATATACAGACAATGCTGTATTGCGTTATTGAATATACATACACACGCCTTCTGTTTTCTATTAATATTTTGCTTTTCTAATCTATGATATTTGAATGCTTTTAGTAGTGTTGCTGTTGGAGCAGCAGTTACAACTGTGTCAGTTGGCCTTTTTTTGGTGTGAAGACATCCTGGAAAAGATGTCCATTTTCAAAGTACTTGACAAGCATTAATATTCATTCTCAAACATGTGACACCCAACCATTATACTAGTGCGTTAGGCACTTTCAGGGGATATCTTCAAAAGTACCCAACAATCGGGCTGCCTGTGATATACTCAGAGCCATCAGCTTTCCCTGAAAACCATGGCAGGCTGGTGTGAATGTATACATGTATCTAGAAATGGTTTACTAAACCAAGGCTCTTCAGAATTGTATGAAAATAACAACATGAGAACTGAAAGCTTTTAATAAATCATGAGAGCCTGTGTCTGTTAAAGTTAGCGATTTGTTAATAGAAAAAAAGTGTGTGGAACTACTAGAGCTGGAAACGATGACTGAAATACTTGCATTGAATCTTTATCGTAGCACGCTTATTACATAGTCTTTTAAGAGTAAACCAACCCGGAGAATACCAAAAAAGTAATTCAACACAAGAGATAGAGAAAGAGAGAGATTATCAATCACAATTAGTATTAGTCGCAAGCTGGGATCAGAACATGTTACGCTATTGACGTAAAAATTCATATGATTAAAAAATCTGTATTAGAGAGCACATATATTATAAATTTACGGGAGTGGAATTGAGCTGGCAAGAAGTGAAAATAATACTTATTATCAAATGATAACACAAAAAGACGAGAGAACTATGAACATCAAATTACATGAATACAAACTACTCCTCCTTTGCCCTCACTTTAAACCCACTTCCAGCTGAGAATTCTCCGACGACCTTCTGATTATAGATGCGATACATTTCATCCAGCTCTTGATTAAAAATTTCGATTGCCTTTTGACGTTTGACCGATCCTTTTACGGTAGTTGGTAACTGTTTATTGGGCGGAAGGATGTATACCATGTCAGGAACAGCAACGAGTCCATGGAAAGGCGCATGTTTGTTCGCTCGATTCACTGCTGTATACACTAATTTAAACAGTAGAGTAATTGTCAGAATCTTCTTTATTCAACATATGCACTGCCTTGTGTTTATTAGTATAAAAGTACCCCTTGATGTCATTTCCGCTGAAGAGCAATGAGGATCTTCATCCATGTTCAGTTCCACCAATGCAGTAGTGCACGGCCGGTCTTCGCCGACAATAATGCAGCTGCGTATTATATCCTCGTTGCAAACCTCCTCTTCCATAGGTACTACATTCAGCTTTTCCCCGAAGCCCCTATGATGTTTATACACAATAAACATTGAAACCATACGTCTTTTAGTTCTCTCCCTCACTCCGTATCGCTATCCATTACTCTTACGTAAAGATTAGATCATCCTTCCTGCCTGCAAACATCCAATTTCCGGGCCTTGTCGAATCTTTTACGAACAGATCCCCTGTCACGAGATCACCAGTGGGCCGGTCATTAGCGCCACGTAAGGCAGGATAGCTGCTGTGTAAGATAAGTTGATGCAGATCTTTTTCATATGGCTCAAAAGTCGTGTAGCGTAGCAACGCATTACTAGGTTCAATGTTAGCCCATCGATCGTTATCCTCAAAGTTTGAAAGGCTAACGCATCCAACTTCTGTATGTTATACAATTTAGTTGTCTGTTTTATTTCTTGTAAGCGATCATATTTCAACAGTGTTACCTGTCATTCCGTACGCATTTCGAACGTTTAATCCCTTGGAATGCAAATAATCTCCAACTGCCTTCCGAAGTGGTGATCCAGTGGTCAAACTGAACTTGAAACGCTGCAAGGTCGCTGCATGGCGCTCATCATTTGTACAATGTTTCAGATACTTGGCCAGCCTGTCCAAGAAAGCCGGTGTCGTTATTAAGACGGTCGCTCCACTAGCATCGGCAGCAGCAAGATTATCTAGAGGTATGGGATTCTCACAATTGAGCAATAAAATACTCGCACCGGTCAACACACTCATTATAAGCGTAACTAGATACACCAGAAAGTATTAACGAACACGTTAAAACAAATAGATCAATGCAAATCAACGCGTGATATAACAGGATTATAAGTAGACATACAGATCGAAGGTGCGTGAAAAAACTTGTCTGTTATCAAAATAACGTCGCTCGGTCCCACCGCCAAGTATGGACAGACTTTTTGAATCGGTTTCAAGACGATCTCCAGGACTGAAAACAAGTGCGACCGTGTACTCCCAGAGATAAGCTTCGGTAACGCGGAGGTTGTCCCAGAACTATGGAGCCATGTAATAATAGCATCTGGGTCTGCAGTCACTGTGCCTTCGCGCTGTCTACTGGTGCTATCCTCATCTTGTGGAGTACTGACAAAAGCTTCACTTGACGCAATAAGCTGATCAATGTCAAAGTCATCCCAAATCTTGACGCGGAAATTCGAGTCGGTTAAAGCAGCCGCACATCCCATGGCGTCTTTGCGGTATGTTTCCGAAGCAACCATGTAGCTTGTGTTAGTTTTCTTGATCATATGGACATTCGCCGCTTCGGTATTGTGGGTTGATAAGGGAAAATAGATAAAGCCAAGCTTTAGTACAGCGAAGAATGCAAGTACAGCTTGCGTCGTGTCTTCACTCAATAAAGCAATGCATTGCGTGCCGGCAGGTACTATCGGTCTCCATGTATTTGCGAGATGAGTCGAGATTTTGTCGACTTGGCCATAAGTCAGCTTCTCTAGTTCGGGTGACTTTTGTAACTGGTAGTAAAGTAGTGTGTTGTTCTTGAAGCGGGCCGCATTTGCTTTGAATGCTTGTAACAGTGTGTCAAAATCGTTATAATTTGGAAGTTCTTGAACCATGCTGGATTAAATGGATACCAAAATGAGAGTAACATTGAAGCTATGCACGGTTGATTTCGCTTTTATACACTTCACTAAAATCATCTATCGTGAGGATAAAGTATGGGCATAGAAGCCTGCTACATATGGTGAGATTAATCACAGTATACATCTCAAAGCGTAAAATACCTTTAACCCTCCAAGACCTTTCGGATGAGTTCCCCTTGAACGTACATCTTAAACGGCATTCACACGCAAGTCGTGCGGAAATACAAGCTTCCTTTTGTAGCCATCTGCAGCCTTCGGGCACCTGAAATGACCTTCCAGGACGCTGTAAGTTCCAAACGATAATATAACTAAGCGGATGAAAAGCATGTAAAAGCGCTTCAAGGCTTTTTACACATCGCGACACGTAGTTTAGGCTCTTTGCCGACAACCAACACCAAATCAGGAGATGGTATTGTATAGGTATGATAGCCCTACGCGTAGAGCAATTTCCTCTAGTCACCGCTGGTTGTGCGAAACAGGTTGCATATTCCATCTGCAAGGAATCAATGTTTATTATGCACGATGACCAACCAGACATAGTGGGAGAAAAGAATTGCATATTCTCAGCATAATGCTGTACAACGTTGTTTCTCACAACAATTTATTATTCTTCGGCTGGCACTGACTAGGATGGTGTTACTATTTTCTTCTTATTGGTCGAAAGCTCAAAGAAAAAAATATGTGGAATGTAAGTGTAATAGCCGAATCATATAGAAGCGACTGGAGAACAATAAACGACAGGGAGTGGAGGGAGGAGCAATCTGAATCAGTGCTTACGCCTCGAATAATAGCAGTAAGCCGTCGGTCTTTGACCTCGGCTGTGAAGTCTAATACTGTATGATGCATGTGTATGCACATTTGAGCAGTTAATTGAGTGTAAGCTGTATGATATTACATACGTGACCCTTTATATTGGCGTCGTTTCTTGCTGACATCAATATGTATTATAGCAATTATGTAATTCTATACAGTCATTAATACATGTTTTTCGAACTGTAGAAGCAAACAAAACAGGATTTTGCACTGGAAATATGTCGCTGCGCAAAGCTATTATATTGTTTATTTCAATGCTTGGCTATGTGAGAACATTTGTCACGAAAAGAAAAGTCATTCGGTGTTTATAAAGGATTCGGGATAACGGCAGATGCGAATGTCACAAATACTGTACATGCTTGAATATATGGATAAATTCAAAATGAAGCCTGTTATGTACTACTGTATAATATTATATGCACTCTAATTGAGATGTTGAGGTAGCTTTATATTATGCGTTGGCGATATCTGTTAATGAACAGTAGTGTGTGATATATTTACCATCATGCATATATCATGCAAGCAGAAACAAAAGGATTAGAGTTTAATTATTGCTTGGATCATATTTGAATAGCCATCCTTGAAATCATAAGGAAAAGAAGCAATGCACTGTCACATGTAGTAAGACATCCTACTATGTCTGTATGTCCTGATCGCTTCCTACAGACCTAGAGCTACAGTTCAATCAGCCATTATCAGAGAGGGGCAGTACTTTTCAGTCTTTAATGCATGATGCTGGTCTTATTGATAAGATACACAATTTTGACTGTACATCTTAATCTGCGAGAGGACCCAGTCGAACGGTATTTATGATCGCAAATAGGGTGCAAGGCCCAGTCGGCCTAGCAAATTAACAGGGTATCAACATGTACACGGCTAATGGTATATCCTGCTTTCGAGTGTTGGCTACATGCATATACTATCATATCACGCAATTACCAGTTTGAATTTGAAATCAACACTGCTGTGTGCAGTAAAATGAAATATAACACACAGAAGTACGTTAAATGTTGTTCATGATGGATAATAATTTTTTATATAACGACAACAGGAAAACAAGAACGTGTCAAGTCTATACAGATATAAATATATGTGTGTGTGCGAGTGACGGTGAGCGTGTTTAATGAAAGATGATGGGAAGGGACGAGAGGACGAGAAAAGGTGCATAAGTGACAGTGATGATTTAAGCCTTGTTGGCGCGTCTGGTCTTGACAGACTCGGATAAACCTTCCAACATTTGCACGGTGGACTCGAAATCGACACAAGCATCGGTGATCGAAACGCCGTACTTAAGATGCGAAGGTCCTTCTGCTGGAACACTCTGCTTGCCCTCGTTCAAGTGGGACTCGATCATCAAACCAACAATATATTCTTCACCAGCAACGATCTGTTCACCCAAGTTCTTGGCAACCTTGGGCTGGTTGCGATGGTCCTTGCTCGAGTTACCATGAGAACAGTCAACCATGACATTGGGTCTCAACTTGGCCTTTTCCAAAGCAGCCTTTGCGCTAGCGACATGTTCTGCATCGTAGTTCGGTCCAGTGTTGCTACCGCGTAAAATGACGTGAGTGTCTGGATTTCCACTCGTATGAGTGATCGATACTATGCCAGACTTGGTGACACCCAAAAAGTGGTGGGGCGACGCGGCAGAGCCAATAGCATCTATGGCAATCTTGACATTGCCATCGGTACCATTCTTGAAACCGACAGGGAAGGAAACGCCAGAAGCTAATTCACGGTGCAACTGCGATTCGGTGGTGCGTGCGCCAATGGCGCCCCAGGAGATAAGATCGGCCAGGTATTGTGGCGAAATAGTGTCAAGCAATTCAACAGCGACAGGCATGCCGCTGTCGGTCAAGTCGCACAACAACTTGCGACCCACGCGAAGACCCTTGTTGATGTTGTAGCCGTTGTTGATATCTGGGTCGTTGATCAAGCCCTTCCAGCCAACAGTCGTGCGAGGCTTTTCAAAGTACGAACGCATGATGATCAGTAACTCGCCGTCAAGTCGTTGTTTGACCTCCAGTAACCGGCCGCAGTATTCTTTGGCGGCTTCCACGTCGTGGATCGAGCAGGGGCCAACAATTACAATTAATCGGTCGTCCTCGCCGCGTAGGATCGCTGAGGCTTCTTGACGAGCCTTGTGCACAGTATCTTTGGTTTTTTGGCTCTAATAATCCTTGTTTTTTTAGTCTGGTTTGTCGCGTCGTCGTCGTCGTCCAAGCAAAAGGTTTCACTTTGGTCAAGCGAATTTAAAGATACTTACGGCGGGCAGCTCTTCTTGAAGGTAGGCAGGGTTCAAGAGTGCGTTGTAGCCGGTAACTCGAAGGTCTTCCATGGTAGCAAGAGTGATGGTATATGTACAAAAAGTTTTTTGGAAAAAGAGTCTAATGAGAGGAAGAAGAAAGGAAAAAAACTCAGATCTCAGCTGGGCGATCAAGTAAAATCCTTATCTACATCAATCAGAAAAAAAAAACAGTCTCATTACTCGCCATAAGCGGTGACTCATTTTATGTCTGCCATCACCGTGGCTATTACCGTGGTTATTAATTTAACACCTGTTTCTATGCCATACTAGATGCATTTACTCATATACGAGACAAGACATACAATCGGCATATCCCTCGTTTTTCTTTTCATACATGCAGTACGCCCGAGTGCATTAAAACCAACAGCAGTAAATCCGAAAAGAAATAGACAAGAGATAATACTTTATTACAAAAAAGAGAGAGAGAGAGAGAGAGAGAGACAGAAAGCAATATTACATGAGAAACTGAGTATCGATGCCATGGGCAAAATCATATTTTACAATCTTTGCGAGGTTGGAGCAACAGACTATCCGTGCATAGTCGAACTGCAAATTGAGCACCTTTCCTTCGATGGCTTGGCTTAGGCTTCGCAGATGACATCCTTGGCTGAGGCCCCAGATGCGCAAACTACCGTCATAGCTACCGCTGATAATGCGGTCAACACTGGCATCCATCTGCAGCGTGCGCACCAGATCCGTGTGTCCCGCCAGCGTATGCAGACACTGTCCAGTTTCTGCATCCCATACCTTAATTGTCTGGTCGCTCGAGCCACTCACGATCCGCTCGCCATCAAACTCGACGCAAGCAATACCGCGGCTGTGTGAATCGAACGTGCGCAAGCACTCCCCGGTCTCCATGTCCCACATCTTGACGGTGCGGTCGCCAGAGGCAGACACGATGCGATTGTCTTTGAACTGGATAGCATTGACCGCCGCATGGTGGCCGCGGAGCACACGCAGGGTCTCCCCCGTGTGCAAGTCCCACACACGGATCGTGTGATCTTTGGAGGAACTCACGACACGATCTGCAGAAAAGCGCAAGTTCAGCACGCTCGAGCTATGGCCTCTAAGTGTGCGTATAATTCTGCCTGTCTCCATATCCCACTGGACCATCGTCCTGTCGCTGCTGCCGCTGATGATAAACCGTTCGTCGTATTGAAGACAGAGCACGCTCGCGCTGTGTGCACACAGTGTGCGACGACACTCGCCTGTGCGCATGTCCCATATCTTGATCGTTCGATCTCGACTGCCACTGACTATCTTGTCCTCGTCGAACTGGATGCAGTAAATCCCTTCAAGGTGCATGTCGCTCAGCGAGTCCTTGTGCGGAAATACACGCATCTTGCATTTGCCTTCGCGCCACCGCTTGTCAATCAAGTGTCGGTTGCGGTACAGCCGTCGCCAGTTGATGTAGCGGGTATCAGTCGTTTCGTGGTAATGGTATAGGGCGGTTTCGTCGTATTTCACGTGGCGGCGGGGTAACGGTCGGTTTTTGTATGCTCGATCAATGACGACATTCGTGAGGGCGGCGGCGGCGGAGGAGGAGGAGGATGATGACGAAGAAGAAGCTGCAGTCATACTGGAAGGGCGTGAGGTGGTCGATACACTACTGCGTATTACTCTCTCGTGTAACGGCAAGCGTGACATGTGTTGTTGCTGCTGCTGTAGTCGGTGATGGGAGGATGATGACATTGGTAAGGGATGGGAACGTGAGGACGATGTTGGTGCAGCGAGTGAAAGTGGAAGTGGGAACGGAATTGGCGGTAATGGATTGATGTTGTTGTTCAGTCTACGACTCAAGGCGGATGTTGATGACGATGCGCTGATGTTGTTATTGATATGGTTCTCATGATTGTAACTACTACTGCCGTTATTATTATCGTCGTCTTTGATTTGAGTTGACAGCGGTTCTTCTGTATCGGTAGTGTTGTTATTGTTGTTTGTGCTGGTTGTGATGCTGCTCGTGCTGTCACTCTCGACAGGAGTGGGTGCGTCTATAGATGCGTTGGTCGTAGTGCTGGATGATGCAGAGGTCAAAGCGTTCTCCTCTTGTTGCTGACCCTGGTGATGGAGTGTACGTCGTTGCCGTAGTCGTAAAAACAGATCACCAGGTCGTCGGAATGGCCGCAGACGACCAGATGTAGGTGCCCCAGGCATCTTTGGTAGTGCGGCGGGGTCGTACATGGAAGCGGTCGTGCGTGCGAGCGGTACAGGTGCTAGTCGGATATCATCCGCATGCAGCTGCTGTGACAGGCTGCCATTCCCACTGCTACTGCTACTGCTGTTACTGGCCAGCGCGATTGAGTTGTTAAGATATGTTTCCATGGCTCTGCGATCATAGCCCCAGCCTTGCTGGATGAATAGTTTTTTCCATAGCGTCTGATCCTGGCTCAGCTGACGCCATCGGCGCGAGACGGCCGAGATGCGTGTCAATGTAAGTGCATCCACAAACTCCAAAATACGGAATGCAAGCTCGTAAGGAAGCAGCTGTTATTTTAGATAAAAACGAACATGGACGATTTCAGTTTAATATCGCTCCAACGTGACTAGACAGATCCTTCCTCCCCTACCCCTCGTCTAGCCCCAACCTCCCCCCCTCCTTAATTACCGATAGGAAATCACGATGAAGTAGAGGAAGGAGCCGGTTGACCGTACCGCGTGCATTTGACGTGGATATCGTGAGTAATAGCTGATATGCAAATTCTACACCAAAAAGAAGAGAAAAAGAACTATGCGTCAATGCGGCTGTACGAAAATTGCTTGCCATACTCCTACCATCCCCCCCGTCTTTTCTCTTTCTCACACACACACACACACACCCTTCTCTCCCCTTTTGTTTTAAATATAGAGTAAAACAATCACTTCCCCCCCCGACACACACACACACACACTCTCTCTATCAGCTTCCTTTCTGTCCCCCGTCAACTACACTGGCAAACCAGCCAACGACCGGCCTGCCAGAGAAAAGAGGGAAGACTAATAATGATCGAAGAAGGCGGCTTACCAGCTTTTTGGTCATCGCTCCAGCTGTTCATGCAGTCGGGAAGTTCGAATCGCTGTTCAACATAGCCTTCGTCGGCATGGTCAACGTATTCTATGTCCCGTGTATTTTACACACATGGTTCCAAATTGTTTTCAATCAGCTCTTTCCGTAGGAATGCAAAGCAGGTTACTTGTAGCTTGTCATGAGACAAGAGAAACACCTACCGGAAGCTATAGCCTTTTCGAGGTTAAGATTCCTCATTGAATGGTGGCAACAAGTACAGTGTTTTTTCAATCAAATGAGAAAGTGGTGAAGGAAGAGTCGAGCAGTGTAGAATGGAAGGAAAGGAGAAGAGAAATAGAAAAAAGGCAAAGGTTCCAGGAAAGGAAACCTCAAAATACAAGTCCGCTACTACCATGCCGTCGGATTTGGACATGCTTTGCGCTTGATTATGTTTTTTATATTAAAAACTAACTTTTTGTGCTTCTAGGTGGAGAATAACAATTGCAACGTGAGACTATGTACATTAATATGGGAAGATGAGGGGATGGGTGGATGGAGGGAAGGGGGTATATATCTTGTTTATGTGCGGAGCTCTCTCACACACACACCGCGTGCAGAGTCTAATCGAGCATGACCGTCTTGAGCGTCTCATAGGTAGGGAAGAAGATGGCACAGATACCAAACCACCAGCAGCTTCGGGGCATGGCGCCAGCAAAGAACTCACGATACATGCGAGATGGCTTTCCGGATGCTTGGTAGAGCATTCTTCGAGTCATGTCCGTGGCAGTGACTGGCTGTTGATGGCGACGTTCGGTAATTATACGAGTTCTGATCACATCCATGGGCGTGGTGAGGTAACCGGCCAAGAAGCCGCTGACACCGCCGTACACGATGGTCTGTAGGGTGGGAATACCGGTTTCCTCAAACGCGGCGCTAGCGACAATCTTTTGCTGCTTGACCCGATTAATCCATTCCTGATGTACTGAGCGACGATGGAAAGCCTTGAAGTTTTCATACGAGACGAGCAAGATAACCATAAAGGGCGAATCACGAGCGGCAATGGCCCAAAAGCCCTTGAACAGACCACGCGGTCCTTCTTCGGCCAAGGTCTGGCGTACGACGAACGACGCAGTTGATCGGCCAGCGTAGTGGTCGGTTTGCAGCTTGGCTGTGACAACCTCACGAGGCACCTTGATAACACTTGAAGCCAGATCGCCAATGACTGCCGACAGTGCAGTGACAGGAATGGCCCATTTCTTGTCGTCAGGAATCAGTTGACTCTTGCAGAACTCGTACGTGCTGAAACGAGCACCGCCCTGGCCAGCTGCACCCAGTGCAGAGACAAAGAAGCCTTTGCCCAGACTGCGGGCTGTTTCTCGAGTGAAAATACGTCGCCATGAGTGTGTGTTGTCGGCTTGGATACGAGTTTTGATGGTGTCGAGAGGATGCATGCAAGCGTACGACAGCGAGAGGCCCATTGCGCCGGCAGCAAAATGATCTGTCAAACATTGGTAAAAAAAGGCTATGAGTTCTTGTGCGTTGAGCGCCAGATCAGTGGTTTTTTAGGATACGTTACATTTGTACAGCTCGGCGACGGAGTAGTTCTTTTGAGTGCGATTAACAATTGAAGGTGTCATTTGTGGTAGATTAATTGACAGAGTGCTCTTGCGTGTATGGAGAGAGAGAGAGAGAGATCGAGAGAGAGAAGTAAATGGAAAATATCGTTAAAGGGGTGTTGCAGATATTTTCATCAAGGGCCTTTTATACAATGCCTGCTTTGCAAGGTGACTCAGTCCGTTGACCAATCAAAGTGAGCACTTCATCATAAGTCATTTTGGCACCTCTTGTGCTTGCTTTGCTGATTGGACAATCCACAGTTCTCAGTCCGCTCTGTGATATGATATGCACGCCGACGACGATGATGGCGATGATTGTTTACTCGGATCGCTCCAGGCTCCAGGCTCCAGATCGATCCTCTTCTTTCATTTCTACCGTCCACTTCAGTGTACACATACAACCGCAGTAAGACACCGCATCATCATTGTCAACCCATTATGCAATACTAACTACCCTGATCAAATGAGGTGAAGGTGGGGTGTCAGTTGGCGGACTTTCATCCTTGTTTTCTGCCCTGTTTTTTCTGTATTGTTCCACCCAGGGATCTGTTCCTCGTAAAGCACACCTCTATTTACCCGATCCAACAACAAAAGCTAAAAGTCGGTGTTGACCTTTCTTTTCCTCTTTTTTTTTTTTGTATTTATTTGAATTTCTTCTATCCGGTCATGCTTTTCGCTTCTACAACACCAATCATACAATCCTTTGCAATAATCGATCCATGGCTTGCTAATGCTTCTTTTGCTGCATCGCTTGACTCGTATCGAAACGTCATCCAGTTGCTCCCCGACTGATACCGCTCCTCTACCTTGCCACACTGTGAAAAATGCTCAATCACAGCGACCTTCATTCCAGATGGGTATCCAAACACCTTGACAATCGTAGGGCCTCCCTTTTTTCTACTTTGGCTGTCTGGAGCCGTGGGCGTGAAAATGGAGGCTCCAGCAGCACCGCTGTCCTTGAGGAAATTGTTGTTGTTGCTGCTTGCATCCTGAGTCATCAGTGATGATTTGCCTGGCGCGTTTCGTGAATGCATTACTGCCAGTGTCCACAAGTCTAGATATTGTTAGCAAAGCGACCAAAAAATCGACATATTTGCTTATAATCTTTCGTCATACCTGGCTTATTGGATGTTTTGACTGTGTCTGGAGATGATGAGTGTTTGCGAGGATTGACACCTATATCCCAAAGTGACACCACCGGAGGATCTTCCAGTTCTTTTGTCGATCGGCTATTGCTATCACCAAAGCTTTCGTCTCCCGCCATACCAAACACGCCAGAGTGGTTGCTTGATTGTTTGTAGAGTGTTCGTCGTCTACATACATACACACGAGTAACAAAATTATAAACTCTTTTCCACAAACTCGGGCTCACCATCCCTCTGGAAACTTACTCTGATTCGCCTTGACCATCAAACGCGCGTTTCTGACCTGACTTGGACGATTGCTGGTTAACATAGCAGAGCGTACATCAAATCAGTTAGCAAAATAGAAATTCATTTGCTATCTCTTTTTCTTCATCCAAAACTAGTCATACTTACTGGCACTGCAGCCGAAGTCAAGAATCCTGGTAATGTTGTTTGTTGTGTTCCAAAGCCTTTGGATGAGGTCGAAGTAATACCTTGTTGGACAGCAGATTTTGTCGTTTGGTCGTCTTTGTTGAACAAGCTTGGAGGAATGGATGTGCGTGTCACTTTATCGGGCTTGACAATGAAATGAGGCACGTTGGTATCAGGAAAGGCTGTCCGTAAACTCAACAATGAGTTCGACTGTTGTTGTTGCTGTTGCTGTGCTTGTTGTGTGTTATTGGTAAACAACGACTTATTGCCGCCCCCAAACAGCGACGTTGGCGCGTTGCCACCGCCACCAAATCCAGCTGTCATGCTGTTACTGGAACCAAACAATCCTGTTGTCGGCTGTGCTGTTGATGTACTGCTACCAAGCTTGAACCCGCTAGTTGATGGATTGCTACTTCCAAAACCAAGTCCTGGCGTTGTTGTCGATCCAGCTAATCCACCTGCAGTAGACGTTCCAGTATTACCAAAAAGACTCGTAGTACCGCCTGGTGCACTAGTCGCTGTATTACCCATGTTACTTCCGAAGCCCATAGTGTTCGTTGTAGCATTCGTGCCGCCGCTGAATCCACCAAATCCGCCGAATGAAGAAGTCGTTGATGTTGTAGTGCCAGGTCCTGCGCTTGTGTTACTGGTGGAGCCAAACAATCCCGTGCCGGCCGTGGTAGTAGATTGGCTAGGAGTAGGCCCTGATGCAGCTGGAGCAAACAACGACGTGTTTGTTCGCTGATGTCCGCTTCCTGTGTTGCTGCTGCTACTACTACTACTTCCAAATCCTCCGCCAAATGCAGTGGATGGTTGCGATGACTGGCCAAACATGTAAGAATTAGAAATGTATTGTATAGAGAGTCGGGAATAAAACTATTTTGTTGGTGCGATCTGGTAGCGACTCGAAAAGGGAGCAAAGGTAACGAGAGGTGCACACACGCTACAACCTGGAAAACGAAATAATACGATGGAAAACCAGCCTATACAAGAAGGAACAAAAAATTGTTTCTTTTGTCGCGCTTGCGGAGTTCAACACGCATTTTTTTGGTTCACCCTCTGCGTTAATGCCGTGCATTCGCTCTTACATTATCGCTCTTAGTTCAATGCTTATATGTCTGTTTGATACGCTGCCAGCTATTGTTACAACAACGTCCGAGAAGTAAGAGGGATCACAGGATACTGTAGACTTCGTGCTGTATAGTATCGGGTGGCCATTATCCCTTCCTCGCGATAAAAAGGCTGCAGGTAGCTAACAACAATCAGAAGCTTTATGCATTTGCATATTTCAAGTTTGATTGCTAATGAGCGCTTGTGGTTTACAAACATTTTGATATTTTAATTTATAAGTGGCTACTACTAAAGCTTCTTAGACTTTGATAAGGTTATCTGTAATGACCATATTGGTTTTTAAGTTATTAAGTTACCAATTTGTGATGATTTGACAGATATCGCGAAAGCCACACATGCGTAACATGCTTAGATAAGCAAGTCTCTATATTTTCCATTGCTAAGCGCAGTACTAATGACAGGATCAACATTCTCACTACTGTATTAGACAGCCACAAAACATACCGTGCGCTGCACGTTTATAAAAACTTCCTGTAAGAATTTCTCTAGACAGAGTATACCGTGCCATTTCGATATACATCGAAGCGTAATACAAACATTTACTATTACCTGATCAAGCAAATCATTTATTACTGAAGTTCAATTCTCTCTATCTTGAAAGTCGGCAGGCATTGTTGTCAAGAGGACTCTGGCCAATAAAAAAGCAACAGAAGCGGTTAATTCACTATGTAATTGGTTGTACTGCTGAGAACCTTACTCTCAGAAGTAATTACTGCTGAATGGCTTAGCCAAAGAATATGTTTGTGGACATCCGCTATCATAATAAGCACATTAGGTGTAGTAATCGACACAGCGAATGTTGTTTGCAAGTAGGTGCCAGTCTAGTTAGTCCATCTTTACTAACAGAAGATCATCCATATTGGTCGATGCTCCTTCGTTTGTTTTGGTTTACTCTTACTGTAAAAAGACGGTACATTAGGTCGTTACGGGAAAGAGAACAGCTTTGTTGTAATTGAACATGTGCAATTTATATAATAACTTGCTGTTCGTAACACATTGCTAAGAGCAACTGTGACGGGAGGCAAAGATCTGATTTCCCTGTATTCGATAGATTGCCCGAAACGCCCAATACCTTTATAGTGCTGTCGTACAGAGTCCGACTATTATAACGTGGGCTGTTTGGCAGGGACAATGTTTTCCCTTCCGGCCCTCAGGTTCCCGAAGCGTCACATAGCGTCATCTGCCCCTTGATCTCAGCTCTTCCTGCTGACAAGCAGGCGTCTGTTGAGCATATATGAACACCTGTCACCAGAAAAAGCACAGCAATAATGGTTCATGTATTACTATACTTCATAATCAGGATACGTCAATAACTTTTTTTAGTCACTCATTCTTCCCTAGATCATCAATGATCATATTTTTTTGTACATGAGGCCTGCTCTCCTAGTTTACGGCCTCTTTTAAGAAAAGAAGTGGAAAGAGGAGAATCTGTATGTTACACAGCCTTAGTGATTATAATAGGATTTTTTTCCCTCGATCCTCAATCGGAATCGTCTTTTTTTTCCTTCAACAACACTTTAATTCTTTTCTCCAAGACAACTACAATGACATCACCAACAAGCAACGAAGACAACACATCAGAAACAGTAGTCCATGACAGCGGTAGCCATAATGAAGATAAAGAACAAAAGAAACGAGGTTGGATCAAGTATCTGATTGGTGATCCGTATGCATCCGATGATCCACAACAACTTTCTATGCGACATAAGCAGATCATCATTTTCATCGTCGCATTAAGCGGTATAAGCGGACCTCTTGCCAGTATGGTACGAATCCAAGACAATACGACATATTACACATTTAAGAACAAGAGGACTGATACAGTGTAAGTAAAGATATATATGCCAGGTTTATTAAGTGTTGCCCGCGATCTCGATACGAGCATGGAGGCTGTCAATGGCACAGTGAGTGCCTACGTTGTCTTTATGGGAATCGCTGTAAGTAATAAAGCGCTTATGGAGTGTCGCTGCTCATATCCGCTCTTTTCTTGAATATGTATGGTAGCACACTTCTTCATCGTCATGTTTTACTCAATTTTCTTTACGCTACAGCCATTGTTCTGGGCAGTTTTGTCTGATTACTACGGAAGAAAACGCATGTATTTGCTGAGCATCATCATAGGTATTATCGCATCCATTATCTGTGCAGTATCAACCAACGTCGCCATGTTGATTGTGTTTCGAGCTATTCAAGCGGGTGGATCATGTGCGAGCCAAACATTGGGTAAAGTTATTCGCGGATCGAGGTCACCATTAATATTTTTCCTTATACATTGTGAGAGAAATCATGAAATTGATGCTTTGTAATTCCCCATTCTGGGATTGTTCTCGATGGCTGTTGCTGTGAACTTTATAATAGGCGCAGGTGTCATTGCCGATACCATCCCTGTTGCTCAACGAGGAAGAGCATATGGCTTCTTTTATATAGGACCATTGGTAGGTCCTGTAATAGGTAATAAAAGATTCTACCTAGTACTATATAATGAACCATACAGCATGAACCATGAATGCTAACACGTAATGAAACACTTATTCTGTTTTGTTATTGTTTTTTTTTTATCAGGGCCGACGGTCGGAGGTATTTGTTATTTTGATCCAGCCGTGTGTGGAAGTCATAAACTATGATCTTAAACATTGATCTTTTCCTTGATATAGGTGTTTTGTGTCAGTACCTTGGATGGCAATCGACATTCTACTTCACTGCAATTCTCGGTAAGGACCGGGTTAGAGAAGTACAGAGAGACAAAGAATGAAAATGACTAACTACTTGGAACTTACAACTTAGGTGGTGTCTTACTTGTGCTTGTAGCCGTTTTTTTACCGGAAACATTACGAAAGAAACATCCAAAGGGAAACAGTAATCCTACGCATAGCGCAGTCAAAGAAATGCTGACTGTGTTTGGTCCAATGTTCTCCATGCTTCGTGACCCAAGCGTGCTTCTCATCACCATCTATAGCACCGTGATTTTTGCCTGTCTTTATTTCCTGGTGCGTTAATATCTAGTATTGCATACAGCGTTCTGACGAACTGATGAGGATGTTAATAATACTGCCATGCTATATCACATAGAACCCTACAATTACCGATACATTTCAATCCTTATATGGTTACAACGAATGGCAAGTCGGTCTATGCTATCTTGCGTTTGGTGTAGGCTTGATGATGGGATCCGTGATCGCCGGACAGGTCTCCGACTTTGTGCTTCAGTACCTGCGCAAACAAACAGGCGGCAAAGTCATTCCGGAGATGCGACTTCGCGCAGCAATTCCTTCATTCATCCTTATTCCGGCCGGTTACTTTATCTACGGTTGGACTACAGAGTATGGGATTGGCGTCTATGCACCCATCCTTGGTCTATTTATTTGTAAGTTTTCGTACTGTATACATGCAAAAAAATAGGCTGGTCTGTGTCTCTTTAGCAACAACACCAATAAAACGGACTATGACTCACACATTGTTTACAGATGCGTTTGGTCAAATGTCAGCTTTCACACCGGCCACGGTATACCTCGTCGACTCACAGCCAGGTAGATCTGCAACTGCTGTAAGTGACGTTTGGTGTATGCTGACTGTTAAAACTTGCTTGACTAAATTCAAGGAAAACCTAAGCTTATTGTATATGCTCACGCACCATACCACTGCGTTATTATCTTATAGGTTGGGGTAAATAATTGTTCGCGTTCAGTAGTGGCTGCTATTATGGCCATTTTCTCAACAGAAGCGCTACATACACTCGGAACTGGAATTCTGTTTAGTATTTTGGCAGCTCTGAACATTGTCAATATCGTTTTCGTTGTCATGTGCATGATATCTGGTCAACGTTGGAGAGAGGCACATGCTGAGAAGGTCAAGGCCCGTCAGGGCATTGATGGAGAAGACGATAACGACAACGATGCCTTTCAAGACAAGAAGCAGCACGAGTCATTGCAGCATCAAGATGAAGAACAAAGAGAAGGCGAGATTCAGCATGCCTTGGCAAGAACTGCTTCCCGACATAGCGCTATCTAGCAAAAAATTGGGTCGGTGATAATGACCAGAACACAACGATGGCGATTGATGAAGGCCAAGTGAAAAAAAAAAACCAGCCATCTTTAGAAATTGCTGCAGCAGATACATCTGAAGATATTGTAGAGATACCTTACCACCTTTCTAATTGATCATCTCTCTTTTTTTTTACACCACGTCGATAACTCTCCATTAATTCTTTGTTTGCCATACGTCATCCGTTACCATATTTCCATGTACTTATCTACCTTCATCTTTATCCTTACTACTGTATCCCGTCATTAGAGTGTGTTTTGCTGTTTTAATTTCTATTGTACTTGACCCTTCCGTTTTTGAAAACTTGAATAGAGGTCAAAACTGAAGACGTTATTCAGAGAGTTTGTACATGTTGTACCTATATTCCAGTGTCACCCTTCTTAGTTGACTCGTGCTTGAAGACGATGGGCTGAACATGCTCCATTGATGGATGATTACAATGCTACGGAACTGTAGCCATGAATTTTAACCGTTGGGAAACCAGCGGTAATTCGCGGTGTAATTGTTATACAGTAGACCCTCGTGAAATCAGTGAAAGTTGAAAGGTAACGAGAACAACCTATACTAATACTCTCTTCCATTCTTGCTCGTCTGATACAGTAACTCCAACAAATTTATTATAATGAGGGTTGAAAGTTTACGAGTTTGAAGTTAAAGAGGTTGGCTGTATCTCCATTGCTCATAGATATAAATTTGTACATACTGTATATCTGACTCAACAAAGAAGGATTTAGTAATGACATTGGTTTAATATGTACTCTCCTTCCGTTCAATATAATCACAATCGCGGTTATACAGTATAATTGTGTAAAGACTATTCTTGTAATTCCAGTGCCATTAGTATATCATACTAGCTGCCGGTGGGCTATATGTATCATATGCACTCGAAAAACTCATGAAAAACAGGGCAAGTGTATATCATAGCAAGTACCATATTCTTCTAGAAAAGCTCTTACTCAATACCCTTCCCCTCCCCTTCAAAGTCGATCTGGTTAAGATGCTTCCATTTTAATTCAGCATACATTGTATTATGTAAAATGCAAAGTTTTATTTTTTGGTAGTTATGTACGTACAACACACACAGAGGCAGCAGATCAAAGGAAATGGACATGTAAAAGGGATACCACGAAAGTTTCTTTTTCCTTGATTTCGTTTTCCTTTTATATTGCGCATATCATCCCTACACTGCGTCACGGATGGCCCACCATAAATCGTTTGGTACCTCTACTAAAATAGCAGGATTGATACGCTGTAAATCTTTTTTATCCCTTTATGTCGCTATTGCATTTTTTCTTTTTTCTTATTCGATTATTACTTTATACCTCTTCTTGGCTCTTCCACTGCGCTGTTCGCTGTTGGAATCATGCGCACCTTGTTCTCGCGTTCGCAGCATGCCTGCTGAATCCGATTCATCCGTATCCATCCTGCTGCTGTTGTTGTTATTATTACTACTGCCACCGCTATTAGGAGAAGAGGAAGATTTTTGACGGATTTGTCGACGTACTCGCTCCACATGTCTGTCATAGTCTTCACGTTCGGCCTGGTTGGCTGCAATCATTTCATGCGCTGCTCGGATCCGATTGTCGATAGCATCCAGCACTGTCTTGGTATTGTTGGACCACACGCTCAATGCCTCCATTGTTTCTTCGAGCTGTTTCGGTCGTACATCGCGTCCCATTGTGTATTCCACCTGGAGCTGCTGCTGCCGCTGATCGAGTTTGCCGACAATGATCCCTTGATAGAAGGCGTCAATGATCAGGTCTTCGAGCGCACGTACGTTGGAAATATTAAGATATTCTTGCAGTAGTGGGTATGGTAGTGTCTATATACGCTATACTCGTTAGTTCTCCTTTCTCCTTTTTAACTGTTTCTATCCTCCAAGTTGAATCAATTTTACCCGGCTCGATTCAGAAAGAGCTACAATGGACAGGTGCTTTAACTTCGTTTGTTGCGCGTCGTTGAGTGAGGGTAAATTGGCTTGTTCAGCTATCACATACGTAATATACACGCAGTATGTTTAAGCATCGAGCTATCCATATCTCTCTGGGTGCTTCCATATGTCAGATACAACTGCATATTTAAACTAAGAAAGAAACACGAACCAACATAATCTTTATAAGTGCCGTACATAAAGATCTTTAAAAGAGCATAGTAAGGTGCGACTTCAGGGGATTGTGATGCCTACGACAAAATCAGCAATCTCACTTAGCATGAATCCCTCTCATGTCTTGTATCAGAAGAGTGGAGCAGTTGAATGGCTCTCTGTATATACCTCGAGGACATTGGGCGATTCAGCGAGTTCAGAAAACACGTAAATGCCAGGCGCAGCAAGTGTATCGAGAATTAGTTTTGAATTGGCAACACCTTTGACGGATTTCGATAGTAGTAAGAATGTTTGCAATTTCTGGCTAGTGGATAACGTTAAATTGGATTCGTTCATTTTGTGTGATATATAATATTAGGAAAGAAACAAAGAAAGGTGGTAGAGACAACGTTGCAGTACGAGGCTGTGTTGCGTGTTTGTATGCGAACGAATAGCTTTCGAATTCCGGTGTACCTTACTTCAACTTGATCACTTAACACTTTTGCGCAATACTATATCTACCATAACTAAGAATAACCTGATATATATCATACTCTATAGTAAGTTGGTCAATCATTACAAGCATGCACCTTTTACTATAGGAAGCTAACACTAGCACGAAAACTGATAGTAATCATACTACTGCGAAAAGCTTTCCTACGTGATTATCTTACCACCACACCTAAATCGTATGGGCTCACTCTACATAATAGAAAGCTCGATATACATTTGTATGCATTACACACTTACAATTCTATATTTAAAGTTGTTCTGCATATATATGTAGGTGGCCAGCAGCTCGAAGTGTTTGCTCATCTCTTCATCTCTTCGTAATATAACCTATTAGTTTGTTGTCAACGTACTGTCCTGACGCTTCTCTCATCATCTTTTTTCACCGCCTGAGAAACTAGAACCTTGACCGTCATGAGTATCGACTTTTATACCTGGTCATAAAGGCTGCACGAGCCACAACAGATATCTCTTGTATCTAGGTTATTTCGGTAAGCGGAGCAGAGCTAAAAAAAACTTTCGTTACTTACCTCCTCAACTGCATCCGCAATTAGAAATTACATACAGTTGTTGTGTGTTCCTGAGCTGGTTACAGATGAGGTCTGTATGCAAAGCTTTTTTATTATTGCTCACCATCATGCCTCATTGCTTCCATCGATACCTGCAAGTAGCATGCTAACGAACTGTATATGTACAGTAGCTCACTTTACAAATTAATCTTATATTACTTGAAACTACATAAACTTTACACATAGAATTGCGACTACATTGAAATTATGATGGGTGGGTTTCACATAATAGATACAACTGCTTTTTGTGCTCTTAAAGCTACAAAGAAAGAAAAGAGAGGGAAGAGAATACAGAACAAACAGTGTGACAAGACAGTACCAGCTGTCCATGTTTACATAACAAGATCTTGCTTCTCTTTATCTAGCCAGAGTACCAATGCGAGTTGAGAAACGTTGCCTTGCATCCAGCTTTCCCTGAGCATAGCTTATTGCATCCCAAGTGATATGTTTGCATTGAAGAAGTTCCAGATCTTCCAAATCCGAGGCTAAAAGGGGCTCCTTGTCGTCGTCACCGACTTTTCCATCCACAAGATAGCGTATCGCTTGATCGGTGAGAGAATCGCAGCGCCACAACTTGATCCTTCTGAGTCCAGACACATGAGCAAGTGCCATGATAACGGCATCCGTCAATCCGGTTACTGAAGTGAACCCGAGATGATTCAACGCAGAGATGCCGCGCTGTCGAGTTGCCAATTGTTTTACAAACTGGATCAATGTTTGGGTATAAAAGGTGCATTGTTCCAGTTTTAGGACTTGCAACGATGGGAATTCCAACAATAGTGGTAATATTGTTTCCCCACCACCAGCGGGGCTTTTTGCTAATCGAAGCCGGGTGACTTTGTGCGATGTAGCCAACGTTCTGTTTTTCAGAGCAATAATAAGCGCTGCTACATCGCTTTCGCTATCAGTGATTTTTCCAGTTGAATGAATGTGCCATAAGCGAGGATATACTGCTGTTGATGATATTGGCGATGATATTAAACTGCTGTTATCAAAGTCAGTGTTGCTGCTGTCGTTGTCATTCTGGTGGCCGATAAGTGTCGCGTCGAGTTCAGCTGATTCACTCCAGCAGCCACAGCCATAAATATTCAGCCATTTCCCACGAAAGTTCTGGATCAAATACCCTCCGTCAAAACCATTATAGTCGTGGTACAAGGTGAGTTTCTCGAGCGTATACTGCTCTCGTGATATGACCATCTTGATAATCTCCCAGGAATGCGCATCGGTGCAAGTTAAGGTAAGCGCATGTAAGCCTAGTTGTCGTTGCTTTCTAGTTTCTTCCCGTCGGTGGTATTGTTGATGGTGGGTTGATATTGCTGATGTGTTTTTATTCTCGTCGTCGTCATTTGCATTATGGTATTCTTCTTCGTCGTCCCAGTATTCCAAATCAGACTCATACCCCTCCGCCACATCGTCGATGCTCAGATACTTTAAACTTGGCGGCGTTATGGGCTTAAAGAAGACGTCCAGGTCACCTTCAAAACAGCCAACTTGAAGGTATCGTAGCCGCGGACATACAGCGAACAAAGGCTCGATATCTTCTTGTTGTAGCGAACTTCCAGTTATCCATTTCAAATGGGTGAGATTAAGGTTGCCGTTCGGTAGCACGAGTGGATCGTCGAATAAGATAGGCACGTGAGCATGTGGCATCACGACATTGAGTCGTTTCAGATTTGGACAGGTACGCAGTATCGACAAGAAGTGCGGAGGGGAATAGACATGATCATAATCTGCAAACAAGGTCAACTCTGTCAACGAGTCTTTAAGATACTGTAGAGCGTAGAGAATGTCCATGTCGTCGCATAAACAGTTTTCCCAGACTTTTTAAGTTCAAATATAATAAAATAATTTGATTCAACAATACATGGCACAAAGAAATACAAATCGGATAAGTGAGATTCTCAGAACAAAACAAGGTTGTTGTGTCTAATATAATATGAGAGTCTAACTTACTTAGAGATTGGATGTTATTCATGCACCCAAAGAACATCATATTCAGGCTGCCGTCAACGATACCTGGGCTGCCTTCGTATATGGTGTATTTGCGGATGTGCTTGCCGATGCGCACCAGGAGCGGAACCAATGCATATTGATTGTCCGTAATAGTGATTTCATGCCATAAACTGGGTGCACTCAAGATACATGCGCACCATTCTTGGTTAACCCTCATACATTCAAACAAATCGGCGGTAGCGAGCAGTTCAAACACTGCACATGCTACTTCAAATGGAAAAATGGAGATAAAGTCAACACGTCTTGTCTCGATCGCACTGTCGTTGTTGTTGTTGCTGCTGTTGTTGTCGTGGAAGGTCACTGGTTGTCCTGGTGATGCTGTCATAGATACCGGCGTTAATGACGACGACGTTGTTGCTGCCCGCCATTCTTGGCTAAATTGTAAAAGACAATGCGATTGATGTTGAGCCCGAGTAGATGTTGCCATCTCTGACTGACATTTGTGATCGACGGAACCGAGCGTCATTTGCAAAATATAATCTTCCAAATAGCGCGTCATTAAAGTGTAGACAAGTCGATTGATTTTTTGTTGTTGTCTTCAAGCCAGCTTGAAGGCGTCTGTATGTTTGAGTCAAGGAAACAAAAAGGCTAAAGAGCAAAAAAAAAAAAAGAGAAAGAAGAGCAAGGAAGACAGAAAATAGGCTCGAGTTATGGTCTTTTTCTTCTCTCCGTTACCCTTCTGCTGCTATCATGTTGGGGTTGGATCCACGAAGAGACAGACTTTGGAGGCTGCGGAAGAAGGGAGGCTGTGCAAAATTAAGCTCACAAATGTGTTACCATTGGTAATTTGCGGGGGTGAATGTTAACTGTGTGCGCATTGTGTGCGAGGATAAAAAAGAGCGAAAAGCATCAATTAAATGATGCAGCACAATACACGCACACACCTAGCGCACTATAGCTTCTATATATAGTAGCTTCCGGACAACTTTTCCATCTCGCACTACCTGAAGAAAAAAATCTCGGATAAACAAGGAAGTCACCAGGAACAATCGTGACAGTTTGAAAACAAAGTTGACAAGTTTGCCAGTTATACTGCTGCAAGTGATCATTGTCCTACAATCCCACGAGCACGTGTACAAAGTCAGCAAAGGCCACTTGTAGATGGACTGCCATGACGATAAGAAAAAGCCTTCACGGTTTTCTTTCTTGTTGGGCGAACTATTAAACTGCTTCCTCATATTTGTAGCCTCTTCGTTAAAGTTGACACTAGTTGTAAATAGCGTTTCGTTGTTATCATAATGGGTCATTGTCATGGTATCGCAATACTAACACTAGTAGCTCCAATTTATTAGACGCCTTTTCTTCTAGTTTCTTTTTTTTTTAGAGACAGTTTAAAACGGTGTTCTTCCATATATAGTAGAAATTTTTGCTGATCTTTCATCCGTCACAAACACAAAGATGGTGTGCGCGCGGTCCATCGTTATGTTCCAATTTATCCAGCAGTCTGACGTGTGAAACATGGTTACTATGATGGTACTAATAAACTTTGAGAGTATGGAAGATAATAATGTAAGGAGAACGAACGAGAGAGGCGAAGGGACGTAGTAGTGATACGCGGTCTTTGTGTTTTTAATGTCTTACAGAACAGAAGGATCGACATGAGTAATATATTTGCTGAGATACGTGAAGAAATTGTTACCTCAACAACATTGATACTTAGCTAGGTACGAAGCATAAACGGGACCCAGTGCTAAATTTGTCACAGCCAAGCTATTATCACGAGCTTCGGCAAGACCCATCATTTATGATACGGACTTGGTTTACAAAATCAAGCATCGCGTTCCTGGTCAGCAAAGCAGGCGGCTCCAAGGCATCAATTGCAAGTTTACGTAACACGGAGAGGTGGCTTAAGCTCATTGTCCGAGATATGTAGTCCTTTCAAATCCGCCATTTCCGGCTCGGGAAACAACGTGCAAGCAGCTCGTAAACTGACACGCCCTGGATATTTTCTTGAGCTCTACCATCATCAAAACCAAAGGAGCCTATAGTTGATAGCTTATGTGCTTTGATACCAAGTCGGCGAAGCCAAGAAATCGCGCTGATAGCATCCACCATTCCATTGGTCGATCTTTTAGCGATACTTGTATTGATTCTTCGTTGATACTGAGACATTCGACGAGCGTTGTCATATCAGTAAAATGGCAGCGAACTCCACGGTGGAGAAGTGTGGAGGTAGCTCGATTCCTGCCAAAGGACTTTGATCCGATTATCGGCGGACACTTGTCGAAGCAAAGCCAGAACCGAGATCGCTCGACCACCTAGGTCATCATGAAAGCGGAATGCGCGCAATCCTATTGTGATTATCGGCCCTCATGGTGCTGAAATTGTGCTGATGCTGGTGCTATCGTTGGAGTGCCAGTGATCATTGTGCTTTACAGCAGAGTTGTGAATCCGATTAAGTTACAGTCTAGGAATTTATAGCTGCTAACATGCACCAAGCACACCAGTTCATGATGATGGATTTGATATATTCAAATCGTCGTAGTCAAATTCGCTTTGCTCAACTAGGGTCGATAGTTGTAGATAGTGTAGCTTCGGGCATTATCACAGCAAAGCATGATTCCAGTCGTTCAAGCAAGTTTGCTGCTAGCTTGGAGATGAACAAGATCGAGTGACGGCGCCAGAATACCTATGTCACGTGGCTGGATATAAATCGAGCTTTTCAGATAGTCATCACTTAAAAGTCTGGCTGGCGTGTCTCCAAAGACTTCCACGGATTCGAACAGCGGCTGATGATGTTGAGATTAGGGCGATGATAGTGCAAAACTTTCCAATACCTCAAATCGCGTTACTTTGGGCTTAAACAGGATATATAGATTGACAACAGACCATCGTTCGATATTTGTCAGGGCCCATGTTAGATCCATCTTCTTTTCAAGTTAGCATAATAGTCTCAAAAGTTCGATAGGATACAAGTGCCCTAAAAACCAAAAACTGTAGGGAATTAGTACATGTTAGATAGCAGCAAAGAGCTACAATTGCTGGCAGCAAAATCGTTCAAATCATCACATTGTTGTCATAGCTCACTTAGAATGGAAAACTCAGGTTGGTGATACATAGATATAAATAGCTACCTCTCTATGTACTCACAGTGAGCAACAACACAATGTCAATGATGACGTCTTCCTTATAGAAATAGAAGCTTATCTTGTAAAGGGCATGATGTGTAACACGCGCAAAGGCATAAGCCTGAAAGAGGAAAGAAAAAAGGGATTATACTAAAGAGGGTCGTTCCTTTTTGAAATATACAGTATAAGGATACTTTCATTGTACACAAGTCCACTGCATGTACATAAAACAAGTTGCATAATAACCAGTGGGGCTTACAAGGTTGTGTCACATAGACCCAAAAAGTACCTTCAGATGAGCCAAGTAGAACTTTCGGAGGAACCCTGGCCGAAGACTAATCTATATATACAGCCTTTTGGTAGTTATTTATGCAGCAACAACAAAATCCCGTACAATGATGCCTCTTTCTTCAATTCCCTCCTCCTTTCAACCCTCCTCAGAAAAGATATTTGACGACAGTAAAAAAGTGCTCATCGTCGGTGGTGGCCTGGCCGGACTCGCTCTGGCCAATGTGCTAAAGTATCAGGGTGTTCCTTACAAAGTTTTTGAACGAGACCCTTCACCGGGCAACCGAACTCAGGGTTATTCTCTCAGTATCCATTTCTGTCTTCCAGCATTGAAATCCGGTATGGATCCAGTCAAATATGCCACGCTTGGTGAAACCGCAGCCGTCGATCGAGGACATCCCCGACGTGCCGACCTTGGACTTGTAGATGGCAACTCTGGTGAGCGCGTTGTCACGATTCCTGCAGATTCTAATAGCGACGTATTCCGAGTCAGCCGCGAACGATTTCGTGGCTGGCTTTTGGAAGGCATCGATGTTGCATGGAGCAAGCGCATTGACTACTACACAGTAGACGAGGAAGGAAGAAGTGTACAGGTCACGTTCACGGACGGTACGGTGGAACAAGGCAGCATACTGGTTGGCGCTGATGGCATCAATTCACAAGTGTGCCGTCAATTGATCGGCGCCGAGGATTTTGACAAGACAACAATTACGACGGACGCAATTCGTATTTTGAACGGAAGCTACTGGATCGATACTGATTTGCGCAGGGAAATAGAGCAAACTTTATCGCCATCGCATATACTGAGTGCTGCCAGCAGTAGCGAGGATGCTGAGCATTCGACTTGCCTGTTTGTATCATTGCTTGACATCGACCGCACCCGAGACAAGCCGTACGAAATGTTGTGGAGTATTTCCTGTATTGATGAAAACGAACCAAGCTATGAGTCGAATCACGAAAGGCTCCGACAAGCCAAGTCATGGGTACACAAGGCCGGCTTTCAAGGGTTGCTGCGCCGACTGGTATTAGAATCACCAGAGGATACCAGGGTGGTGCCTTTGCAAATCAAGGAACGATCCCCTCATATAAAATTGGACACATTGCCTGCTGGTCCAGTTATACTAGTAGGTGATGCTGTGCATAAAATGACGCAATTTCGTGGAGAAGGTCAGTCTCACTTCTTTTACATATGGAGTATAATGATTTTTGTATTGTTTGTTGGAGCATAAGTTGAGTAACTTGGATCTTGTAGGTGCAAATCATGCTATTCAGGATTCGGCTTTATTGGGTTTGAAGCTTGCAAGCGTTTACAAAGGTGAAAAGACATTGGAGGAAGCGTATGACAAATATTATAAGGAGATGCTGCCCAGAGGCCGAAAAGCGGTTGCGGAGTCACATCAAGCTGTTCATATGATGCATGGTTCTCGAGCGTTTATCAGTGCGGTAGCCATGGCTGCTGACTTCAAAAAATAACAGCGATGGTAGACGATAGAAGCATAATTCTTGCTCATTGCAAATAGATAATAAAAAATAGCACTATTCTGAACGAAGGGCCATCCAGCAAAGATGCGTTTTTATACTACTCATCTAATCATTTCCTTCCCTCGACTTGCACGTCAAAGATATCATGTGTCGGTGTGTGTGTTGTTGGTGACATTCAAATTCAACTGTCAACTCCTACAGCCACTCTAATTGACCTCACATAAATATCTTGTGGATAAAAACATAAATGTTACATAAGATACATGAGCATGCCTTCGAAACGAGAACGAGTGCCCCAGATGCTCGGTGCGCGACCCATAATATTTAAAGTTAAACAATGCAAATAAAATAGTACAGATGGAAGGAGAAACTGCTCCTTCTTAATTCTCTTTACAACAGTGTTCGTTTTTTTAACAGATACAGTAACGGAATTTCGGAAGCTCAAGCTTGCTATCAACAACTGGGTATTCAGTATGAACAGTAAACATGATAACTAAAAATCGTATCAAAGGTTGTCTCTTCTTCAGATCCAGTATGTTAAAACATGTATCAAGTGACAAGATATATTAAGAATCCAAAATACTCGTGACGAAGTCTGAATTGTACAGTAGTATGCTTCGTCTTACGCGTCCAAATATACAAAGAACGATACCATGCTCAGTATTATGAAATAATTACTGAATACAAGAAGGATAAGCGTGATAGCATTACTGTATGTTTGCTTGCACACCCTGAAATATATAAGTATATGCAGTCAAATTGTATATAAACAGTTAAAGAATTCCTTATTGCCCTGTAGTATAGTATGTAAACGTGACATATGATAAATTCAGTAAGTACATAATGTTCTAAAACTTCATCATCGATGGCCCTCATTGGTGATATCATTATTTTCTCTTCTTTCTGTACTTTTTTCATTTTTCTGGTTTTTTTGTCTTGCTCTTTTTGTTTTGTTTTCTTATCATCTTTCTTAAAAAGTATGTATGGGAAAAGAGATATAAGGAATGGCACACACGGTCGTCGGTTCGGCTGATAATGACCCTAAACTTGGGATTGTGGTCGGTTCCGAATTCGATAGTTGCATTGTGTAGGGTGTCGAATACAACATCAAGCTGGTCTAGGAGCTGTATACGATTTCGTGATGTCTCCCGTAACCGCCAACGCAAGCAGCCGTTGTTTTGATTTGTGGTATGATGCTTCTATGCCACTTGGCAAGTATCTACATTTCTGAGAAAGCATATCAGTATTCGTGCCCGGCCTTGTCTTTTGTAAACATATAACATTAGAAGCTGCATGCTGCATATTGACTACGTACCTGATAGATGTGTTTTTTTTTCAAAGAAGCACCATTCATTTTTAGAAAGCCAGCTTGGTAAGCAAGCTACCTACAATCTATGTGGATTATACAGATAAGCAGTATTGAGTAATTTTTCGTTTTGTTCAAAGCGATTAAGTATAAAATAGCAAATACTGTAGCAAGATTGCTATAACATTTACCTGATCGAGAATTTTTTTTGCTGGTTTTCTTTCTTATTTGTAGGTGTTATATCTGTGTGTTTGTTTTTGGCTGCTGCACTGGCGGTATCAAAGATTGTAAGCTATTTGCTTTTGTGTGAATGCTTGTCTTGCCAGTTCACTCGCCGATATTCAGGTTCGTTGTAATTGAAGATTAGGATAGGTGCAAGGGTTTCGTGCCGATCCGATCCGTATGTGCCTTTGTGTTGTTTTGGTGTATGGGATGTAGTACATGTTTCTAAACTAGAATAATAATAATATCATCAGCATTTCCAACTATTTGTTTTACTTACCATCCAATGAGGGAATGACATATGAAGTGCAAAGTTGAAAGAGAAACAGAAAACGAAAAGATGAAATTCAAAGTTGAAACAGAAATAAGGAATGATGAAATCCTTGCAACGAGGAGACCATATGATGATTGGTGCCGCCAGTCTTTTATATTTTCATTTATCAATTACTATGGTCTGCAGTTAGAACCAGTATCTTCGACCGTTTTAAAAAAAACACTATAACTTACCCTCATTTCCAGGATTGAATAGTTATGCGCAACGGACTGTTTGCATATAGTAGCAGCCTTGAAAGGGCTTGACTTCGTAGCTCCAGAACCTCGCATATTGTGTCTTGACAGGGTTGTATAGATAGCGAATGACTTTGACGCCTTGAAATGACAAGTCCTCCAGTCAGACACCTGAGTAAAGTTTGAGCGACAACACTTGATCTGCGTATTATGTTCAGCTTAAAGCAAACAGCTTACAATCTTTGATACCGCCAGTGCAGCAGCCAAAAACAAACACACAGATATAACACCTACAAATAAGAAAGAAAACCAGCAAAAAAAATTCTCGATCAGGTAAATGTAATAGCAATCTTACTACAGTATTTGCTATTTTATACTTAATCGCTTTGAACAAAACGAAAAATTACTCAATACTGCTTATCTGTATAATCCACATAGATTGTAGGTAGCTTGCTTACCAAGCTGGCTTTCTAAAAATGAATGGTGCTTCTTTGAAAAAAAAACACATCTATCAGGTACGTAGTCAATATGCAGCATGCAGCTTCTAATGTTATATGTTTACAAAAGACAAGGCCGGGCACGAATACTGATATGCTTTCTCAGAAATGTAGATACTTGCCAAGTGGCATAGAAGCATCATACCACAAATCAAAACAACGGCTGCTTGCGTTGGCGGTTACGGGAGACATCACGAAATCGTATACAGCTCCTAGACCAGCTTGATGTTGTATTCGACACCCTACACAATGCAACTATCGAATTCGGAACCGACCACAATCCCAAGTTTAGGGTCATTATCAGCCGAACCGACGACCGTGTGTGCCATTCCTTATATCTCTTTTCCCATACATACTTTTTAAGAAAGATGATAAGAAAACAAAACAAAAAGAGCAAGACAAAAAAACCAGAAAAATGAAAAAAGTACAGAAAGAAGAGAAAATAATGATATCACCAATGAGGGCCATCGATGATGAAGTTTTAGAACATTATGTACTTACTGAATTTATCATATGTCACGTTTACATACTATACTACAGGGCAATAAGGAATTCTTTAACTGTTTATATACAATTTGACTGCATATACTTATATATTTCAGGGTGTGCAAGCAAACATACAGTAATGCTATCACGCTTATCCTTCTTGTATTCAGTAATTATTTCATAATACTGAGCATGGTATCGTTCTTTGTATATTTGGACGCGTAAGACGAAGCATACTACTGTACAATTCAGACTTCGTCACGAGTATTTTGGATTCTTAATATATCTTGTCACTTGATACATGTTTTAACATACTGGATCTGAAGAAGAGACAACCTTTGATACGATTTTTAGTTCTCATGTTTACTGTTCATACTGAATACCCAGTTGTTGATAGCAAGCTTGAGCTTCCGACTGTATCTGTTAAAAAAAACGAACACTGTTGGGAGTACATCCATTATAGGTCTCATATAAATTTCAAACTCAATTACTTATAAAAATTTTTAAAATTTTCTATCTAAAAATAAAAATAGTTGAAAACAGATGATTGAAAACTTTATAGAAAATATTTTTAAAATACGAAATGTTTATAGAAAGTTACCATATATTAAAGAAAGCTTTTGATAATGAAGTTGATGGAATAAATTATTTACTAGATAATAAATATATAAAAAAAAGAGATATATGTGACAAATGTAAAAATAATAATATTAAATTTAATTATAAACGAAAATTATATGTTTGTAAATATTATAAATATAGAAAAACATATTCACTATTTAAAGATACAATATTTACAAAAATGAAACTACCAACTCATTAACAATAACATATTTTATATGAATTTTTTAAAAAAACACCAATAACTAGTATTTCTAAAAGTTTAAGTATTAATCATAAAACAGCTATAAAATATCATAAAAATTTTTAGAAAAAATATTGATAATAATATAAAGATTGATAAAATTGGAGGTAGAAACTCAATAGAACAACATTTTGTACTGTTTTAAACAATACATTTTTAATAATTTACTTATTTTCAATAGATGCCAAGTATTCCTCAATAATTGTTTCATTATTAAAATCTTCCTACCAAACCTAATCATTATATGTTTCATCATAATCTTTCCATTTAATATAAAATTTCATTCTTTTTTTAAATTTTCTATGTTTTATAATTTTTTCAACCTCAAAACTATCAAATACTTATTATGTGATTTATAATCATATCTTATAGAAATTATTACCAAAAAGAAAAATACACTAGTAAAACCTAATTTTTCTACTAATTCTTATTTAATTTGTTGAATATTATTAACATTTTTGATTTCTTCTCTATGTTTATATTCAGATATTTCTATTGGATAGTTAAAGTCAAGAAATTGCCAGTATTTATTGTTAATTTTTGACAGTTCATGTCGTATTATTTCATACATAATGACATTATATTATAAAACTAAATTCAATATTATATTATCCGATCAACTCCAGCTTACAGAATCACAGTCGACAGCACAACAGCAGCAGAACAACAGCCAGAATCAAGAGCCGTCGTCGTTACGACAACGACAGGAAAGCAGCAATAATCAAGAACAATCATCATCGCAGCAGCATCTGAATGACAGCGATTGCATTACATCTCTTACAAAGCGGTGCTCAAGCACAAGAGCTGAAGATCGCTATCTGGAGATGGAGCTGTTGGATCCAAAAGATTTGTCTTTTCCACCTATGAACCATGATAATCATTTTGTCGCTCAGCAGTTCAATGTGACAAACACAATTTACAAATTCCAGTATTCGATTTTACAACAAAAATGGAAGCTCACCATTGAAGATCATATACACCATGGGGGACCAGCCATGGTTATGATGAATTTGATGCGATCTAGTAACCCTAGCTGGCTTATTAGCTAAGATATATCAGGATAGCCAAATTAATTTTTATTGAAATAATTCATGCACGAATGTCTTAGCATACATACATTTAAATTTTTGAAAAAAATAAAAATTGAATTTTTTTCTTAATATAAAAATAACACCACAGAATATAAAGCAACATATATTTGTTATATTTTTTATCTTTATTCTTTCAACAATCGACATGAACCAACTCAACCTTCTTGCGTTCTTAGCCATTATGGCTGAATTTGTTCCTATTTTAGGAATTACATTGACGCTCTTAATCGAAAGAGCTAAACACCTTACTGAAAACCATCAGCATATTGATTATGACCCTCTTGTCACACAACTGAGGTCAGAAACTGAAAAAGACCTTAAACAGGCTAAAGTAGATAATAAAACTAAGGATGAAGCACGCAATAAAATCATTGGAAGAATTCGAGCATATGTGAGATTCCTCAAATCCTCAAATCCTCAAATCCTCAATTTTCCGATGCAATGTTAAATGATAACACTTCTAGTGCGGCTACCTCATAGGGTGAGAAAGAATTCCGCTTTCAAAACACTAAGGGCTTGTTCACATATATTTGTAAAAATTTCCATTTAACAAAAGAACAGATATTAGAATGGTTTACTAAACATGACCGTATTGGTTATAAAATTGAAAAGGCAATTGCATGTGATGAAATTGCACCTGAAACAGGCGAAAAACACGTGCATATATGGATACAATTAGATGAACGATTTGATACTAGAACTGCACGTAAGTTTTTCACTATTGATAGTATCACTCCAAACATTGAACCAGGTGGTAATCCACAAAAGTCCATTAGCTACTGTATGAAAGGAAAAGATTATATTTGTTATAATATGGATCCAAATTATGAAGTTAAGACCAGAAAAATGCACCAACAGTTACTTGGATATCAATTAATTACGAAGCAGCTTAATATGTGGAAGGCTACCGAAATATATCCAGAATTGCTATTTAAATATGATACTGTAAAATCTAATTTAAATTCTTACTTTCATGATGCTGATATGGAAAATAACCCTGGAAATAAATTATATATGTGGTCTATGTTTGGGATTGAAACAATGTTTGGTGGTAAAAATAAGGTACTATAATACTGGATTGTAGGTCCATCAAATGTAGGTAAGACATATAGCATTGATGTATTAGAACAAGGTGGCCATCGAGCATATCTAATGAATAAAGAAAATGATTGGTCAGATTATAAGGATGATGATTATGATTTTATGTATAATGAAGAAACAGGTTCTGATTTCAAATTAACATTTTTAAACCAAATGTTAGAAGGAACACGGTTAAAACTTAATGGCAAATTCACAAAGTCAATAACTAAAAAGAAAAATATGCCAATAATACTGAATAGTAACTATATGCCGCACATGTTATACAAAAACAAATCAGTATATGAGTTAGAGCCAACGCTCAATCGTTTATATATTATCTATGTTGATAAGAACCGTAAAGGTCATATAATATGGAATTCATACACAATGAAGGTGAAGGATTATGAAAATAAATTCATGTATTATGAAAATATGGATATGTATGAGGACTTATACAAAGGTGAATTCAAAAACGAATACCAAGATCAGCATACATTTATCTGTTATGCACATAATAGTGGTCAGGATGATATTAAAAAATATACACCGATGGATAAAACAGTAGAGGAACTACAAGAATTAGCTGATACAGAAGAATATATGAAGGAACAAGAAGAAAAACATAATAGTAATAATACACAGAACAATAAACAACATAAACCGCCTCAACAAAATAATAGAGGATAGTCAACTGTAAAGGTACCACCATCAGTAGATTGTAGGCATTGGGAAGATGTGTTTAATGATATAAAATGTGATGATGTTGTAAATGATGCTACTGATTGGGAAAACCCACCAGAAGATATAGAGAAACATAAATACATAGATGTAAGTACATCTGAATCAGAGAAAAGCAGTGACTGCAACATACCAAATAATATACCAAAACGTAAAAAGAAAAAAAGACACATTAAAAATAAACGGAGAAACAAGCAAAAAGTAGAAGAAATACAGCCAAAAGAATCTATTAAAAAGCATAAGGATATAAACAGGCTATAATAGATGATATAGATATAACAAAAGAAACCGACGTCAAAAATAAATCAACAGATACTAATATAAGTATAAGTATAACTAATGAATGCATAAAACATAAATATAATTGGGCAAGTAAACGAAAAGTTGATGCAGTCAGTTTCAATATGAAATTTTTTAATAAGCAAATAAGTAAGAGATTAATTTAGAGCTAAATACCATGTGTGGCCATATATTCATGTAGCATTTCCCGGGAATTAAACTTATCAACTGTTAACCAACTATTATCCTTTACACTATATCCAACCCACTTAACCTCAAATATATACTTATTATCAGTATACACATGTCCTACAATCTTCTCAATTTCATATGAATTACTATGTTCTATATTTCTCTGTTCTCTTTGATTTTTTCTCTTGCGTTTAGATGTATTATTTTCAGTTTCGTCCTCACTATCTATAGCCATATCTATTGATTGATTAATGTTAAGCTGTAGAAATTTCTGCTGCATATCAACCATTTCGTTATATTCAGTATTTACTTTTTGCTCATTTGAAAATACTAAGTCAAGTTTGTTTTTCTTACTTGGGAATTCAAAATCTTTTCCATACCATAATTTATGATGTGGTTGTACCTCTATATTATACTTATTTACAAATCGCCATATATTAGTAAGAATACAAGCAACACGAAACTGAATATTATAATATCTTATATCGGTTATTTGCAATGCTGCACGATTATTATTAAATCGTTTAAATTTAGAGCCTAACATAGAGAACTGTGCTTCTATTGCTGAACGAAATGATCCAAACTTGTTATTAAAGTATGTCTCATTGATTGTTAACTTTTGTCCTGGTTCTTTTCTTATGGGATGTAAAAAATTACGATCATAAAAACTATATCTAGCATCTGTCGCATTATCTTTAAACTTTTGTATAAATAAGTTATATCCACCATCTATTCCTAAACAATCTGCCTCACTTATTTTTTTATATAGTTTCATATTAATAAACATAGTACCATCATTTCCGATAGCACATTTTTCAGATACTGAAACATGTGTAATTATTTCATTCATATCCTGTATAACTTGTGTACGTACAGCTGGCCCTTTTAATTTATATGAATATAACTGTGAATGTGACTCATTTGGTTTATAATACTTTATTTTACTATCATGTCCATCATTAAATAGTGTAACATTCTTAAAACCATCTGGATTGTTTATTATTACTGATAGAATGCGAATACGTGGTGATGAGAACATACTATCTAGATCTTATTTTACCTTTTTATTCAATTCATTATAGTTAGTAATCCAGAACTGCTTATATAAATCATAAAATGTTGCATATAGCATAACAGTATGCATATCCTTTCCTGATACACCTGATACCATATGATATAATAATGTAAGTCCTTTTTCAATCTCGCGGTATGGCCCTGGATATTCAATATTTTCATATAAAACTGTAAGAAAATAAAATACAGGTATAAATCCAAATCTATTAAGTAATACATCCTTTATATCATTTATTGTATTATTCTTCATATCTTTAATAGCTGTTCTATGATTAAATCTATGTTGCATTTCAGGCCAAGATTTATCAAGAAAAGTCCATTTAATATCAATTAAATTTTTAATTTCAATATCGAGTTGTTCAGTGTGTTGTATTGTGTTCATTTTTATTTGTTGTTATGTACTTTAAACAATCGCTCTTTTTTTTCTCATGGGAGGCTACTAATATAAATAAAAAAATTCAATTTTTATTATTTTTATTGTAAATCAATAATTAATTCGGCTACTGATGGTTATACCGATCATAGCAATTTTATTATCTATATTACAGCTAGTAGGTTATAATTGGTTAGACAACTAATAGTAGGACGCCATGCTATGGCAATCAATTCAATTTTACTGTTATCACCGAACAAATATCCAGACAACTTGTCACCGCATTTCTGTGAAGCCAGCCTCAGAGCGACCATCAACAAAATCAAGTCCATTTATGGATTGAATTCGCCTCGTGTGCAAATTGAAACGGTAACCAATATGATCAGCATTATACACGAACTCGACATCGAAGCAATCAGCCACAGCCAAGCGATTGTGAAACTCCTGCAACTTGATCTTTTGCCAGATGAACGCAAATTTGCCAATGGCCTGGCCGAGTTAGTAAAGAAGTTGCCTCGTGTGCCAATTGAAGAGGATGTGAACGAATCCGAGCTTAATACCCGATTCGTTGATACGTTTTTATGTGGCCTGTTTGATGATCCTGAAGAAGGGGTATTTCTCCGATGGACAAACGACATAACATTCGAAGCGCGAAAAAACGAAACCTTGTGGACATCTCGTCCCGATCTTACCATTACAAGCTTGAAAGGTGTGAAATGGTCGACCAGCCATGGATACGGTGAAGTAAAATCAGCATGCCACGAAGCAAACAACTTTTTGTTGTCGAAGGACCTGATCCGAGTGGCGATATTTTACAAGAATGCCCTCGACGCACAAAACTTGGAGGGTATTCTAGGTTTGCAAATCATTGGACGATCCATTACCTTCTATCTCTTGGTGTTGCCATCCGAAGGCCTCTATGTCATGTATGAATTAGGGACTCTCCAGCTACCGAATAACTTGAGTGATTTACGCAAACTGCTGATGGATATGCCACTTGGTTTGCTTGTCCTTGATGTCTTCCATCGACTCTGCATCCGCTCTGTCAATCCCTTTCAACCCTCGCGACACCGTCCAACTGTCTCTGTGTCCAATTTCGATGGCATCTTTTCAACTTCACAGGATCGCAAGCGGTCTTGCCATTTGAAGAAATACAACTAAGAGTAACGAATCCAATAAAACAAAGCAAGGTTGATGAACATCGCAAAAAAAAAAACAAGGTATCTTTAGTTTGCCGCTGTTTTTGAAAAACAAGAACGGACGTCTTCTCCCTATTCTTTCATTACAATGTCAAAAAAAGTGAAAGTGAATTTAGACCAACAAAAGTTATGATTATTTGCGATTTCAAGATGGCTTTTATTGAATTGTTAGTATATAGTTATTTAAGCTATTGGTGAGATAATACATACTTGAGGGTTTAATTTATACTATTGTTTTCTTTAAAGTTATAAAAGGATTTTGGGGAGGAGAGAAAAGGATAGTTTACTATTTATTGTCTAGGAGTTTTGTGTGACACCATGGGAAAATGTCGAGCAAGTCGAGCAGTGCAGTTTGATCTCAGCGCACTTGTTTTCTGGTTTTGGTGATTTGTGGCAACCGAGCATACCCCAATCAGAGTCACTAACGGATTATCGTACTTGCGACGATACTCGAATTTATTTACAAGAAACGTTTATTGCTTTAAAAAACTACGGAAAAGCTTTTTGACGTTTGGTTCTACGGGAATTTCAGGTGGTCGTTGTGGGGTTGGAAGCTGGTGTGGAGTTTGGAGGAGAAACGAGAGCGAGAATTAATGTAAGGAACGAATGTGGAAGTGCGGATCGGTTGCAATTGTGGTGTCGGTAGTGGTTGCGGAATCGATGATGATGTTGGAATGGAAGGGCCGGCAGGGGCAGAAGAAGAAGCAGAAGTAGGAAGCAAGGATTGGCGGCGTGAAGCAGCCGATGACCTACAATAGTACTTAAACTAAAATGCGATATCATCAGGATGGGCAAGTTTTTTGATGCTTACACCGCAGCATCGTCTACACTGTCGCTACAGCTTAAGAATTTACACAGTTAGCATCACTTCACCTACGTCGACATAAATATGCCTTCGATGCAGTTGTTGGAGCTTAAGATACCCCACGTTTACTGGACGACATATCCATACTGGACCTGTTCATATACTTGAGAATCACTTTTGCAGCGAATCCACAAATCCAGTAACAGACCGCCATTTGTACATACCTTGTCCGGTGAATGCCTGAAGAACTACCAGAAGCATTGCTGTTATTGCTAGAGACGAGTTCATCGGTACCTAATATGTAAATGCTTGATGTCCTCTGCTGCCACTTACATCTTAAAATGCCAAAGCTCGTGGAAAGATAACGAGTCACCCAATGCTTCTGGCAGAAGGGCTATCCGTCATATTTCGAAAATTCATGATTTTCGAAATCAACAAACAGAGCTTCCAACTCTTGTACTGCATCGGCAGACTTCACCAGACTTGGATGTAGACCATCGCGTATTCGCTTCAACGTTCTAAACATCTGTCTACTGCTTCCTATTTTCAAATGTCGTACATCTACCCAGCAGAATCCCGCCAGTCCGCAGCACTTCTTGATGTACAAAGATATGACGTTCGTCTTGGTGACGGCTCTGGCTGCTCCATCTGTTCCGGTGTTGGTACCTTAATTATGTCCTCAGCCGGAACGACATACAGCTGCACGTTGGTAAGTGCCAAGAGGTGTGCACTGTTATCCACCTGCTGCGGCTGCTCCGGTTGCTGTTCAACCTGCACCGACTGTTGTTGCGTAGTTGTTGCAAATGCTGATGTTGTACTTGCTGCACTTGCTGTGGCTGCTGTAGTAATCTGCCTTAGTGATCAAGACGACAAAGTTTTCATTCTTCAAATCCGAACTGGTGCTGCTTGACACGTCTCAGTGCTTTTACATAGGGATCAGCAGGAATGATGAACTGGGAGATGGGGTGGGAGTGGCTATTTGTGTCCATAGCAATTGGGTTAACGAGGGGGAAGAATCAAACAAGTTAATGGCTTACCAGTAGTCGGCACGTGTTTAGCAAAAAAATTGCCGTCGTTTTCTTTGGTGAGCTTATGTTGTTCTTTATCCACACTTACGAAGGTTTGTGTTCTGGTGTTTTATTAGTTGGATGCATACAGAATTGAAATGCTTACCCTCGGCATTGGATAGATACTACATACCGTATGTGGAACTCTGTGCTCTACGATTGCCGGTTTTGACGAAATTCAATCTCCACATACCATATATGGAGCTCTGTGCTCCCACGACTTTGCTCGACTTGTGATTGAGTTTTCTTAGGATTTTTAACTGGTCACATCAGAAGTAATCATGAATACGATCTAACTGTATTCTGCAGACGGCTTCCTCGTGCTTGTTCGTATGTAGCTCGAGCAGAAGATTCAGCAGCAGCTTGATACTCCATTTGCGAGCTGATGAAAGAAGTATACTGTGGTAGAGGGGGAGGGACAGGGAGAGAAAGAGGACGTGGTGAGACACCGAGTTGAGCGTTGAGTTCAGCGTTAAGTTGGGCGTTAAGTTGAGCGTTAAGTTGAGCGTTAAGTTGCGTTAAGTTGCGTTGAGTTGAGCGGAGTTGCGTTAAGTTGTGTTAAGTTGCGTTAAGTCGAGCGTTGAGTTGCATTGAGTTGAGCGTTAAGTTGCGTTGAGTCGAGCGTTAAGTTGCGTTAAGTTGAGCGTTAAGTTGCGTTAAGTTGCGTTAAGTCGAGCGTTGAGTTGCGTTGAGTTGAGCGTTAAGTTGCGTTAAGTTGAGCGTTAAGTTGCGTTAAGTTGCGTTAAGTCGAGCGTTGAGTTGCGTTGAGTTGAGCGTTAAGTTGCGTTGAGTTGCGTTGAGTTGAGCGTTAAGTTGCGTTAAGTCGAGCGTTGAGTTGCGTTGAGTTGAGCGTTAAGTTGCGTTGAGTTGCGTTAAGTTGCGTTGATTTGAGCGTTAAGTTGCGTTAAGTTGCGTTAAGTCGAGCGTTGAGTTGCGTTAAGTCGAGCGTTGAGTTGCGTTGAGTTGAGCGTTAAGCTGCGTTGAGTTGCGTCAAGTTGCATTGAGTTGAGCGTTAAGTTGCGTTGAGTTGCGTTGAGTTGAGCGTTAAGTTGCGTTAAGTCGAGCGTTGAGTTGCGTTGAGTTGAGCGTTAAGTTGCGTTGAGTTGCGTTAAGTTGCGTTGATTTGAGCGTTAAGTTGCGTTAAGTTGCGTTAAGTCGAGCGTTGAGTTGCGTTAAGTCGAGCGTTGAGTTGCGTTGAGTTGAGCGTTAAGCTGCGTTGAGTTGCGTCAAGTTGCGTTGAGTTGAGCGTTAAGTTGCGTTGAGTTGCGTTGAGTTGAGCGGAGTTGCGTTAAGTTGAGCGGAGTTGAGCGTTAAGTTGCGTTGAGTTGCGTTGAGTTGAGCGTTAAGTTGAGTGTTTTTTTTTGGATATTTTATAGCCTCTCTTTGTTAAGACATTTGTAAAATCATTTAGTAGAATGAGAAACAAAGCCTTGGAGATCACTAAAATGTAAGTTGTTACATGCTTCACTAATCCTTGTCATGAGCGATTCTTTCTCCAAAAACGTATTTCGCTTAATTTTACTCTCTTGACGACGGACCAGAACTACTCAATTGGATTTAGTTCAGGAGAATACGGAGGAAGATATATGTACCTGTATCAGTTGAGTTGTGGATAGGAGCGTTATCCATGACAAGGTAATGTCCCTTTATCGGGATTTTTGTCCATTTCATCAAGAGTAGCCTTCAAAAAGCTCAGATAATGCCCTGTCACTGTTCCTATGCTATAACCATCAGTTGAACGTCCAATCTTTCTCTTTTTAATGCGTTTTGGAACTCTCAAACTGACATTGATTAAACCAGTTGCAAATATTGCACCTAAAATCGATGTTGCGTTCGCTTTAGTTGTAGGCACTGTAACTACGGCGGGAGTTCCCTTCTTTGACCAGGCCATACTTCGTTTCAAAATTGATATGAAAGGCTAACTCATCAAGAAAGACGCGATTTGTTGTGAAATCTAAGTCAGTTTGTGCCACTTTTTTACCCAATGGTACCTTTGTTGAATCTTGTATTCGCTGTTGCTCTCTACAGGCTGGAATTGTGCCTTCTTAATAGATAGATTGCACTCAGTTGTCATAGAGTTATAAATAGTGCTATGAGAAACAAAGATCTGCAAAAGTTTGTGTTAAACTTTCTGTCACTTCAATTACAACAGCAGAAGGATTCTCAACAAATGTAATTTAAAAGGAACTGCTTATGCTCTTCACCAAGAATACGACGCTGACCTGACTTTTTTTTCTCTCCGAAGATGCTTTCAGGGTCTTCGTAATAACATTTAACCCATCTCTGTGCTGCTCGGACATGGATACCTAATTGGCTCGCAGCCGCAGAAGATTTCAAGCATTTGTAAATCTGGTCTTGTCTTCAACAGAGTAAACAGTATAGCATCGCTTGTTGCATACCTCCATATCAACATCATTGTTCTTTTCATCTGCAACTGAGCGCACGACAGGATTAGAACGTCTTTCTAGAGGTTTATTCATGAGAAACTGAGTACCAGAACTTATTGGTTCGGTAGCGAATAAGTCCTCGTCAACAACAAGATCCATGGGCTCAACTCCATTTTCATCAACAACACGACCTTGTCCATCTTCATAAAGAAATTGCATACTCAGTGTCAATGTCTGTAAAATAGATTGTAATTAGGAAGAAGAGAGTAAAACGGACACAGAAATTCGTCCCCTTTTTTATAACAACAATTCATGCCGAGAAATTTTATTGGGCAATTAATAAGCGACAAGTAAACATAAATGAAGCTCATGACACGTGAGCACAACTTTGTTTTTTGAAACAGTCGACATCATTGTTGAACACGCAATTTTTTTGCACGACATCAAACTCAAAATCAGCGACTTTTACTTTCTGAAATGACTGTAAACAAGGAAGTCACCAGGAACAATCGTGACAGTTTGAAAACAAAGTTGACAAGTTTGCCCGTTATACTGCTGCAAGTGGTCATTGTCCTACAATCCCACGAGCACGTGTACAAAGTCAGCAAAGGCCACTTGAAGACAGACTGTCATGGCGATTTGAAAAAGCCTTCACCGTTTTGTTTCTTCTTGGGTAGACTTTTAAACTGCTTCGTCATATTTGTAAACTCTTCTTTTAGAGTTGACACTAGTTGTAAATAGCGTTTCGTTGATATCATAATGGGTCATAGTCATGGTAATGTATATTACTAACAGTAGTAGCTCCAATTTATTTTGGACGCCTTTTCTTCTGGTTTCTTTTGTTTTGGAAGACAGTCTAAAGAATGTTTTCTTCCATATATAGCAGAAATTTGCTGATCTTTCATCCGTCACAAACGCAATAGATGGTGTGCGCGCGTTCCATTGTTAAGTTCCAATTTTTCCAGTAGTCTGATGTTTGAAGCATGCTTATATGATGGTATTAATAAACTTTGAGAGTATGGAAGATAATAATGTAAGGAGAACGAACGAAAGAGACGAAGGAACGTAGTAGTGATACGCGGTCTTTGTGTTTTTTAATATTTTACAGAACAAAAGGATCGACATGAGTAATATATTTGCTGAGGTACATGAAAGAATTGCTACCTCAACAACATTGATAGCTAGTGTAAAAAGCATAAACGGGACCCAGTGCTAAATTTGTCGCAACCAAGCTATTATCACGAGCTTCGGCAAGGCCCATCATTTATGATACGGACTTGGATTACAAAAAGCATCGCGTCCCTGGTCAACAAAGTAGGCATCAATTGCAAGTATACGTAACACGGAAAGGTGGCTTAAGCTCATGGTCCGAGATTTGTAGTCCTTTCAAATCCGCCTCTTCCAGCTCGGGAAACAACGTGCAAACAGCTCGTAAACTGACACGCCCTGGATATTTTTCTTGAGCTCTCTACCATCATCAAAACCAAAGGAGTTTATATTGATAGCTTATGTGCTTCGATACCAAGTCGACGAAGCCTAGAAATCGCGCTGATAGCATCCACCATCCCATTGGTCGGTCCTTTAACGATACTTGTATCGTATCTTCGTTGATACTGAGAAATTCGGCGAGCCTTATCATATCAGTAAAATCGATGGCAGCGAACTCCACGATGGAAAAGTGTGGTAGCTCGATTCCTGTCAAAGGACTTTGATCCGAATATCGGCGGACACTTGTCATCTCGATCGTCTGATTGATTTCTTCTACACGTCCCAAAGTGTTTCTGGCTTTTTACAGCATATCCAGAACGGAGATCGCTGGACCACCTAGGTCCTCATGTAAGCGGAATGCGCACAATCCTATTATGATTATCGGCACTCATGATGCTGAAATTGTGTTGATGCTGGTGCTATCGTTGGAGTACCAGTAGTCGTTGTGCTTTGCAGCAGAGTTGCGGATCCGATTGA